AATAGGAAATAAAAGTTGAATCAGCTATCTACACACAGTTTGTTCTAGATACTAACACTAAAGTAAACACAAACCTAGGATACAGTGGCTACAGAACTACAGTACACAGCACTAACCTACACTAACCTGGTAGATGTAAAGTACCGGACTGAGGCCGGCAAACAATGCTGTCACACAGCTTGTATACCGTACACAAACAAGTACCAAACGGACTATGGTCACGTTATTAAAGCTCAAGACACGAGGGGGGAACACTAGGGGAGGGGACAGGGTACTACGTACAAACAACATTCACCCTTTGTGTGACCTTCACTCATTCACTACAGGTGGCGTTGATAGACAGGAAGACCCCAGTGATATGAAGGTGAGTGGTGTATGAAGGTATGAGTTGTTGTCTTCTTTATGTTGTTTGGACTGGGTGTGAGCGTTTATGGGATTTTTATGGAGGAATAGTGTCTTGTTAAAGTTTTGTATAATGAAAAATATTGCCTTGTTGATTTGTTTTGTCGCGAATCTGCTGAATGTTTTGTTCGTGTCTTGCTCTGTAATGTTTTTTTTTAGACTGTCGTCACTTTCATTTTGTAACCTACGCGACCTAACGTCCAACGGTCCAACAAAATGTTATGTCTGTCTCGTGCGCCCTTTGACCCCGAGGATCACATCAACCTTTTACCCCGAGGATCACATCAACCTTTGACCCCGAGGATCACATCAACCTTTGACCCCGAGGATCACATCAACCTTTGACCTCGAGGATCACATCTAGCGCGAGATTGTCTCTGCCTGATGGACTCCTATGCTAGACGGTCCAATCTCCCCCTCTGCTGGACGGTCCAACCTCCCCCTCTGCTGGACGGTCCAACCTCCCCCTCTGCTGGACGGTCCAATCTCCCCCTCTGCTGGACGGTCCAACCTCCCCCTCTGCTGGACGGTCCAATCTCCCCCTCTGCTGGACGGTCCAACCTCCCCCTCTGCTGGACGGTCCAACCTCCCCCTCTGCTGGACGGTCCAATCTCCCCCTCTGCTGGACGGTCCAACCTCCCCCTCTGCTGGACGGTCCAATCTCCCCCTCTGCTGGACGGTCCAACCTCCCCCTCTGCTGGACGGTCCAATCTCCCCCTCTGCTGGACGGTCCAACCTCCCCCTCTGCTGGACGGTCCAATCTCCCCCTCTGCTGGACGGTCCAATCTCCCCCTCTGCTGGACGGTCCAACATCCCCCTCTGCTGGACGGTCCAATCTCTGCTGGACGGTCCAATCTCTCCCTCTGCCGGACGGTCCAACCTCCCCCTCTGCTGGACGGTCCAATCTCCCCCTCTTACGGTCCGGACCAGGTGACCAGCGAACATGTGGGATCATCGATTGGTTATTGATCTGTGCCAACATCTTGTAAGACAGCACTTACATCAGACGTAGCTTGTGATAGAACATTCCGGAATGATGGACATGTCTGATGGAGTCTTGGTACTGTTGAGATCTTTTATTGTGTGACGTGTGTGTGTAACGTATGTGTGACGTGTGTAGGTGACGTGTAGGTGTGTATATGTGTGTAGTGTGTAAGAACAGCACGGTGAGTGAGTGTATCAATAAAACGTCAGACAAGAGACCGGGTTGAATTACACCACGGTCTAAATTTAGGGTATAAGGGGAGGCTAGTCTTGATACGATTGTTAGACCGAGACAGGTTAAATTTGGGTCGCTGTTGGAGATGGACTGTTGGTTGACAGATTGCTAGAGACAGACTGTTGTTTGACAGATTGCTAGAGACGGACTGTAGGTTGACAGATTACTAGAGACGGACTGTTGGTTGACAGATTGCTAGAGACGGACTGTTGGTTGACAGATTGCTAGAGACGGACTGTTGGTTGACAGATTGCTAGAGATGGACTGTTGGTTGACAGATTGCTAGAGACAGACTGTAGGTTGACAGATTGCTAGAGACGGACTGTTGGTTGACAGATTGCTAGAGACGGACTGTTGTTTGACAGATTGCTAGAGACGGACTGTTGTTTGACAGATTGCTAGAGACAGGTCTGATACTGGTAGATGAGTTAGGTAGGCTGGGGTTGGAGATGTGATACACTGAGTTGAAGAATTGTGTTAAGGTGTAAACTAATACGGATGTTTGGAATAAGAAGTTATGAGCTGACATCCAGAAGGTGGAAACATTCGGAGCATTTATTCTACGACCTTTTCAGCTGTTCCCTCCCTTTCTGCCTCCTCTAGCACGCTAGGTCGCCATGTCTTCCCTGAGTCGTCTGTCCCGGGGGTTCCACTCCAGAGATTTCTGGCTCTATTGCCAGCGTCCTTCCATTAAAATACATTTGTGTGCTACATGCAGGTGTAACATCCATCGTTCGTTTACTGGAAGCAGTTGTATCATTCATATGGTGCAAGCAGACTATCATTCATCGTTCGTTTACTGCAAGCAGGCGTATCATTAGCAGTTGTATCATCCATCCAACCAGCTATCGTCTGCTGCTTGCAGCTGTATCATTCATCGTTCGTCTACTGCAAGCAGTTGTATCATCCATCGTTCGTCTACTGCAAGCAGTTGTATCATCCATCCATCCAGCTATCGTCTGCTGCAAGCCGTTGTATCATTCATCTACTGCAAGCAGTTGTATCGTCCATCCAGCCATCTTCTGCTGCAAGCCAGCGTATCATTAGGGCGTTTTACGGTTCATTAGCTGACAGACGAGGTAGGGGAGAGAATTTATTTGATGCTTGCCCCTGATGATCTGGCTCTCTAGACGGGCAGACTAGATGGAGAGCCTATCAGACGTGATAAAACATGAAGGCAGGTTGATGGAATGAATCTCGTGACCTTTAAACTCATGGAGTGATCGGCCTTTGATACACTGTGATGGAGTGATCGGCCTTTGATACACTGTGTAAACGATGTTGGTGAGGTTGTGTTTGTTGACATGGATAGTGATAGTCAGCACGTGAAGCAGTCAGCCATTCATCAAAACAAGGATCGGAAAGTGAATAATAAAGCAGCAGTCTTAAAAAGTGAAATTGTGTTGAACTTTTTAAAAGCTGTACTGACCACCCCTAAACTTTCTAGAATATTCCTCTTCCACAGTGAGGGTTGGGATGGCACTTCCGGGCTATAGCTATGGTAGTTCCGCTTGTGAAAGCTGATCTTTTTTCGATAAAAACATAAACTCGAAAAGATATTAGAATATCCTGTTTTATGAGAATGTCTTTAAAAATTAGCAATCAAGGGGGATTTTCTGGAAATCTTAAATAAAATACCACTTTTGTTTACCGAAAAATGCTCAAACGTTAACAGAAATCAAAGTAAATAGCCTATATTACCCACCCAACTGAAACGCGACTCGAGGTAACGGTATTTTAAAAACCGGAAACAGAACAAAGAACTACTTTGGATATCAAAAATTTGAAGAAACTTAAGTTTAAAATCTAAAAATGTTATTTCGTCTACTTAACTAAAAGGTACTAAAATTATCGTGTTCAAGTGAAATGCTATTTCCGGAAATAGCCAAAAAGTTAAACGAAACCTGCGTATACAATAAAATAGCCTACTTGTAAATGAAATTTCGTCAACCAGATTGAAAAGGCAATCTATTATACAACTTTTATACGCTGCCATAGCTATACGCACTTTTTTCTTATACTTGAAGTTTAATTTCTCCCTTACATAAATCGATCTAATGAGATTTTTTACCTCCCTTCTATCGTTTTTAATTTCCCTCCCCTCCCCCATCTTCCAATCGATGTATTAAACAGTTTAATTACCTCCCCTTCCGCCGGACACATCAGATTGTGCCGGCAAGATGAGCCGGTCCCGGCTGGACAAGAGTTCTTCAGACAACGTCAAGCCGTCAGAGCAGGGGAGATAAACAAGGGGAGAGGATCGCACGTAGGGTAGATAATGATGCAGGAGTTACCGGCCCTAGTGCAGCAGTAAAAAAATTTAATCAGTTACATTGTGTGGCCGGGGGGTGAGATTTGAAGATGTGTTCTCTACGTCCTCACAATGGTGGTCGGAGATGGGTGGGGGAGGGGGGTGGGGTACGCTGTAGCCTGAGGACACGGATAAACAAAGGCAATATAACAGCTGATGGTGCTACAGCGTGATAATGAGGGAATGTTCGGTCTCACACACAAGGAGCTGGCTCTAGACACAGGTCGGTCAAACTAGACACAAGTCTGTCAAAGTTGGGTATAGACACAGGTCTGTCAACGTTGGCTCTAGACACAAGTCTGTCAAAGTTGGCTCAGACACAGGTCTGTCAAAGTTGGGTCTAGACACAAGTCTGTCAAACTAGACACAGGTCTGTCAACGTTGGGTCTAGACACAGGCCTGTCAAAGTTGGCTCTAGACACAGGTCTGTCAAAGTTGGGTCTAGACACAGGTCTGTCAAAGTTGGGTCTAGACACAGGTCTGTCAAAGTTGGGTCTAGACACAGGTCTGTCAAAGTTGGCTCTAGACACAGGTCTGTCAACGTTGGGTATAGACACAGGTCTGTCAACGTTGGCTCTAGACACAGGTCTGTCAAAGTTGGCTCTAGACACAGGTCTGTCAACGTTGGGTATAGACACCATTCTGTTACTGCTTTATCCATGTCTGTCACGAACAAATGACATTCAGATGCTCAACATTTTGATATGTGAGAGGTAGTCAAATAGTACAAATGTGACATGATGGTAAATAGTTGACATGATGATGACAAGTAGATGACATGATGATGACAAATAGATGACATGTTGATGACAAGAACACGATAGCTGTGAATTCCATTTTTTATTCAGACTAGTTAAAACAAAAAGAACATGAAGAAAATAATGTCTCACACCCACAATCACCAACACACAGACACATTCATCTAAAAAAATTGTGTCCAAGAATCTGTATGTGACGGTGACACAAACGAGGCTAATCATCACCTCTCACAATACATCAATTGCTACTCTAATTATCTAAAGCAATCTTCAAATCTCTCTCCCACAATTCCCCCCCCCCCCCCCCCACCAACTCTGCCTGTCAATGAATTCAGCTCATTTGGAGACAAAAACATCTATTTTTGACATAATTTTTTTTTATGTCAGCTTGTTGCTCATCTTCTAAGAGATGATTACGTTAAAAAATCTGGCAACAATCACGTCATGCAACATCAATCAACAGCCCGCAATTGGGCCATCAAATAAACAGTTGGCCACTAGATGGATAGTTCACCTTATGTCTGGCCATGGGGTGAGCTGTCCAGAAAACACCTGGCCACTAAAAAGTCATGCCACCATTCAACTTGGCCACTAACACAACACCATCCAACTGGGCCACCAATACAACACCATCCAACCAACACAACACCATCCAACCAGGCTACCAACACAACACCATCCAACTGGGCCACCAATACAACACCATCCAACCAATACAACACCATCCAACCAACACAACACCATCCAACCAGGCTACCAACACAACACCATCCAACTGGGCCACCAATACAACACCGTCCAACCTGGCATACCAACTAAAAGAAAAAATCTCCTGATTACAAGTAGATTCAGCTGCTTACAAAAGTCAGGTTAAAAAAATGACAAAAATTTTGTTTGCAAAGTAGTGAAGCAGTCAACACACTCCCCATGGGAGTGTATTGATCGGCCATCAAGTCCTCCATCATACAACAAGTCCACCATCATACAATAAGTCCTCCATCATACATGACATACAAGATGACAAGATCCAATCAGTTAATCACATCTCACATCCATCTTAAAACAGATCGGGTCAAAATAAATCATATCTGTAGGACATTTGTTGTTACCCAAAAAAATTAGTTCATGAACTATGTCTTGATTAGTTCAGGAACTGTCTGGATTAGTAATTCATTAACAATGTCTAGATTAGTTCAGGAACACTTCATGAACAAGAAAATTTCCTTGCATGTCCATAGGAATGTTTTTCACCTATTCTCGCAGGTCAAACAATTAGCCATTAGCTATCTACATAAATTCAAACAATTTTCTACTTGCTAACTGTACCAAATCAAACAAATGCCTATTTGAAATCTAGATCCAGTTAATTAAATTATGTTGAGGTTTTTCAAATGTACACATGAAATGGAATGTCATCCATGAAAAAAATGCTAACATCAAATGATCTTTAGCATAATATGAACAATGTATAAAAACTGAGGAATATGCTAAAGTTTGAAGAAAATCTTAGAATAAAAAACATGAAATGATGACTTGAATGGTGGTGACCAGGATGAGTGATACAGCACCCAGCAATGGGTGTAAACCAAGGGACGTCATGCAGAAAATTCCATCAATCCCTCCAGAGTTACCCATCTACAATCAGAGCTTTCACTTGATTTCATTAGAGAATAATTACCAAGCACATTGATTCAAACTAGTCAACATTTTGTGTAGGAGAAAGTAAATCTTCTACACATGATAATGAACAAAAATTGTAAACTTATAGCTATGACAATGACTTGTACACATATTGTAGCTATAAAACTCAAATGCTGTCATACAGTTTAGCTATGACAATGACTTGTGGATGCCTCATCTTGTAGCTAAGACAATGAGCTTAGCACAGTTGGCATCAAATGAACAGGAAGGTAGTTTTGTTTTCATTAAGTTAGTTACAATGAGACGGGCAAGGACATTTCACATGAATAATGTGACACTGTATTTGTTAAGTAACAAGACTGAATCACACACTTCTTTTAACTTACAACACAACATTTATTTTTTCAAACTTTTATCCTACTGACTGCTTTAAAAAAAAAACGACTTTTATCCTTTTGACTGCTTTCAAATCAAACAACTTTTATCCTTTTGACTGCTTTCAAATAAAACAACTTTTATCTTGTCACCTGGTTTAAAATAAAACAAACTTTTTAACCACATTTGCTGTCACCCAGACCTTAGAGCATGAACAATGGTCAAGTTTATGTACATTGTAAGTAGTTATCTGGTCAAATATAGGTCAGCGCTGTTGGCCAGACATTGATGACTCCACTGCCCAGACTGTCTACAACTGAGAAGTTGTGATGTTTACACATGTCATTAAAGTCTCTAGGCCAGTAGAGAACCAGCTCAAATTGTGTGTACCAGTGCATGACCTCTGACCCCTGACTGGTGCCCATGACCTCTGACTGGTGCACATGACCTTTGATCCCTGACTGGTGCCCATGAAAACAAAGCTGAAACAAAGATTGCCATGAGAGTCCAGTGAGTAGAGTCAGTGACACCCGTCAAGTTGCAGGAATGATTAAGATGCAATCAGTTGCATGAGATCTGCATACGGGCTGTCTGGCACTGCGATGGCGCTAAAGGTGGCGACAAAAGCTTTCCTGTGTGCCTCGTCAGCCAGCTGTCTGTAGAAGTCTAGAGCACACAGACAGAAGAAGTGGCAGTCTACAGGCTCCATGTAGCCCATACGTCCCAGGATGTGAGGGAAGCTGGCAGTTAAGGAAAGCAGCACAGCAATAGCATGCTCAATCATGACAACATACAATCATGCCAACATTCACAACAATCATGACAACATTCAAACAATCAGGTAAACATTCAAACAATCATGTCAACATCCAAACAATCAGGTAAACAAACAATCATGTCAAATCAGGTAAACATTCAAACAATCATGACAACATTCACAACAATCACGTCAAGATAAAAAATGTGCATATGAAAAATGTTGATAAAGTAAAATGTTATGAGGTTGTGTAAGTATGTTGATGAGACTATGTAAGTGTAAGAATGTGTAATGTACTGGGAGGCCCCAGAAACTGTGGTGAAGGATACAGGGCCCTGAGCCAGACATTGGTGGAAGCGCTGATGAAGAACAGTGTCAGACTCCACATCGCCATGGCCAGTGGTGACCTCTGGGTGAAGTTGGACAAGCTGAGCATGACCCACTCCTTGACCAGCCCCTGCTGCTGTTGTTGGTGGAGGTTGGTGAACACCTGGCATAGATGGAAACAGACTTTTATAGTTCTAGTACAGACAGGCACAGACTTTTAGAGTGCTAGTCAAAACTTGGAAAAATATTTTACTCTGCTATAATGTATCAAACAATCTATCCCAGTAAAAATACAAGAGCCATTCATTAGAACTGACAGTGCTCTAGAGGTCTAATTTGGGACAGGCAGCTATATTTATACGTTATTGGAAAGAAAACCTTGGCTATGAGGTATGGGTATGGTTGGTGGTCTACAGAGGCAGCTTATGTATACGTTACCTGAAAGACAACCTTGGCTATGAGGTATGGGTATGGCTGATGTGCAGACAAAAATTCCCCAATCACTTTGTTCATGATGTCCTGAGCTGGGAAAAAGTCAGCCAAAAAAGCTGGTAACAATCTTGTTATCACTCGTGCTTCGTACGGGTAACCTTTCTTTATTCTGTGGATTATGGATAGTTGACATAAATAATCAAATCCAGAGCTTAAACCCTACTGTAGAATTTAACATTATCTTAAGCTATAAAGAAACATCAAACAAATATAGACATCAACACAATCTAACCCTTCACTGAGCACGACCTTTAACCTTTAGGTACACCTGATATATTTACTGGATTGGGATTTTGTTTTATTTTGTTGTGTTTATTGAAGAAAAATTTCCAATTGAACTAACAACTGACCGAGCAAGTAGTCCAGTGACCTAACTCTGACCTATCAAACAGCACAGTGACCCAACACTGACCTATCAAACAGTACAGTGACCTAACACTGACCTATCAAACAGCACAGTGACCTAACACTGACCTATCAAACAGCACAGTGACCTAACACTGACCTATCAAACAGCACAGTGACCTAACACTGACCTATCAAACAGCACAGTGATCTAACACTGACCTATCAAACAGCACAGTGACCTAACACTGACCTATCAAACAGCACAGTGACCTAACACTGACCTATCAAACAGCACAGTGACCTAACACTGACCTATCAAACAGCACAGTGACCTAACACTGACCTATCAAACAGCACAGTGACCTAACACTGACCTATCAAACAGCACAGTGACCTAACACTGACCTATCAAACAGCACAGTGACCTAACACTGACCTATCAACAGCACAGTGACCTTAAACTGACCTATCAAACAGCACAGTGACCTAACACTGACCTATCAAACAGCACAGTGACCTAACACTGACCTATCAAACAGCACAGTGACCTAACACTGACCTATCAAACAGCACAGTGACCCTCTCCATGGCTAGAATAAGAGAGTCTGGGTCTTGGTGAAGCAGCTGAAACCCGTTGTCACTAAATGCTAGCTCTTCTCTTGGCCTCGGGCTGTACTGGTCAGTTGATTTACCTGGATACATACAGGTAAACATACCTGAATACATACAGGTAAACATACCTGAATACATACAGGTAAACATACCTGAATACATACAGGTAAACATACCTGAATACATACAGGTAAACATACCTGAATACATACAGGTAAACATAACTCACCTGAATACATACAGGTAAACATAACTCACCTGAATACATACAGGTAAACATACCTGAATACATACAAGTAAACATAACTCACCTGGATACATACAGGTAAACATACCTGAATACATACAGGTAAACATAACTCACCTGGATACATACAGGTAAGCATACCTGAATACATACAGGTAAACATACCTGAATACATACAGGTAAACATAACTGACCTGAATACATACAGGTAAACATAACTCACCTGAATACATACAGGTAAACATAACTCACCTGAATACATACAGGTAAACATAACTCACCTGGATACATACAGGTAAACATAACTCATCTGAATACATACATGTAAACATAACTCACCTGGATACATACAGGTAAACATAACGCACCTGAATACATACAGGTAAACATAACTCACCTGAATAAATACAGGTAAACATAACTCACCTGAATACATACAGGTAAACAGAACTCACCTGAATAAATACAGGTAAACATAACTCACCTGGATAAATACTTGTAAACATAACTCATCTGAATACATACAGGTAAACATAACTCACCTGAATACATACAGGTAAACATAACTCACCTGAATACATACAGGTAAACATAACTCACCTGAATACATACAGGTAAACATAACTCATCTGAATACATACAGGTAAACATAACTCACCTGAATACATACAGGTAAACATAACTCATCTGAATACATACAGGTAAACATAACTCACCTGAATACATACAGGTAAACATAACTCACCTGAATACATACAGGTAAACATCACTCACCTGAATACATACAAGTAAACATTAAACCCAGGGCAGCCAGCGCCCTCTGTGGATTAGGTAAACACAGCCTAAAAGAAAGGAAACAAACATTTTTAGTTAGGGTATATTAGAGACAACTCAAGCAAAGGGCTACATGATTATATATGATACATCCAACAAACACTGAGGCTACAAGGCTACCTGATACACCAAACATGAAGCTACAAGGCTACCTGATACACCAAACACTGAAGCTACAAGGCTACCTGATACACCAAACACTGAAGCTACAAGGCTACCTGATACAACAAACATAAAGCTACAAGGCTACTAGATACACCAAACATGAAGCTACAAGGCTACCTGATACACCAAACATGAAGCTACAAGGCTACCTGATACAACAAACATAAAGCTACAAGGCTACCTGATACACCAAACACTGAAGCTACAAGGCTACCTAATACACCAAACACTGAAGCTACAAGGCTACCTGATACACCAAACACTGAAGCTACAAGGCTACCTGATACGCCAAACATGAAGCTACAAGGCTACCTGATACACCAAACACTGAAGCTACAAGGCTACCTGATACACCAAACATGAAGATACAAGGCTACCTGATACAACAAACATGAAGCTACAAGGCTACCTGATACACCAAACATGAGGCTACAAGGCTACCTGATACACCAAACATGAGGCTACAAGGCTACCTGTTACACCAAACATGAAGCTACAAGGCTACCTGATACACCAAACATGAAGATACATGGCTACCTGATACACTAAACATGAAGATACAAGGCTACCTGATACACCAAACATGAAGCTACATGGCTACCTGATACACCAAACATGAAGCTACACGGCTACCTGATACACCAAACACTGAAGCTACATGGCTACCTGATACACAAAACACTGAAGTTACAGGGCTACCTGATACACCAAACACTGAAGCTACAAGGCTACCTGTCCATGCTGAGCTTGATGATGACTTCTGTATCAGCCTGGGCCAGTACATCAGTCAGCAGCAGTCTCTCAGTTCCCTTCATCACAGTCAGGAACACGGCAGTTGAGACGTTCTCCTCGTTCCCTGAGGCGGTCTGTACAACCAGCTGGTGAGATCAGGACAGATGGTTTAACACTGTCTGACTCTAACATGTAAGGTTTAACACTGTCTGACTCTAACATGTAAGGTTTACATTGTCTGACTCTAACATTTAAGGGTTAACACTGTTTGGCTCTAACATTGAGGGTTTAACACTGTCTCACTATACAATGGAAGGTTTAACACTCTCTGACACTAACCCAGCCATACAGCAGCACATGAGCCACCTACCTGCAGTATTTTGGAGACAAACTCCAAGTCCTTGATCTGGCTGCTGAAGTTCTCAATGATGTAGAAGGCTACGGTCCACATGGTGATGACAAACTGTTGACTGATGATACATGCTCTGTAGTGTACAGACAGGCAGGTGGTGTCACACACAGCAAGGTGCAGCCAGGACTAATTAGGTGCTCACTAATTAGGTGCTTACTAATTAGGTGCTCACTAATCACTAATTAGGTGCTCACTAATCACTAATTAGGTGCTCACTAATTAGGTGCTCACTAATTAGGTGCTCACTAATTAGATGCTCAATAATCACTAATTAGGTGCTCACTAATCACTAATTAGGTGCTCACTAATCACTAATTAGGTGCTCACTAATTAGGTGCTCACTAATTAGGTGCTCACTAATTAGATGCTCAATAATCACTAATTAGGTGCTCACTAATCACTAATTAGGTGCTCACTAATTAGGTGCTCACTAATCACTAATTAGGTGCTCACTAATCACTAATTAGGTGCTCACTAATCACTAATTAGGTGCTCACTAATTAGATGCTCAGTAATCACTAATTATGTGCTCACTATTCACTAATTAGGTGCTCACTAATTAGGTGCTCACTATTAACTAATTAGGTGCTCACTAATCACTAAATAGGTGCTCACTATTCACTAATTAGGTGCTCACTAATCACTAATTAGGTGCTCACTAATCACTAGTTAGGTGCTAAGTAATGACTAATTAGGTACTGACATATGACTAATTAGGTGCTGGCTATTGACATTTTGTTGCTAACTTATGACTAATTAGGTGCTGACTAATGACTAATTAGGTGCTGACTAATGACAAGTTAGGTGCTGATTTGGGTGGTAACAGTGATGTGGTTGCTTTCTGGTGCTTGTGCTAATGACTAATCTCAGGTGGTGACTAATATGACTACAGTCAGATGGTGACTAATATGACTAGTCAGGTAGTGACTAATATGCCTACAGTCAGGTAGTGACTAATATGACTAGTCAGGTGGTGACTAATATGACTAGTCAGGTGGTGACTAATATGACTAGAGCCAGGTGATAACTTACTGTGATATAACCACAGCCAAATGTTTGGCCAGGCAGTCCGTAAGAATGGGCAGCAGGCTAGTGTTGAGGTCAGTGTTGCCCCCCTCCAGTAGGTAGAGGGCGCCGTGAAGAGATGAGATCTTGGTGGGCATGTGGGTGCTCTTGAGACCAGTCTCAATCAACTTGACGATCCTCTCACTGATCAAAGCCTCCTGTCAGACACACGGGATCAACTTGAATTTATTACAACTCTAATGTGATCAACTTGAATTTATTACAATTCAGATGGGAATACCATGGACTCATGGTCAGTAGAGCCCAGCTCTTATGGGTACCTAACTCATGTTAGGGAAAGTAAAGGCAGCTGGGGAGAGTGCTGACCACACCATCCCTTCATATGCAGATACATCTATTTATTCTGCCTGATGGATTGCTAGGTCTAAGAGGATTCTTTATTTTACCATGGACTCACGGAGTCATTAGGGGCAGAATGGGACCAGTAAGGACATTGGGACCAGTAGGGACTGAATGGGACCAGTAGGGACTGAATGGGACCAGTAGGGACTGAATGGGACCAGTAGGGACTGAATGGGACCAGTAGGGACTGAATGGGACCAGTAGGGACTGAATGGGACCACTAGGGACTGAATCAAAACAGCTTTGATTCAATGCGACAGGAGAGATATAGACTTAGAGTGCCAACAACAGCTGTGGCCTTACACTAGACTTACAGTGCCAACAACAGCTGTAGCCTTAGACTTACAGTGCCAACAACAGCTGTGGCCTTACACTAGACTTACAGTGCCAACAACAGCTGTGGCCTTAGACTTACAGTGCCAACAACAGCTGTGGCCTTACACTAGACTTACAGTGCCAACAACAGCTGTGGCCTTAGACTTACAGTGCCAACAACAGCTGTGGCCTTACACTAGACTTACAGTGCCAACAACAGCTGTGGCCTTAGACTTACAGTGCCAACAACAGCCGTGGCCTTACACTAGACTTACAGTGCCAACAACAGCCGTGGCCTTACACTAGACTTACAGTGCCAACAACAGCCGTGGCCTTACACTAGACTTACAGTGCCAACAACAGCCGTGGCCATACACTAGACTTACAGTGCCAACAACAGCTGTGGCCTTACACTAGACTTACAGTGCCAACAACAGCTGTGGCCTTACACTAGACTTACAGTGCCAACAACAGCCGTGGCCTTACACTAGACTTACAGTGCCAACAACAGCTGTGGCCTTACACTAGACTTACAGTGCCAACAACAGCCGTGGCCTTACACTAGACTTACAGTGCCAACAACAGCCGTGGCCTTACACTAGACTTACAGTGCCAACAACAGCCGTGGCCTTAGACTTACAGTGCCAACAACAGCCGTGGCCTTACACATGCCCACAATCAGGTACTGGGTGATGAGCTCGTCCTCCACTGGGTGACCCTTGAGCAGGTCCAGAAGGATGTCCTGCATGAACTCAAACTGTTCCCTCTCCATAAACAGGTCAGACAGGCAGACCATCTGAAACAGGCAGACAAACCATTTAATACAGACAAACCATCTCAGACAGACAAACCATCTAAAACAGACAGACAAACCATCTAAAACAGGCAGACAAATCATCTAAAACAGACAAACCATCTAAAACAGACAGACAAACCATCTAAAACAGACAAACCATCTAAAACAGACAGACAAACCATCTAAAACAGACAGACAAACCATCTAAAACAGACAGACAAACCATCTAAAACAGGCAGACAAATCATCTAAAACAGACAAACCATCTAAAACAGACAGACAAACCATCTAAAACAGACAAACCATCTAAAACAGACAGACAAACCATCTAAAACAGACAGACAAACCATCTAAAACAGACAGACAAACCATCTAATATCTGAATAGTTGTTAATTCAATACAACCAGGGAGAGAATACTTACAGACTTGACAACAGAGTTGAGTAACATGAGGGGAGGTTTGGGGCTGTTGTCAATGTGCAGCCAGGCTGCGTACAGCTCCAGCAGGAACTGCAGGCAGGAGTGGATGTCCAGTCCGCAGTGGTGGACGGAGCGTGATGAGGTGATGCGGCCACCGCTGGACGTGGAGGCTGAGGATGGTGTGGTGGCGGCGGTGTCAGGCTGACCTCCAGGACTGTCCAGGGAATCTGTGGTGTCTGAGTTGGACAGGTTGGTGTCTAGACTGCCCACCAGTGACCAGGTGGACTCTATGGAGATCTGGACACAGTCATGGACAAAGTTATTAGACAGACTAGATACAACATGGACAAAGTTATTAGACAGACTAGATACAACATGGACAAAGTTATTAGACAGACTAGATACAACATGGACAAAGTTATTAGACAGACTAGATACAACATGGACAAAGTTATTAGACAGACTAGATACAACATGGACAAAGTTATTAGACAGACTAGATACAACATGGACAAAGTTATTAGACAGACTAGATACAACATGGACAAAGTTATTAGACAGACTAGATACAACATGGACAAAGTTATTAGACAGACTAGATACAACATGGACAAAGTTTTTAGACAGACTAGATACAACATGGACAAAGTTATTAGACAAACTAGATACAACATGGACAAAGTTATTAGACAAACTAGATACAACATGGACAAAGTTATTAGACAAACTAGATACAACATGGACAAAGTTATTAGACAGACTAGATACAACATAGACAAAGTTATTAGACAGACTAGATACAACATGGACAAAGTTATTAGACAGACTAGATACAACATGGACAAAGTTATTAGACAGACTAGATACAACATGGACATAATCACAAGTTATTACAATGGTCTATTTACTAAAGTTGGTCAGCAGATATGCTGTCCATGGGTATGAGACTGACCTGCCCCAGGCTGAAGTCCTCCACCCCCAGCTCCCTCTCCAGGTTGCCATCAAACAGGCTTGGGCTGGACTTGTCTGCAGGGGTCCCACTGTATGCCTGGTGCACCAGCCTGTCTGGTCTGTTGGGGGAGGGGGGACACTTCATTAGCCACAGTACACAGTTAGTTAAATATGACACAGTTTTCATAAGCCACAGCACACAGTTTTCATTAGCTAGCCAGAAATTGATTGACGGTGACACCCATGTTTTCACTAACCTGACAGCACACAACTTGACAATCTCTTGCTCAATAAGACCTCTGATGACTGAAAGTTTCTTGCCACACCTAGCAACAAACAAGATTTTATTTACTCACATCTCGTCCAGTGCCACTATGTGATACTACTTGATAGTTTTACCCAAAGGATGGACCTATTCGTATAACTCATTGACCCAACCCTTCAACTGACCAACCTACACAAATGACCCACCTGCCAACCATCTCATTACATTTTTATCTGAATAACCCACACAGATGGATGATCTGCAACCATTTAAACTCACCAACCCAACCATCTTATATATCCAGTGAGAAATTTAACTAATTCACTGACCACCCAACTGACCAACCCACCCAGCTGACCAACCCACCCAGCTGACCACCCAACTGACCCACCCACCCAACTGACCAACCCACCCAACTGACCAACCCACCCAGCTGACCCACCCACCCAACTGACCAACCCACCCAACTGACCAACCCACCCAGCTGACCAACCCACCCAACTGACCAACCCACCCAGCTGACCCACCCACCCAACTGACCAACCCACCCAACTGACCAACCCACCCAGCTGACCAACCCACCCAACTGACCAACCCACCCAACTGACCAACCCACCCAGCTGACCACCCAACTGACCCACCCACCCAACTGACCAACCCACCCAACTGACCAACCCACCCAACTGACCAACCCACCCAACTGACCAACCCACCCAACTGACAGACCCACCCAGCTGACCACCCAACTGACCCACCCACCCAGCTGACCCACCCACCCAACTGACCAACCCACCCAACTGACCAACCCACCCAGCTGACCAACCCACCCAACTGACCAACCCACCCAACTGACCAACCCACCCAACTGACCAACCCACCCAGCTGACCACCCAACTGACCAACCCACCCAACTGACCAACCCACCCAACTGACCAACCCACCCAACTAACCCACCCATCCAACCAACCCACCCAACTAACCCACCCACCCAACTAGCCAACCCACCCAGCTAAACAACCCACCCAGCTGACCAACCCACCCACCTTGTGTGTAGAAAAGCCAAAGGTTTGTCCCTGGGCCTGATCTCAAAGAAGCTGTTGGAAGGGTTGCCAGCGTGTGGGACCAGTGAAGACTGCAGCAGCAGGGCAGTGATGGCCTTGACAGCGATGACCATCCCCTGGGCCTGCTCCACCTCCTCCTGAAACACAGACCCACGTTGGTTTTACACAGACCCACATTGGTTTTACACAGACCCATGTTGGTTTTACAACACAGACCCACATTGGTTTTACACAGACCCATGTTAGTTTTACACAGACCCACGTTGGTTTTACACAGACCCACGTTAGTTTTACACAGACCCACGTTGGTTTTACACAGACCCACGTTGGTTTTACACAGACCCACGTTGGTTTTACACAGACCCACGTTGGTTTTACACAGACCCACGTTGGTTTTACAACACAGACCCACATTGGTTTTACACAGACCCATGTTGGTTTTACACAGACCCACATTGGTTTTACACAGACCCATGTTGGTTTTACACAGACCCACGTTGGTTTTACACAGACCCACGTTGGTTTTACAACACAGACCCACATTGGTTTTACACAGACCCATGTTGGTTTTACACAGACCCACATTGGTTTTACACAGACCCATGTTGGTTTTACACAGACCCATGTTGGTTTTACAACACAGACCCACATTGGTTTTACACAGACCCATGTTGGTTTTACACAGACCCATATTGGTTTTACACAGACTCATGTTGGTTTTACAACACAGACCCACGTTGGTACACAACACAGACCCATGTTGGTTTTACACAGACCCACGTTGGTTTTACAACACAGAACCACATTGGTTTTACACAGACCCATGTTGGTTTTACACAGACCCATGTTGGTTTTACACAGACCAACGTTGGTTTTACAACACAGACCCACATTGGTTTTACACAGACCCATGTTGGTTTTACACAGACCCACATTGGTTTTACACAGACCCATGTTGGTTTTACAACACAGACCCACGTTGGTACACAACACAGACCCATGTTGGTTTTACACAGACCCATGTTGGTTTTACACAGACCCACGTTGGTTTTACAACACAGACCCATGTTGGTTTTACACAGACCCATGTTGGCTTTACACAGACCCATGTTAATTTTACACAGACCCATGTTGGTTTTACAACACAGACCCATGTTGGTTTTACACAGACCCATGTTGGCTTTACACAGACCCATGTTGGCTTTACACAGACCCATGTTAATTTTACACAGACCCAAGTTGGTTTTACAACACAGAGCCATGTTTTACAACAAAAACCCACATTAGTTTTACAACAAAAACCCAAATTAGTTTTACAACAAAAACCCACATTAGTTTTACAACAAAAAACCACATTAGTTTTATAACACAGATCCACATTAGTTTTACAACAAAAACCCACATTAGTTTTACAACAAAAAACCACATTAGTTTTATAACACAGATCCACATTAGTTTTACAACAAAAACCCACATTAGTTTTACAACAAAAAACCACATTAGTTTTATAACACAGACCCACATTAGTTTTACAACACAGACCCACATTAGTTTTACAACAAAAACCCACATTAGTTTTACAACAAAAACCCACATTAGTTTTACAACAAAAAACCACATTAGTTTTATAACACAGATCCACATTAGTTTTACAACAAAAACCCACATTAGTTTTACAACAAAAAACCACATTAGTTTTATAACACAGACCCACATTAGTTTTACAACACAGACCCACATTAGTTTTACAACAAAAAACCACATTAGTTTTATAACACAGATCCACATTAGTTTTACAACAAAAACCCACATTAGTTTTACAACAAAAAAACCACATTAGTTTTATAACACAGACCCACATTAGTTTTACAACAAAAACCCACATTAGTTTTACAACAAAAAACCACATTAGTTTTATAACACAGATCCACATTAGTTTTACAACAAAAATCCAAATTAGTTTTACATCACAGACCCACATTAGTTTTACAACAAAAAACCACATTAGTTTTATAACACAGATCCACATTAGTTTTACAACAAAAACCCACATTAGTTTTACAACAAAAAACCACATTAGTTTTATAACACAGATCCACATTAGTTTTACAACAAAAACCCAAATTAGTTTTACATCACAGACCCACATTAGTTTTATAACACAGACCCACATTAGTTTTACAACAAAAACCCAAATTAGTTTTACATCACAGACCCACATTAGTTTTATAACACAGACCCACATTAGTTTTACAACAAAAACCCACATTAGTTTTACAACAAAAACCCACATTAGTTTTACAACAAAAACCCAAATTAGTTTTACATCACAGACCCACATTAGTTTTACAAGAGTGACCAACATCAGTTTTATAACAAAGAACCATAATAGTTTTACATCACAGGCCAATGTTGGCTTGACATTACAGACACCATAGAGAACAACCTCAGGTGACAGTTCATGTCCAGTGTGGGAGACTGGGTTAAGCACACCCAACAGACTCATCCAACTTTCTTCAAACTGCTGTCTGTTCACCCAGCCTGCAAACATAGGGACAATCAAAGGGAGGTAACAACTAAAGGGAAGTAACAGTGTAAAGGGAAGTAACAGTGTACAGAGGGGGGGAGGGGATACATTCAACTGTTACAGATGTAGAGGTGATTAAAATGGTTAGTCATGCTCAGGTATTGACCAACATTGGCTGAATCCTCTAACTTAGATTAGTATTCTATAACTAAGTTTATTTCTGTGTCGCCAACTGCAAGAAAAGAAACCTAGTTAGCCAAATTAGCTCTTTAAAACCATAACAATAATCCCAGCAAACCAATACAATTTTCTACATTGACCCAGTTGTTTTGCCAATTTTTATGCCAATTTCAGTTTTTTTTTCTTAAAGCAGTTTTAGCGTACAGTTGCTTGAGCATATTTTTTTTTAAACTTGCGACACTGCATTTTTTTAACGTAGCAGAAGATAACTCAGCGGCTAGGTCAAATATTTTTTCTGTGCATTTTAAAAAATGTACACAAAAATGAGTACTTTTTTAAAAATTAATTACAATTTGGAAGAAAAATAAACTTCGCTGCATTTTCTAAGAACAAAATATTGCTAAAAATTATTTTCTCATTAATTTTCCCTCCACAAATGTTTCTCCTGTGAAAAATTACTATTATTTTTCTTTTTTAAAAGTATATTTTCTATTTTCAGTAAATAAATCAGAACTTAATTTGTGTGTACAGAATGCAATTACAATTAATTAAATTATTTATACTGTGTAGGTTTTTTATTAAAATAGTAAAAAAGATACCAATCTTTTTGAAGCATAGGTACTAAATAAAATTGAGGGGAAAATATTCTTGTGGAATTAGAAAATAATTTTGGTCGTAAAGAGTTATTTTCAAATTGTCGCTAATACTTTGAACATTTACCAAGGGAGTTAATCCTAGAGACGAACTCCTTTAGGACATCCTTCTCTTGCAGGTACTCAACAGGCAGGGGAGGTAAACATGTGCGCAACTCTCCCACAGGGGTGGGTGACCACCCCAGCCTCCACACCAATGGGGGTGTCCTGGCATACGTGTTAATCACTGGTAGACGAGACACGGCTGAAAGGGAGGGACAAGATTAACCTTTGACCCTTAAACACAATCTCTACAATCAATCCCTCGTCCTAGGAAATAATGATTGTGTCAGAATAAAGCAAATTTATTTAATTGAATCTCACCAATAATGATGGTGTCAGAATAAAGCACATTTATTTAATTGAATCTCATAAAATAACAAAACTAGCCAGTTGCATGAAAAATGACCACATGTCTACTCACCAATAATGATGTTCCTGAATTACCCCATGTCTACTCACCAATAATGATATTCCTGAATATAAAAATGACCCCATGTCTACTTACCAATAATGATGTTCCTGAATGACCCCACCTACAATGATATTCCTGAATATAAAAATGACCACATGTCTACTCACCAATAATGATGTTCCTGAATTACCCCATGTCTACTCACCAATAATGATATTCCTGAATATAAAAATGACCCCATGTCTACTCACCAATAATGATGTTCCTGAATGACCCCACCTGCGATGATATTCCTGAATATAAAAATGACCCCATGTCTACTCACCAATAATGATGTTCCTGAATGACCCCACCTACGATGATATTCCTGAATATAAAAATGACCCCAAGTCTACTCACCAATGATGATGTTCCTGAATGTGGAATGACCCCATGTCTACTCACCAATGATGATGTTCCTGAATGTGCCCATGTCTACTCACCAATGATGATGTTCCTGAATGTGCCCATGTCTACTCACCAATAATGATGTTCCTGAATGTGCCCATGTCTACTCACCAATAATGATGTTCCTGAATGTGCCCATGTCTACTCACCAATAATAATGTTTCTGAATGTGCCCATGTCTACTCACCAATAATAATGTTTCTGAATGTGCCCATGTCTACTCACCAATAATAATGTTTCTGAATGTGCCCATGTCTACTCACCAATAATAATGTTTCTGAATGTGCCCATGTCTACTCACCAATAATAATGTTTCTGAATGTGCCCATGTCTACTCACCAATAATAATGTTTCTGAATGTGCCCATGTCTACTCACCAATAATAATGTTTCTGAATGTGCCCATGTCTACTCACCAATAATAATGTTTCTGAATGTGCCCATGTCTACTCACCAATGATGATGTTCCTGAATGTGCCCATGTCTACTCACCAATGATGATGTTCCTGAATGACCCCACCTACGATGATATTCCTGAATATAAAAATGACCCCAAGTCTACTCACCAATGATGATGTTCCTGAATGTGGAATGACCCCATGTCTACTCACCAATAATAATGTTTCTGAATGTGCCCATGTCTACTCACCAATGATGATGTTCCTGAATGTGCCCATGTCTACTCACCAATGATGATGTTCCTGAATGACCCCACCTACGATGATATTCCTGAATATAAAAATGACCCCATGTCTACTCACCAATGATGATGTTCCTGAATGTGGAATGACCCCATGTCTACTCACCAATGATGATGTTCCTGAATGTGCCCATGTCTACTCACCAATGATGATGTTCCTGAATGACCCCACCTACGATGATATTCCTGAATATAAAAATGACCCCATGTCTACTCACCAATGATGATGTTCCTGAATGTGGAATGACCCCATGTCTACTCACCAATGATGATGTTCCTGAATGTGCCCATGTCTACTCACCAATGATTATGTTCCTGAATGTAGAGGCTAGAAACTCTGGTAGCTTGGGCTTGTGGCTACTGTTGGGGTCAAGCCTGGTGTGTAGACAGTGGACAAGTTCAGAGATTTCATCACAGGCTCTGGTCAAACAGGCTGACAGGGACACTGAAACCAAAGGTGGACACAGGTTAAACTGACCCATAGGGTCAAACAGGCTGACAGGGACACTGAAACAAAATGTTGACACAGGTTAAACTGACCCATAGGGTCAAACAGGCTGACAGGGACACTGAAACAAAAGGAGGACATTGAGCCATTAACCAAAATATACCTAAGTTAGTCGGCTTAAACAAAGGGAGAATTTGAGTGTTATGTAAGAAAAAATGCCAAGGCTGTACCCACCGTCATCATCTTCAGCTTCTTCCCTTCTGTCATCTTGAAACAAGCAGGCAACATGTTCTCCTGGCAGTACAGCCACTGTAGGGAAAACATTGGGCACAATAGTGGGGCAGGTCACTTTGGGATAGTGGGGGGGAGGTCATATAAAAGTTTTAAAAGTTTACTTGAGGCCAGATATAAAAGTTTACTTGAGGCCAGATATAAAAGTTTACTTGAGGCCAGATATAAAAGTTTACTTGAGGCCAGATATAAAAGTTTACTTGAGGCCAGATATAAAAGTTTACTTGAGGCCAGATATAAAAGTTTACTTGAGGCCAGATATAAAAGTTTACTTGAGGCCAGATATAAAAGTTTACTTGAGGCCAGATATAAAAGTTTACTTGAGGCCAGATATAAAAGTTTTAAAAGTTTACTTGAGGCCAGATATAAAAGTTTTAAAAGTTTACTTGAGGCCAGATATAAAAGTTTTAAAAGTTTACTTGAGGCCAGATATAAAAGTTTACTTGAGGCCAGATATAAAAGTTTACTTGAGGCCAGATATAAAAGTTTACTTGAGGCCAGATATAAAAGTTTACTTGAGGCCAGATATAAAAGTTTACTTGAGGCCAGATATAAAAGTTTACTTGAGGCCAGATATAAAAGTTTACTTGAGGCCAGATATAAAAGTTTACTTGAGGCCAGATATAAAAGTTTACTTGAGGCCAGATATAAAAGTTTACTTGAGGCCAGATATAAAAGTTTACTTGAGGCCAGATATAAAAGTTTACTTGAGGCCAGATATAAAAGTTAAAAAGTTTACTTGAGGCCAAGAGCTGGTAGAGAAAGCCCACAATGCTGCAGACCCAGGTGGCCTTGTCCGTCTGACCCATCAACGCGTGGACCGTGGGGTCCTGCAGCAGCAAGGACAGGCAGGACAAACAGTTCTGGATATGCTCGGATTCTGGCAGCATGTCATGCTCCACTGACCAGTGGATCAGCTGGGGAAAGAAAACATTGGCCAGGTAGAGGTTCAACCAAATCATCAAGTGCTGGAACTTTCTGCCTGCTTGGTGAGCAGGAAGCTTTAATACTTTAACCCTACAAAAATTCCTTTTGAAAAAAAAAAAAATCTGACTGAGCTTTCACTTAAAATCATTTAAATATCCAACACTATCAATATTTTGTAATCCAAAGAGACTACTTATTACAGCACAAAGTACAACAAAACTAGCCACTAATTACCTCAGCACAAAGTACAACAAAACTAGCCAAAAATTACCTCAGCACAAAGTACAACAAAACTGGCCACTTATTACCTCAGCACAAAGTACAACAAAACTAGCCACAAATTACCTCAGCACAAAGTACAACAAAACTGGCCACTAATTACCTCAGCACAAAGTACAACAAAACTGGCCACTAATTACCTCAGCACAAAGTACAACAAAACTGGCCACATCTTTCAGACTGTCTGCAGGTAGAACACCTTTCCATGGAAACTGGTTGAGGGCCACCATGTAGCGCACAAAAGCAGACGCCAAGCAGAAGTTGGTGTCCACCCACTGAGCATCTGTAAAGAGTTCTTCTATCCTGTCCATGTAGTGTAGGCTGGAGGCTGGGGCTGAATCTACACAAACATACACATGTCAATTCTGTCAAGCCTTCAGATCATGGGGTTGAATCTACACAAACGTACACATGTCAATTTAGTCAAGTCTTCAGATCATGGGGCTGAATCTACACAAACACACACGTCAATTTAGTCAAGCCTTCAGATCATGGGGCTGAATCTACACAAACATACACACGTCAATTTAGTCAAGCCTTCAGATCATGGGGCTGAATCTACACAAACATACACATGTCAGTTTAGTCAAGCCTTCAAATCGTTCAGATTAATTCTAAAGCTTTTTTATCCAATTACTTAAGCCAATAATCCAACTACTTAGGCCATTAATCAAATCATTTAGGCCATTAATCCAACTACTTAGGCCATTAATGCAACCACTTAGGTCATTAATCCAACTAGAGGCCAGTAATCCAACCACTGGGAAGTAACTAAACATAACTTTATAAGTAAATTTTATATATTCAAAATTGTAATAAAATAATAATACATTAAAATTGTTTACATTAAATTCAAAATTGTAAAAAAAAAGACCTTAATAAACTTTACATAATTCAAATGTATGGGACCAAAGATACATAATGTTAAGCTATTCATGCTAATTTTTTACCCATCCTGAAAACCCATCCTAAACTGTTCAAAAAATCCAAAAGTATCTTTAAATACTATTGCTCTAACAAAAAAAAATTCTCTTAATTTTTATAAACAAAAATCTTTTACTTTCCCTTCCCAGAACAGAACATCATTTCCTGTCAGAAACTACTAGCGTGGTGTAATGTAGTTGACCATTATGCCAAGTTTGTGAACACATCTGGTGACAGACTGAAGCAGGTAATAAAGAGGCACTCACCCAAGACATTGGTGGCTGACTATAGCAGGTAATAAAGAGGCACTCACCCAAGAAGACAAGACACTGATGTGGCATGGGCAGCTGGAGCACCACGTTGTTGATGTGTCTGATCAGGGTCAACTGGGAGGCCTGGAACAGGGGGTCAAGGGCGTGCTCGTTAGGGTGGGGCTGAGGACTGAGTGAACCCATCTCCACATCTCTGTTGTAGCGCAGCATGGAGCGAAACGCCCCCAGGGACATGCACTCCTCAAGGATGGACAAATTAAATTCCTGAAAACAAACAGACAAAAGTGTTGCTTGGCAAAAATGTTCGCTTGTGTAAGTTTCAATACGCAATTGTAGAAGTTTGCCATACATTTCTGTTAAAAATATTTTAAACATTTATTTTCTGGAGATTGACATTTAAACTATAGCTTTCAACATGTATTTCAGGTGTAAATGTTTTGGTAGAAAGATTTGACTTGAATGATTGCAGCCTGCCCACCCACCTTGGTCATAGTGATTGATAGAATGTCAGGATATTCCAGACGCTGCAGCAGGAATGCACACTCCCGCGTGTTGGGGTTTGACTTGAAGCACTGCTCTTTTACTATTGACAGGTAGAACTCCTAGAGACAGTAAACATTTCTCAGTCAGAACAAAACCATCACAATCATATCTTTATTTTTTTAATTGTTTAATAACCTAATAACTCTTAAACTTAAATATACTTACCAAAGTAATTTAAAAATGGTTTTGTTTGTACTAGTAATAAGAACGGGTGCCTTCTTAGTATTGATAAAGGTCATTTAAAAAGGTTTTTATATTGATAAAAAAAAACTAGTACCTTGTTGATATTGATTTGAGCAACATCCAACGGTACAGTGGAGAGGGGGTGGGATCTCTCAGGGGACAGTTTGATCTGTGCTGTGGAACCTGCGGCTGTACACAACTTGCTGAGTAGAGAGGTCAGACGCTCGTGTCTGGGGAATACAGTGTATCAAAATATAATCTTAGACTTAAGTGACACCAAAAGTAAATAGTGTACACAAAAGTAAATAGTCTACACAGATAAAAGCATGAGTTAGCACCTTTGTATCAATCCATTGGACTTCATGAACTGTACAAGTTTCTCTATATCCTCCTTTGGTAGTTGCTTGGATATCTCCTGACCAGAGAACAGCAAATGTCAGTACACATATGATACATGTGTGATAACATGGAATATGTCTTACAAGTCTGAATGAGGTCAGAAGTCAGTCTTACAAATGTAAGCAGAAGCATGCCTATCTCCAGAGAAACACACAACTTATGGTTTCTCCACACAACCTACCTCTGTGGTTTCTCCACACAACCTACCTCTGTGGTTAGTCCACACAACCTACCTCTGTGGTTTCTCCCAGAAGCGCCTCCAACCTCTGACACACAATGGCATCGGTCATCCTGGTGATGGCCAGTCTGTGGCAGCCCAGGAACTTGTCAATCAACAGCGCCACCAGAGACCCACTTTGTGATATGTGAATGGCGTCCAGACATTTCAATGTTCTCTTTACCATGGAGGGCTGCAGAGACATGGAGTATGAAGGAGTAGGAGATAAATTAATGGTAGGGTTTGGTTAGAGGTGTAACAATAAGCTGGAGGGTGAATGTTGCAGTGGAGATCTACCTTAGTGATGCTGTCACCTCGAGCATGGATAGCCTGGATGAACAAACTACTGGCCGCAGGGTTCCGATGGATTGCACTAGAAATAAACACAAAGATTATCTTAAGCTTAGAGAAAACAATTGTTTGGACAAACACAGCACAACAGGTTTTGATAGCTTAAGTTAAACTTTTTAAAGTTTTCGTAGTGTATATCTATATATATAATTCTCTACATGCGGGACACCACCACGTAAGCACGCATCGCTTCCCCCTCCCTTGCGCTCCAAGCATATTGCTACCACCCCAACAGTCTGATGAGCTTTGGTTCACGACGAATGTTTACAATCGTAGAGCCAAGTTGAATTATTGACAGCTATAAGGGGCAGATAATTTTGTATTTAAATGATTTGAAACCAAGAGGAGGTAACAATTTCTGCTTTATCTTTTCATTTTTGTCTGTAAACTGTCGTCATGGACGGCTGCTTTCACAGTGTGTGGGGGGGGGGGAGTGTTGAATTCACAAATTATGAATTGCTGATAAGCAGAAAATAAAAAAACAAGATAGCGGCGTATGGTACGTCGCAGGTCAGCTCGTTTATTATAAAGTATCAAGTCCTATACAGTAGCCAAGAACAACATCCCTGTGCTGGTAGCTGCCAATGTTATCTAGAACTACCCCTCCCCACTCTAGAACAATCTCTCTCCACTCTAGAACCATCTCTCCCCTCTCTAGAATCATCTCTCTCCACTCTAGAACAATCTCTCCCCACTCTAGAACCATCTCTCCCCACTCTATAACAATGCCTTACCTGATGAAGTCCTGTACTGGTGACTCCTGAGACAAGAGAATCAAATCGCTGACATGGTTGATGATCAGCCACGTCATGTGTTCTGCATCACTCAAGTTTTCACACTGAAAGTTCATTGGGAATTTTTTTTAGTCACTCAAGTTTTCACACTGAAAGTTTATTAGGAATTTTTTTTAGTCACTCAAGTTTTCACACTGAAAGTTTATTGGGAATTTTTTTATAGTCACATGCACTCAAGTCACAGATCATATCTCCTGCCACACAGACAAGACCATCACAACTTTATAAGAAGAGACTATCAAAAGATGAACCAGGCCCTTACAACGAAGCAAATGAAACGTTTACCACATAATCACAGAACACGAAGCAAATGAAACGTTTACCACATAATCACAGAACAGAATGAGTCCACCTCTGCGCAACATTTCAAGACGACAACACTGTGAAGCGGGGCTGCTGCTGGTGTCAATGTCTTCAGAGATCATGGCGTATTCACCCCTGGGTCAGATAAAAAAGGTGTCAGACAGGGGCAGGTAACAACCTGTAATTACCTGGGTTCACCTGTGTCTCACTCACCTGGGGCCTACAGCTTTGTAGGTGGGTGGGGTTTGCACCACCCGCGTCCACAAGCTTCTGTCATCAAAGTTGATGAGTATGAGGACGTTGCACCAGTGGAGGGTGAGGGCGGGGCAGACGTTGCTGATACCAACCATGTGCTCGTTGATCTCCCCCACACTGTACATGCACGCAGGCGACTCCAACTGCAACAGTCGCATGGCAGCTGTGGCCACCTTACGGAACAAACCTGCAGGTAGCCAGAACACACAATTAGTCACTACACAGTAAGAACACACAATTAGTCACTCCACAGTAAGTACAAACACAATTAGTCACTAAACAGTAAAAACACACAATTAGTCACTAAACAGTAAAAACACAGAATTAGTCATTTGCTATTAACTTTGCTGGAGATAAAGTAGGAATGTATAGAAACCCAATAAACTAAGTTAGACATAAATAGGTACAATGATTTACTTTAGTCTATTGGCTAGAATCTGGTCCAGATCTTACCTGACTGAAACATGTGAGTGATGTAGAGCAGAAGATGTAGTGTCAGCTGCAACAGGAAGTGGCACCTGTTGGTGGAGGTCCCAGTCAAGCCAGAGTTGGAGAAGCTGCTGGGGTTACTAGATCCTAACAAGGATGTTTCTCTGTTCAACATCTCAGAGCACTTGCCAATCACCTGCAGCAGAAACCTGGGGATTGACAAGTTTTATGTCATGACACCTGTACAACCAAGTTTTGTGTCACATCACCCCTACAACCAACAAGTTTTGTGTCACATCACCCCTATAACCAACAAGTTTTGTGTCATGACACCTGTACAACCAACAAGTTTCATGTCACATCACCCCTACAACCAACAAGTTTCATGTCACATCACCCCTACAACCAACAAGTTTTGTGTCACATCACCCCTACAACCAACAAGTTTTGTGTCATGACACCTGTACAACCAACAAGTTTTGTGTCACATCACCCCTACAACCAACAAGTTTCATGTCACATCACCCCTACAACCAACAAGTTTTGTGTCATGACACCTGTACAACCAACAAGTTTCATGTCACATCACCCCTACAACCAACAAGTTTCATGTCACATCACCCCTACAACCAACAAGTTTTGTGTCATGACACCTGTACAACCAACAAGTTTTGTGTCACATCACCCCTACAACCAACAAGTTTCATGTCACATCACCCCTACAACCAACAAGTTTTGTGTCATGACACCTGTACAACCAACAAGTTTTGTGTCACATCACCCCTACAACCAACAAGTTTTGTGTCACATCACCCCTACAACCAACAAGTTTTGTGTCACATCACCCCTACAACCAACAAATTTTGTGTCACATCACCCCTACAACCAACAAGTTTTGTGTCATGACACCTGTACAACCAACAAGTTTTGTGTCACATCACCCCTACAACCAACAAGTTTCATGTCACATCACCCCTACAACCAACAAGTTTTGTGTCATGACACCTGTACAACCAACAAGTTTCATGTCACATCACCCCTACAACCAACAAGTTTTGTGTCATGACACCTGTACAACCAACAAGTTTCATGTCACAACACCCCTACAACCAACAAGTTTTATGTCACATCACCCCTACAACCAACAAGTTTCATGTCACATCACCCCTACAACCAACAAGTTTTGTGTCATGACACCTGTACAACCAACAAGTTTCATGTCACAACACCCCTACAACCAACAAATTTTGTGTCACATCACCCCTACAACCAACAAGTTTTGTGTCATGACACCTGTACAACCAACAAGTTTTGTGTCACATCACCCCTACAACCAACAAGTTTTGTGTCACATCACCCCTACAACCAACAAGTTTTGTGTCATGACACCTGTACAACCAACAAGTTTTGTGTCACATCACCCCTACAACCAACAAGTTTCATGTCACATCACCCCTACAACCAACAAGTTTTGTGTCATTAGCTAGGCCAATGCAAAAATTTAATTTCAGTAAAACAATATAATAGTTACATATTTGGATAGGGGCTGTCAATCTGATTACAGATCAGTTTAAATTTTCAAAATCTGACCATAAACAAAAAAGTTATGAATTTTTTTGTCATTAAAAAACAGCAGTTTTTTCAGACAACCGGGGTAGACCCTGAAAGAGGAAAAATACTGGGAGGGTATGGACCAAATTTTTAAGAGTTTTTCACTAAAAGTGGTATAAAAGCAAGCAGACTTCACCAATTGATGTCATTTTATGATATTTTGTAGATTTTTGTATGCCGAATCCAATGATGCTATTTTAAAAAGTGTCTTTTGATTACATAACAGACTTATTTCATGGATTATGTAATACCCCCCCTTCAATTTTTTTTACAACATCTGATAATCTGTGTGATAAGAAGTCATTCTTTAAATTAAACACTGTTTTAAACCATAATATGACATTTGTATATGCTGAAGCTAATGGTGATATATAAAATGGTCGAACATTATTACAAAACTATAAAGGTCAGGTTATGTAATTCGCACCTTTTGCTCATAATTTACCATGTATTTATTTTAAAATCTCTTTTGCTCATTGTCAGTTAACTTAAGTGAATAGCCTACTTAAAGAAAAGATAACTAATACAGTTTTAATACAAAGAGAAGGATGCTATAACAATAGTATATTTGTGATCAGTGTTTCTTCCAGACTTTTTTCTCCGGGGGGGCACTTGAAATCTTCGGGGGGGCGGTAAACTTTCTTCGGGGGGGCGGACACTGTTAAAAGTATATATTTTCTATATAAATTATATAAATTTCATTTCGTTCGGGGGGGCGGTAAAAAATTTTCGGGGGGGCTTCGCCCCCCCGAAGAGATGCCTGGAAGAAACTCTGTTTGTGATGATGTAACTTCTTAAAATATGTTATGTAATCTATGTGCAATCGTACAGGCCTACTCTATTCCAAAAATATAGGCATATCTTATTATATTTATATTTTTGTTACTTTAAATGTCATACCATTGATACAACTTTCTTCTATAGAATTAGCCTAGTTACAAATGTGTCTTATCAGAATCAGTGTGCTTTATGACAATTTTGTAATATTTTTAAACACAAAAAAAATTGCTCATTTTTACAATTTTAATAACATAAACATTGGCGGAAAATTGTTTTTTTTTTTAGGTTGTACAAGGTAGTGTAAGGTATAGGTCTATAACATAGATTTATATATGCTCAATGTTTATGCTAGTTGTAAGCTTGTGTATTTTGTAGGCCTACCATAGGCCTATTACATTGGGAAAAATGCACGTGTTTGAGTGCTTGACTGTGTGTAGTAGATGCTAGGCATTTTTTAAGTTTCCGGAGGCGTTTATCACCAACAGCATTTGCCTAGATATAGTTCAATCAGACGTGGTTAACCAGGTTTTCTGACCAACGAATTTTATTGCCGGATTACGTAAACACGAGGCTAGATAGGCTAGTCGGCCAACCCGATGAATTGAACGTGTCAGACGAATATTATGTAATTTTAGAGACAAAAGTCTGGGAAGATTTCCTGATCTATGCCCGAGGGTTAGTAACATCAACTCCACAAAGTGAAGGGGGAGGGAGGTGGGGTATGAAACCACCGCGAGCCGCTCGGGTACCGTACGGGTGTTATACAACATCAAAAGCGCCGACCCTCGGCTTGTCGCGTCACGGAGTAGTGGGGGCGGGGTGAGGCTATGGATGTTACATACGGTGTTACAATAGTTACATACCGTGTAGGATGGTCAGTGACTCCCCATACCCACCCCATCCCATTTTGGTCGATTTGGCAAGCTAGTAACCTCCACGTTGTTAAGGGTTTTAAAATTTTTTAGTCAATCGAAAAAAAAAGAGCCCGGGGTAAAATTTAATTTATTTTTTAAAGTCATTTTTACGAAAAAGTAATGTACACAATAATGAAACGTTACGGCACGCGAATCACGTCAGCATTGTTTGGTCGGGTCGCAGCTATCCGGATTAATTTCTAAAGAAGATTAATTTTGACGATTAGTAAATACTATTACGACTTTTTTTTTTGCCGTTTCAATGGTTTAAAACACGGTTATGAAACACGCCTGTCTACTTAAATATAAAATAGCAATACCCGACGAGTCAAATACGGGAACACACGTATCTATCTTAAGAAATTGTTTATAGTCTCATCCAATCGGATCAACCGCCTAGCGTCACGTGACCACACACTCGGCTGTGCTACACGATGTGTAGATCACGATTCAGTCGGACGGCGGCCGACGCGTTAATTTTTATTTTCGTTCCGTCTTAAAATGTATGGACGGCTTTATTATGAGGTGTTATAATACATGTCCTACATTAAAATAATCGGCGGGATTTCAGGAATACAGCTCAAGGTTCAAATTAAAAATCGGTTCATTAATAGCCCAAATAACTTAGTTCAACTTTGCCGTTCGATATCTCCAAAAGTATTTAACATATTTTCCCCAAGAACCTTGAGCGTTATACGTGAACATTTAATCTATTCTTCTACCAAGCTTCACTGTTGTAGTACGAAAACTCAAAGAGTCTATAGACTCTAAGTAACACCCCTCTTTTAAAAAGGTGAAAAAGCCTCCCCCCTAATCGGCACGTCGCCGCGGGGGGTAAAAAATGCGATTAAATCGGCGATTTCTTCCACGTCTGAAATAATAAAGAAATAAAACTTATACAGTTAAAAAGGTTGTTCAATTACGAACAGAATGATGTATAACATGTTAACATAAACACAATAAAAGCATGCAAAAAACAGAGTTAAACATGCAGGGGGTAGGGAAAAGCCGATTTGTCCGATTTTCTCGGCAGCGGCATTGGCCTAGCTAGTGTCATGACACCTGTACAACCAACAAGTTTCATGTCACATCACCCCTACAACCAACAAGTTTCATGTCACATCACCCCTACAACCAACAAGTTTCATGTCACATCACCCCTATAACCAACAAGTTTTGTGTCATGACACCTGTACAACCAACAAGTTTCATGTCACATCACCCCTACAACCAACAAATTTTGTGTCACATCACCCCTACAACCAACAAGTTTCATGTCACATCACCCCTACAACCAACAAATTTTGTGTCACATCACCCCTACAACCAACAAGTTTCATGTCACATCACCCCTACAACCAACAAGTTTTGTGTCATGACACCTGTACAACCAACAAGTTTTGTGTCACATCACCCCTACAACCAACAAGTTTCATGTCACATCACCCCTACAACCAACAAGTTTTGTGTCATGACACCTGTACAACCAACAAGTTTCATGTCACATCACCCCTACAACCAACAAATTTTGTGTCACATCACACCTACAACCAACAAGTTTTGTGTCATGACACCTGTACAACCAACAAGTTTTATGTCACATCACCCCTACAACCAACAAGTTTCATGTCACATCACCCCTATAACCAACAAGTTTTGTGTCATGACACCTGTACAACCAACAAGTTTCATGTCACATCACCCCTACAACCAACAAGTTTCATGTCACATCACCCCTACAACCAACAAGTTTTGTGTCATGACACCTGTACAACCAACAAGTTTCATGTCACATCACCCCTATAACCAACAAGTTTTGTGTCATGACACCTGTACAACCAACAAGTTTCATGTCACATCACCCCTACAACCAACAAGTTTCATGTCACATCACCCCTACAACCAACAAGTTTTGTGTCATGACACCTGTACAACCAACAAGTTTCATGTCACATCACCCCTACAACCAACAAGTTTCATGTCACATCACCCCTACAACCAACAAGTTTTGTGTCATGACACCTGTACAACCAACAAGTTTCATGTCACATCACCCCTACAACCAACAAGTTTTGTGTCATGACACCTGTACAACCAACAAGTTTCATGTCACATCACCCCTACAACCAACAAGTTTTATGTCACATCACCCCTACAACCAACAAGTTTCATGTCACATCACCCCTATAACCAACAAGTTTTGTGTCATGACACCTGTACAACCAACAAGTTTCATGTCACATCACCCCTACAACCAACAAATTTTGTGTCACATCACCCCTACAACCAACAAGTTTCATGTCACATCACCCCTACACTGAAGCTTGTGATGTGACAAATGAAAATTTGAACAACATTTTACCCACCAGGCTACTGTCTCCTCTGGCGCCAGATTCCTTAGCAGCTCCACAACAGAGTTGGATGCTGACATGTTCTCCACATCTCTGATCAGACACACATGAAGCTGGGGGGGGGGGGGGAGAGAAAAATATTTTCAGTGCCAGCCAGTTTTGATAGAAAAAATAAAAGGCTAAAGTTGGGTGTAACAGGATCAACTACCTGCAGCTCAGTCAACCTTGAAAGGATGACCTCTTCTTTGGACTGGGAGATCAAGACCCTGATTATAATCAGCACCAGACACAACCACTTCTGTAGGCTGGGAAGGTCACTCTGGAAAATATGTGCGCTAAGTTAGTCACAAAAACTTTTGGCTAAGTTAGTCACAAAAACTTTTGGCTAAGTTAGTCACAAAAACTTTTAGCTAAATTAGTCACAAAAACTTTTGGCTTTGTGACAATTTCATTTTAGAAATGTTGAACATTAAATAAGTTGACATAAGTAGAGTTAAAAAAAATAAAATACAACTAGTTGTCTAAGTTAAGCTAAGACAGAGACTGTGATGAAAAAGTTACCACGTCATGCGGCTGGGCCAGTAAAGTTTTCAGCAAGAAATCCACCGGCCTGAACACACTTGGAGAAACAGATTCAAAGAGACGGTGTAGGACATCTAAGGCATCTTGGTTCTCTAGGTTTATCTGCTCATGGGAGGACAAGGTGGAGCATCAGGAAATTGTAACAGTTGCTAGAGACATGGGTCATATCAGAGTTTACAACTGCCAAATTGTACTGATGACAAGGTGAGAGAAAAATGTTTGGCCAACCTGTTGCTTGGCCAGGGCAGGTAGAACAACGTCCATGACTTGACGAGACAACCTTTTCCATCTCTCTTCACTCTCTCTGTGGCACTGTTGCAGCACCAGTGTAAACATATCCAGCGCCTAGCAACAGTAGCAGTTTAAAATTAGACATGGCTAACATGTTCTTTAAACATAACCAGTGCCCATAAAAGAGTAAGAAACTATTTCCTACCTGGTAGTAATGGACCAGTCTCAGCAACATGGACACTACCACTTCCCTCTGGGTCTCCAGGTCTTTGCCTACTTCAGATTTCACTGTCCCTCTTAGGAGAAATAGGTCATAGACCACAGGTCGTAGGGCGGGTATTGCTGGAAGATAAAAAAATTTTTAAAATAAAAAATTGCTTACAGAATAGTTTAGGCAAGAACTCAACCTCATCCCAGCTTTTGACCTTGACCTACCATGAGGTAGACCAATATCTATGATTCACTGTTGCCCCCCCCCCTTTCCCCTACCCTAAATGTTTGACCTTGACCTACCATGTGTGGCAGGCTGTAGACCACTGGCCATGATGCCATCACACCTGTGAATGATGCGAGGCATGTCTATGATTGTTACCCCCCCCCCTACCCTAAATGTTTGACCTTGACCTACCATGTGTGGCAGGCTGTAGACCACTGGCCATGATGCCATCACACCTGTGAATGATGCGGGGCATGTCTATGATTGACTTGCTGTGGAATTTCTCATAAGACAACATCACCAGGAACTGGAAGATGGGAGGGATCAGCACCTCAGAGTTTCTGGAATACAAGACCCATCAGGTCAGCAGAGAACCAGCATTAGATCAAGGCATGGGAGGACATCTCATGGCGACAAAATGTTTGATAGACATCTCCCATGTAAACAAATGAGAAAGCCAATGAAGATCTGATGTAACCAGCTTACCTGATCTGACCCTCCTCAATGAACTCAAACTGTCTGATGACAAAGCCAATGAAGATCTGGTCAGAGTCCAGCAGGCAGTAGTTGACCCTGAGCTGGATCAGCTGGGCCAGTAGAGCCAACACCTGACACTAAAACATCCAGGTCACACAGTTAGAGCACAAGATGTACACATTGGTATCTATACATGTCAGATGTTTTAGCAACACTATAACAGGAGAGGTAACGGTCAAGTAAATAATTAAATCAATTACCTGTAGGTCAAGGCTGGAGGTCACTGTGTATTGTTTCAGAGCTTTGATGACCAGAGGTTCAAACAGACGAATGTATGACCCAATAACTGACTGAAAACATTCAGAGAAAATAGCTGCTAATTCAAAACATTCATCTCTCATAAACACTTTAAATTTGAAATAAAATGTATGATTAACATTAATGATAAAAAAATCTATGATAAATCAAAATGATAATTCTTTTCTTGAACACAATAATCACCTTGTCCACTTTGCTTGTGGGTTTGAGAATGGCTGGCAACTTCCTGTCAACTCGTTGCTTCAACCACAGCAGGGAGCTAGGAGATAAATACACAATTAAATCCTTCAAACTTTAAACAACCTGCTAGCAAATTTTACATTACAACAAATAAACTTCATTATTATTTTAAAGACTTTTATAATAATTTCTAAATGCTTCCATTTTTTTCAATGTCAAATTCAATTTTTCCTATAAAATGTAAAAAATGAACATAGAGGGCAAAAGAGCGAGATCAAAGAAGTTACCTGTGAGCTTCATCAGCAGGTAGGGTAGCCCTACAAGCGGCACCCACCAAACAGTTGGCCAGCTGGGCGTAGGGTTTGTTGACACAGTGGTAGTACAGGCCAGGACTTGAACCCCCTGGGATCCTGGCATTCAGGTCAGAGGTCAGAGAGGCAGCTGACTGGCTGTTGGAGTCCCATTGGCTGGCCAGGTTGGTGCCAAATAGGGCTTTCAGGAGCTGGAAAGGTGAAAGGTCAAATGTTTACACTAAATGTATTCTAGGGCTGGCTGACTCACTGCATTAGCTGCCACACACAACTGTACCTGCTGTACATATACACCTGTACCTGTTGTGCACATACAGTGACTGTTACATAAAACTTTACCTGCTGTACATATACACCCGTACCTGTTGTGCACATACAGTGACTGTTACATACAACTTTACCTGCTGTACATATACACCTGTACCTGTTGTGCACATACAGTGACTGTTACATACAACTTTACCTGCTGTACATATACACCTGTACCTGTTGTGCACATACAGTGACTGCCACACACAACTTTACCTGCTGTACACAAAGCACTGTCCAGGTGGGCTCTAGGGCCATGGTGACCTTGAGGTAGCTGAGAATCTCCTCTGTGACCTTGCCAACATCATAAAGTGTTGCAATCTCCAGGAGTTGAGACAGGACGGTCAAGGTCGTCCGTAGCATTGTACAAAACTTGTCAGAGCTGGTCAGGTCAAGGGACGTCTGCAAGCAATTTTAAATTTTTAACTTTTAAGTAAACAAACTATACTTTTCTTAAACTTAAAGAAAAAATGAAAATTGAGAAATAAAACATTGAAAAAGCAAATGACTACAAATATGTTTCATCAATGAACACATGTTTCAAGTGATGAACAACTCCAATGACCTTAAAATTAGAGTATGACCCTCTGAGGACCTCAAACAACTTCATGTACTGGGGAATGTTGTAGAAGGAACCAATGCCATCTTTCTTGCTCTTGTCTTTCTCTGACTCTTTTGTATCTGGGGGGGGGGAATCATGGCATTAGTCTACTACAACACAGGTATAAGATAATTTAAGTCAACCTACCAATACATGAGTCTACTTAGATGTGAGTTTTTACAAAATAATGAAGAGTCTTACCTTTAGCTGCTGGCTTCTGGTTGGTTTTCTGTTCAGGTGAGCCCCCAGCTGCACCAGGAGTTGTCTCCTTGTCTCCTTTCATCTTGCGTCTGACAGGGCTGAGAGTGGCTGCGTTAGGCAGGGATGGGAGGGAGGCTTTAACCTGGGGTGGGCCTGGGATGGTTTCTTCTATTGCATGTGTGCAGGCATTCAACAACCTGAACAACACAAACATCTAATATTAGACTAGCAGCTCAAGATCTATTGATCTATTGGGTAGTTACAAAAAACATCTAGGTCACTGGGCACAGTCATGCCCATTTTTATGGTCTAGACCAGTGGTTCCCAACCTTTTTCGAGTGGCGACCCCCTTTTATAAAAATTAAGTGACCCGCGACCCCCATAGAATTAAAAAGCCGAAATTAGTATGGAAATCAATAAGCACTAAAATAAGATTTTCTAGTAGACTTTCAATATGAACTACTCTTGATAACTGTTTTAATACCATGAGTAAAATTGCATACTATTCACTAAACATTCTAGGTTAATTTTTTTTATAAAGTATTTTTTTTTTGTTAACGCCAACCTATGTCATTATCATTATCTTAATTTTGTTTTTAATCGAAAAATAGTGTTCAAAAAAAATTATATTCTCGAAAAGTCAATCAATTTTACGTTTGGATATAAATGGTTAATACTACACCAAAATTGTGTCTGAATTTTTTCATCTTACGCGGAATCATTCTACAAATCAAAGAATTCATCTTGTAATTCATCGGGAATGCTGGCAACATCAAGGGAAAAAGAGAATGGGTAATGTGTCAATGCAGATTCTTTTTTTTTTTCAGCTCAGAGAAATAGCGCTGCAGTTCGTTTTCAATAGATTCAAGATGCCCAGAAATTTCTTCTTTCAAAATTTTAATTATCTCACAATTAGATTCATCTACCACACTGCAGAGTTTCTCAAATTTACAATATTTCCAAGATTTATTTTCTTCGCCGATTTTGCAGCTTTGATAAAAATGCCCCGAGATTATCATGGAAAGTGATAATATTCGTTCATTTTCCCTGAAGCTTCAGGTTATGCTTATGTTGATGTTCGAACACATCTGCTAGGTATGATACTCTCTCCAACCACTCTACGTCGTTTTAAGTATACCAAAAGTTCTTGTTTCCTTTGCATTCCCAAGAACAATTTGATTTCAGATTTCAATTCAAAAACACGATTCACAACAATTCGTTTGACAGCCAGCGCACTGTAGTGTAGAAGAGCAGAACCTCGTGATCTTTATTCAGGTCTTTGCTCAGTTCTTTGAAGGCTCCAGATTTTATATAATTTACGACTTATACTAGCAATGGAGTCTTGATGGTAATTGGTGAGGGCAGTGGTTAAGGAGCTAAATCTTTTCTGCTTTCTGAAAGCCCGATTTTGACCTAAACATAGATGGTGGACCATCCGTACAAACCCTCACAGCCGTTTTAACCCATTTTAATCATCCAATTTTTAAAAAAAAACGTATTTCTTTTCTCCATGCTATCTTCACAAAAGAGCAACTCTTCTTTGCTATCATCTGAATAAATATAGACAAAGACCAGCAACTGCGAACACGAACTCGCGTCTGTTGATTTATCAACTTGAAAAGCAAACAATGGTGAAAGCTTAATTTCAATAAAAATGTGTTATTTAACATCTAAGGACATGTAAGAATTAACTTCACCATCTTCAACATGCAGCGTTTGATGAGCTTTTCTCCTATTGTGTTTTTTTTTTTTGCTTGGCATTTTCTGTCGCGACTTCATGTGATGCTGGCACTAATGCTGAGTTTCCTTGGTGAAAACTTCCTGTTCGATCAAGTCTCTGACGTTTGCAACTAGCTTCATACCGACGAAAGAACTCCATATCTTTTTTGGTGTGTTTCGAATGACTCGTGTCAAATGACGTTTTAGTTTTGAAGATTTCATAGATTCTTGTCTGAGAACAACTTTGTACAGTACGCTTTGCTTCTTCTCTATTTCCTTTCTAGTGATGTTAGTAAAGCCGAATTTCAAAAATTCTTCTAAATATTTATGTTTTGTTTCAAATTACTAAGACTTAGTATACCAGTTAGCGACCCCCCAGAAATCCCTTCGCGACCCCCAGGGGGGTCGCGACCCCCAGGTTGGGAACCCGTGGTCTAGACTGTTTAGGTTTCCTTAAGATATTTGAGTAACCTACCTGTACTTTCAAAACATACATTAAACTCAACTATTTGAGCAACCAACCTGTATTTTCAAAAAATACAATAAACTCAACTATTTAACCACCCTACCTGGCAGTGTGTGTAAACAGCTGTTCTATCATGGGCACCAGAAACCTGTCCATCACAGCTGCCCAGTGTCCATCATCCCCTGAGCTGGACACCTTGTCCAAGTCCTCACTGGGTCGAAGGTTTTTGTAGGCCGCTCCTAAAACAGTAAATCAGTCATTCGTTATTTAGGTTCAAATAAGAAATACTTGTTTAATAACAAAAAAAAAGAAAACAAGTCCTTTAATTTTTATGTGTAATAACAGTCTAGTGTTAAAATAAAAAGTGCAGTGAAAAAACTAACCACAAACAAGATTTCCAGCTAGTTCCAGAAGATCCTGGTGGGTTGTGAGTTCCAGTCCAGCGTAGGAGGAGAACATGAGGGACAGAACAATAGGGAGTGGTCCTCCACCACTGGCTGTGGTCAGCTCATCCATGCTGTGGACAACAGGCCAGGGGGGTCAATTACTCAAGGCTCTTGCACAGTTACAGGGAATATAACAAGTCACATCACAACACCAATCTAATGAAATATCTGCTGACAGATGGTCAAGTTACCTGGATGCACTAAGTGACCTACTAAAAAAATATCTGCTGACAGATAGTCAAGTTACCTGGATGCACTAAGTGACCTACTAAAAAATATCTGCTGATAGATGGTCAAGTTACCTGGATGCACTAAGTGACCTACTAAAATAATATGCTGACAGATGGTCAAGTTACCTGGATGCACTAAGTGACCTACTAAAAAATATCTGCTGACAGATGGTCAAGTTACCTGGATGCACTAAGTGACCTACTAAAATAATATGCTGACAGATAGTCAAGTTACCTGGATGCACTAAGTGACCTACTAAAAAATATCTGCTGATAGATGGTCAAGTTACCTGGATGCACTAAGTGACCTACTAAAATAATATGCTGACAGATGGTCAAGTTACCTGGATGCACTAAGTGACCTACTAAAAATATCTGCTGACAGATGGTCAAGTTACCTGGATGCACTAAGTGACCTACTAAAATAATATGCTGACAGATAGTCAAGTTACCTGGATGCACTAAGTGACCTACTAAAATAATATGCTGACAGATGGTCAAGTTACCTGGATGCACTAAGTGACCTACTAAAAAATATCTGCTGACAGATGGTCAAGTTACCTGGATGCACTAAGTGACCTACTGGGAGGTCTACGTATCCCTATCTTCTCCACCTTTTCTTTAGCTGCTATGGGCTTGGCTGGGCCACAGCTCCAGGACGAGGCATATTGTGTAACTAGATATTCATGGGACAGACGGCACAGGGCTTGACAACAGCCACTCTGTTAAAACATTGTAATAAAACAGGGTATGAATGAAGTAAATGTAAACTTACTATGACATATTTAGACTGTTTGATCAAAAGAGTATGTAGGAAGTAAACTTACTGTGACATATTTAGACTGTGTGATAGAGGGAGTATGTAGGAGGTAAAATTACTGTGACATATTTAGACTGTGTGATTGACAGGGTGTGTAAACTTACCATGACATATTTAGACTGTGTGATCAACAGGGTGTGTAAACTTACTGTGACATATTTAGACTGTGTGAACAAAAGAGTATGTAAACTTACTGTGACATATTTAGACTGTGATCAACAGGGTATGTAAACTTACTGTGACATATTTAGACTGTGATCAACAGGGTGTGTAAACTTACCATGACATATTTAGACTGTGTGATCAACAGGGTGTGTAAACTTACTGTGACATATTTAGACTGTGTGAACAAAAGAGTATGTAAACTTACTGTGACATATTTAGACTGTGTGAACAACAGGGTGTGTAAACTTACTGTGACATATTTAGACTGTGTGAACAAAAGAGTATGAAAACTTACTGTGACATATTTAGACTGTGATCAACAAACTTACTGTGACATATTTAGACTGTGTGAACAAAAAAGTATGTAAACTTACTGTGACATATTTAGACTGTGTGATCAACAGGGTATGTAAACTTACTGTGACATATTTAGACTGTGTGAACAAAAAAGTATGTAAACTTACTGTGACATATTTAGACTGTGTGAACAACAGGGTATGTAAACTTACTGTGACATATTTAGACTGTGTGATCATGTGTAAACTTACTGTGACATATTTAGACTGTGTGATTAATAGGGTGTGTAAACTTACTGTGACATATTTAGACTGTGTGAACAAAAAAGTATGTAAACTTACTGTGACATATTTAGACTGTGTGAACAACAGGGTATGTAAACTTACTGTGACATATTTAGACTGTGTGATTGACAGGGTATGTAAACTTACTGTGACATATTTAGACTGTGTGATTGACAGGGTATGTAAACTTACTGTGACATATTTAGACTGTGTGATCAACATGGTATGTAAACTTACTGTGACATATTTAGACTGTGTGATCAAGAGAGTATGTAAACTTACTGTGACATATTTAGACTGTGTGATCAACATGGTATGTAAACTTACTGTGACATATTTAGGCTGTGTGATTGACAGGGTATGTAAACTTACTGTGACATATTTAGACTGTGTGAACAAAAAAGTATGTAAACTTACTGTGACATATTTAGACTGTGTGAACAAAAAAGTATGTAAACTTACTGTGACATATTTAGACTGTGTGAACAAAAGAGTATGTAAACTTACTGTGACATATTTAGACTGTGTGAACAAAAAAGTATGTAAACTTACTGTGACATATTTAGACTGTGATCAACAAACTTACTGTGACATATTTAGACTGTGTGAACAAAAAAGTATGTAAACTTACTGTGACATATTTAGACTGTGTGAACAACAGGGTGTGTAAACTTACTGTGACATATTTAGACTGTGTGAACAAAAAAGTATGTAAACTTACTGTGACATATTTAGACTGTGTGAACAAAAGAGTATGTAAACTTACTGTGACATATTTAGACTGTGTGAACAAAAAAGTATGTAAACTTACTGTGACATATTTAGACTGTGTGAACAAAAAAGTATGTAAACTTACTGTGACATATTTAGACTGTGTGAACAAAAGAGTATGTAAACTTACTGTGACATATTTAGACTGTGTGAACAAAAAAGTATGTAAACTTACTGTGACATATTTAGACTGTGTGAACAAAAAAGTATGTAAACTTACTGTGACATATTTAGACTGTGTGAACAAAAAAGTATGTAAACTTACTGTGACATATTTAGACTGTGTGAACAAAAGAGTATGTAAACTTACTGTGACATATTTAGACTGTGTGATCAAGAGAGTATGTAAACTTACTGTGACATATTTAGACTGTGTGAACAAAAGAGTATGTAAACTTACTGTGACATATTTAGGCTGTGTGAACAAAAGAGTATGTAAACTTACTGTGACATATTTAGACTGTGTGAACAAAAGAGTATGTAAACTTACTGTGACATATTTAGACTGTGTGAACAACAGGGTGTGTAAACTTACTGTGACATATTTAGACTGTGTGACCAACATGGTATGTAAACTTACTGTGACATATTTAGACTGTGTGATCAAGAGTGTGTGCAGAAGCTGCTGGATAACACGAGATAAGGCACTTTCAGTGCTGGGGTCAATGTCCTCCAGGATGTCGAAGGCATAAGGTTTCATGAGGCCCTGTACCAGCGGGGGCAGCTGGCCGGCCATGATGGGGTTCATGATGGGGGTCAACAGCTCCTTGGTCTGGTCTGATGCCACACTTAACACTGGGTCCTGCTGTGGACTGTCTGATGGGAAAAACAGGGTCGGGACCATCCTGGGGAGGACAGTTCAGTTTTAATACAACCAGGATATACAAAATTTATACATAACTTTAACTGGGGAGGACATTCACAGTTTTAATACAACCAGGATATACAAAATTTATACATAACAACTGAAAAAATGTTTTAACTCATTGATTCAGTTGCAACCATGAACAGAAAATATTAAAATACTAATGCAAATTAACATCTGATTTTTATAAGAGCTATGTGAATGGGTATTGAAGCTTCTCTCTAGCCCTGGTACCAAACAAACCTTATGATGGTGGCTGAAGCAGCAGTTCTCACTCTGGTATCCTCATCACCCAAAAGTTGAAGAACAATTTCCTGGAAAATATGTTCTTGGAGACACACCCTCTGTTCAAGAAAATTAAATTTTTAAAGAGTTTTTGTGTATTCTGGTTTGCATTCGTGTACAGACTTCAAAGAACGTAATAATACAATTTTAAGCCAAAAAAAATTCAGAGAAATTTTAAAATAATGACGTATTAAATTAAAGATTATATAGCTCTACTTACTCCTAGAAAATTGTGATCTCCTCTGGCAATATCTTGAGATATGGATTCAAGGTAAGAAATTACTTTAAAGTTTAATTCAGCTATCAACTCCAACAACTCGACCTGATAAAGAAGGCAACAATAGTGAAATGGTAAATTAACATTAAAAAACACAAGAGATGGTTCGTAGACAAAAGTTTGTATAAATATGTTGTCTTTTTGTGGTTTTGTTATTTAATAACTTTCAGGTTTTTTTTTAGACATTTTCATTTCATGTAATATACAGTGCATCTAATCAACCATAGCCAATCTACTTCTGTAGCGAATGCTAGTGATATTTAAATATTTAATTTAAGATTTCCATGCAAGTATTATGAACTAAAAATCTTTAATGTAACTAGCCAGTAAGAACAAGTACTTAAATTTAACAGTGTTACAAAGTAAAATTCCTACCTTAACTAGCCAGTAAGGATTAGATTTAACAATCAGTAGATCTAGCAGCACCCTAAGCCCGAGACGTCCATGACAGCTGTCCATCAGCTGACTCAAGCACATCTGTAGGGCCACCAAAGCTGCGCGGATGGCAACAGCTGATTCATCCTCCAGAATGTTCACAATGATTTTCAGCAGGGCCTCCAGAGACAGGACATCTAGGGAGAGATTTGATCCATTCTACTTTTGTGTTTTACACACCAAATACTTTATTCTAAATAAAGAATTTTATTCATTTATTTCCACTCAATGTTTGACTTACTTTGTTCTGCAGGTAAATGACTGATGATCCATTGGTGGTAGTCTCCCCTGCCCTCTACTAAAGCAGCTCTGATAAAGCTGCCAATGACAATGGCAGTCTGGCCCTTGAGTTGGTGATCAGGGTGGTTGGCGTACAGGGTGATGTCCTGAAGGTTTTGGTCATTACCTAGACAATACAAAAAAAAACAGTGTGATTTCCTGAATTTTAGCCGTAATTTCATGTTGGAAAATCAAAAAAATCACGTCATATAAGTTATGGATGACCATCATGATTTATGGGGGTCATGCAGTCTTGGATTAAAACTTTAGTCTTAGCTCAAGATTTGACTAGTGTAAAACTTTACCCTTGACTCAAGATTTGACCATAGTGCATGCAGCCTCATATAAAAAAAGACTTACCTCCACCGCAAGCAGCTGGGCAGAGCTTGAAGAGAAAGAGCCGAGGACAGATGGCCAAGCTACAAGATATACATCCAAGTGCCAGTGATTTAAGACTGACTCGAACTTGTTTGTCTGTGACTAATCCATCTGTTACCCCAGTTAGGAGGAATCGCTTACAGAGCAGACGCAGGTAAAACAGAAGAGGAACCTCGTCTTCATTCAGAGACTCTTGTTCCAATGGGGTCTGAGTTTTGGGAAAAAAAATTCAACAAATCAAATAATCAATATAACAGCAAATGTTTGCGCTAAAGGACCTCCTTAGATATAAGAAAAATAGAGAGTGCTGCAATGGTTTTTAGACCATCTCATCTAACAGAATCATCAACATAGCCCTTAAGATGGATCTAACCAGTTTAAATATAGCATGACAAGGACTATATAAGCATGGATCATCCAAAAACAATGTCATGCTTTTTAAATTATTTTACTCTTAATCCCTCCCTTTATAGTAAAAGATATCCCTGTCTTTAAAAAGCAAATATTTAATTATGTCAAAGCTTAGGTTGAACAGCACTGTCATCTGAGAGTGTCTTCTGCTAAAATTTTGATATAAAATTTTGGTGGAAATTTAGATCCCAACATTCCTCCCATTGTGACAGTTGAAAACTTCAATAAAAGCAAATTCTTGTTAAAACATCAAGAACAGGAAAAACAAACAACAAGACAAGGAAAAAGTTTACCAATTGTATAGGTTCAGATGGTGCAGGAGGAAAAAGTTTACCAATTGTATAGGTTCAGATAATGCAGGAGGAAAAAGTTTACCAATTGTATAGGTTCAGATGATGCAATGCTAGGACTGGGTGGTGGCCCCACTTCATCTCCAGGGTAGACAATTATTTGTGGGTTGCCGTTCATGTCATGCCCGACCAACTGTATCGAAGGGGGGTAGACTGTGTGAGGACTGATACTGCGGACACTCTGCAGTGTCTCAATGCTTTCACTGTGGGTCATACCTGAAAGTTAAACAAATAATAAACAACTATTACACCTGCAGGGTAACATACAAATAATGCCCAGTAAATATATGACTTCAACTGCCTGTTTTGCATTACATAACACGAGCCCATTAAACTTATGATTTCACATGCCTCTTTAACATTATAACATTTGCTTTTTAAAATGGTATACGTGTGTGTTAAATCAAATAACAGCTCACCTGAAGTTTCTGATGTCTCCTCATTCAAATCTCCTATCTCTATTCCAGAATATTCTGTTCCATCTGTCATAATGATTTCACTTTCTGCAACTTGTCTAACTTCCTCCACACCTGAATCAAGCCTGTACATCAAATACCAAGTGATTGGTCAATTATTAGGAACATTAGAGGCCACAGGATTTAACTTGTATTTACAGATGACAGAATTTACCTGTACATAAAATAAAACTAATAGGTCAATTACGAGGAAGACGTGGAAGTGACAAGGATTTAACATGTCCATCAAAACAAAAAATATGAACAGCTGAGTGATTACAAGAGAATTATAAATAGAAACAATACACTAAAAATAGGGACTAACTGCTGATACCACTTAAAATTAAATGTTTATAATTTCTGTATTATAAAATTATAATTTATAAATAAAATGCACATAATATGCTCTCATGGCTAGCTTAGAGGTCTCCAGTTCGGATTTGGTCTGGAGTTGAGACTATAGGACATCCCCCAGTCCACCCAGGTCTGATGGGTACCTGAATGTTGTCAGAGAAAGTAAAGACAGCTGGGCATAGTGCTGACCACAATTCATTTCATATGCGAGGTGAATGAAACAAGTAACCTGCCCCATTGACCGCAAGGTTCAAAAGGGCGCTTTACTTTTTTACATAATACATATCAGGCAATACACAACTTTTAAAATGAAATTACTGTAAAAAGACCAGACTGAAAACAAAGGCAGACAAAAATTGTAGTGGGTGTACAACTACACTGTTTTCTAATAGCAAAAAAAAATTGTGTATGGTTTCTTATAGTAAATCTTTAACTAGAAAAGTAAAATGTTATTTCAATACTTAGGCTGGTTTATGAGCTTGGCATCAAAACCAGGAATCAGATTCGCAGACAGTGGTCTTTTAGAAGCTGCAGTTTGTCCACCCCCATCAGTAGCGTCTGCATCTTCATCTAAACTAGCATCGTCTGCGACTGATGGCAAGTCCAACACACCTGAGTCAAATAAAAATTATGTGAGCTGTGAGCACATTAATCCTGGATTACAAAATCTATTGGAAAACTTTGAATTTTAAAGCTGATTAAAAAATCTATTCTAAAACTTCCACTCACTTTCTATTCTAGCTTTGTCATCTTCTTCAAAGTCGTGAGTGAATATCAAAGTCTTAGAAATACTGCCCCTGGTGAGGAGAAGCTTTCTTAGGATAGGTGGGGGTGTCCTCAACAGTTGCTGTAGGGACTCCAAGGTAGCAGTGACAACATTGTGATCTGTGTGACCTGAATAGTGAAGCAAGGCTTGCAAAATCTGGGGAATAAAACAATCTGATGCTCACAGACAATTAAAAACAATCTGAAGTATGATGAATAGAATATTACAGTAGAATAAGAACTTTAAAAATCTAAAAAGATTACAGACCATTAGTTACATAGGATAACAAAGATGTACCTTGACCATCTGTTCCTCCCCTATAGCTTGTTCGGCCTCTGATTCCCTGTATCCAAAACTGTCTTTTAGTCCCTGGTCTTTGCTGCTGGGTGGCACCAGGTGGGGTACGGAATGTCGTATGCAGAGGATTACTCCAAGAAGTGTAGGTACATCATGATCAATATCCACAGGTAAAATCATTTCTATTATAATCATACAGGAAAAATAACTTGTCAGAATTATGACAGGGAACTTTTTTTGACAGATTGTTGAATGCTGTATCGAGTTTGAAAAACATTTCTATAACTTTTCTACATGTATAATTATAGGTTTTTAGTTATGAACAAGTTTAAAAAGTTTAACTCAAGAAGAGTAGTTTTAAGAAACAAATTGAACTGCTTGTACAACTGAGTGCCAAACAAATGTACCTAGCAGCACCCCTATGAGATAGTTGAAGAATGACAGAGGTGCTCGGGAATGCTGACAGATCAAGGCTAAGCTACTGGCAGACATCCTTCTGCACACTGCTGAGCTGGACTTGAGATTTGGTAGGAATGCCTTCAACAAAGCCTGCAATGTTCAACTTAACATTAATGCCAGTTACAAAACATTGGAACTAAATGTTTCAAAACTACTTTAATCAAATAATTATTTTATTGAAATCATAAATACAAAAAATGTATCAAACAACCACATTCTAATGCTAAAACAAAGACTTCTTTCAGCAAAGACAATAAAAAAATTTACAATACACTATCAACAGAATATATTTTAAAACTTCTGTTTTAAGATACCTTCACTTCAGTGTCATTAGCAAATGGCATGAGTGCTGAGCAAATTTTTGGCATGGCTGCTGATAAAGTTTCTTGCACGGCTTCTTCTTCTCTTCGACAAATGCGAGCAACACAAGGTAGCAGGTTTACAATGTAAGGTCTGCAATGCAAGGTAGTTGATTTACAATGTAGGATTTGCAATTAATTTCTAAAATCTAATTCACTAAAAATATAATGAAACAAAAAACTACTTAACAAGTATTAATAAACCGGTAGTGATCTCCCCTAAACTTTCTCGAATATTCTTATATAAAACAACAGGGGATGGTAACTGGGGATATAGTTATGATTTTTAATCCATTTTAAATACTTAAACTTTTAAAAATAGAATAGAATCTCATAAAAAAAACATTGCGCACCAAGCAAACGCCGAATAAAATCGCGTATAATAGTGCGCAATATTATTAGTACTTTAAAAATTTACATTAGTTTTTTGAGAAATCGGAAGTAGCGTAAATTACTACTTCCAGTCAACGGAAATTACTCAAAATTTAACAGAAGGTAGAGAATTAGATCTTTTACTTACATGTGAAATTTCATTTATCTATCTGAAATAGTACTCAAGTTATAGGCTTTTAAAAAATTCAAAGTAGGAAAAGTACCACTTCCGGTTATCGGAAATCGCTCAAAAGTTGATACGGATCTACGATTTTGATAAAATACTTATATATGAAATTTCATCAACCTAGCTGTAACGGTACTCAAGTTATCGTGTTTACACACGGACAGACACACAGACACACACACACACAGACATACGGACAAGATTGCAAAATTATGTTTTTCCGTATCAGTGAGGTGTAAAACGTCGAGATTTGTAAAAATCTCGATTTTTTTTTTTTTGCACGATTACAATACTTTCTCTATACTACGTATATACGAGAAAGTAAAAAGAAACACAAAAATAGCTAGGTGAATGATGAAACTACACAGTAGAAAAAACTACTCTCTACCTGCATTTCTGAGGTCTGATAAGGTGACACATGTCTGCAAACCTCCAAAGAGCTGCTCTAAGACTTCGTGATGGGCCATTCTTCTTAAGTTCTTTGTACAACTCCACTTGCAGTCTACCTAGATTTGTTTCTAGAAGAACCTAATGAATCACAGGTTAAACGTTACTGCATCTGATTGTAAAAGCAATTGCTGAAGTTTTTATATCACATATTTTATAGTTTTAACTTATTAATGATTCTAACAAGTAACTTTTTACTTTTATTGTTCTGTTTAAGCATTCATCTGCAACCATGCGAACATCTGCCTCTGTATCGTCACAAAGAGTAAGAAAAGTTTCCATTGCTATTCCAAGAAATTTAGGAAAATCTGCAATGGTCCTATGGGTAAAAAAAAAATAATATTTATAGCAAATTATTCATTTTATTGTGGTATCAGAAGGGGTAAAAAAAATATTCTTGTGACATAAGTATAATACAAAAAGATAGTACAAATTTATTTGACTTTTGTTTTAATATTCACAAAATAGGCATGAATTTAAATTATGAGTAAAGGGGGAAAAATCTTGGACAATCTAAAGAAACATTTTCTGTTTTAAGTTTTAATTGAGATATGGGTGCAAATAATAAATTAATACAACCATTCAGAGGGTCTAAAACTATAAAAAAATAATTAATAATTGATTAAATTAGATTTGTGCCACAAACTTCTTGAAATGGTTGTATAATACATGATGTTTTGAGAACACATACAATCTGGTATTACATTGTGTTAAATGGTTGTATAAATACCTCATGTTTTGAGAACACATACAATCTGGTATTACATTGTGTTAAATGGTTGTATAAATACCTCGTTTTGAGAACACATACAATCTGGTATTACAATATGTTAAATGGCTGTATAAATACCTCATGTTTTGAGAACACATACAATCTGGTATTACATTGTGTTAAATGGTTGTATAAATACCTCATGTTTTGAGAACACATACAATCTGGTATTGCATTGTGTTAAATGGATGTATAAATACCTCATGTTTTGAGAACACATACAATCTGCTATTACATTGTGTTAAATGGTTGTATAAATACCTCATGTTTTGAGAACACATACAATCTGGTATTACATTGTGTTAAATGGCTGTATAAATACCTCATGTTTTGAGAACACATACAATCTGCTATAACATTGCAATGAAGCATCTTATCTTTCTTAGTTGGTAGATTTTGCTCCTTTTTCCTGTGTTTTTGACAAAAGAAGTAAAATTGTTTAAATTTTGATTTTTTTTCTTTAAATACACCACTCATTTTTAATTGACAGTATGACCTATTTAAAAATGTTATGCAGCTCTGCTTGATGTAAATAATAATGTAAATATTTTTTAAAGTTAATATTTAAAGTTTTAAATATTTCTAACATAGTAGCAAACAAAAAATGTCTTACTTTGGATCTTCTGCAGCTTGAGCATTAGGCTGAAACACCTTCAAGCCCTCAAAGGATTTTATGAGTTTTTCAATGGTTGCCATGGTAACTAGTTATACACTGATGTGTAAATGGAATCTTTCTTTAAAGTTGTTTTGTAGATATGTTATGCCATCTTACAAAAAGGTTTTCAGATTCAAATGAAAGTCTTGTAGGACACCAGGATATTTTTAACAAGAAAAATCTCTGAATCTTGTCACTGAAATGCAACAAACTGTATGAGTCTCAATTGTTTTCAAGCAGTAACTTTTAGGCCCTAACTAAAGAATAGCTTTCATAATTTTCAGTCTTTTTGTCACTCTGATGTACATGTACATTTAACATGGATGAAATCCTATTATATTATAAAGTATTTCTGCTTTATATACAGAACTTTTGTTCACATACATTTGACATTTGTTATAGTTTATTATCTAAAACATGATATTTTGTTAGTGAATTTAAACTGAAGTAAAGACAGATTTTTTTTTTAACTTTGACAAGCCAAGTCTAAGGCCTTGCCAGCTTGTACCAGCTTATCTTGTACCTAATTGCCTTAGGTGGAAATATTAACACAAAATAATATTGTACAACTAAGCATGTGAAAACCCAAGTTTTTACTATATACATATTGAAAAGAAAATCTTGTGACCATATTTTTTTTAAAAGTCTTCTTTCCTTTGTAAGCTTATAATCAACTAACAGGCTAATTTTTTTAATATTGAATATTTCAATTATTTTAGTTATTCCATTTTTTTAATAGGGTGCTTTTTTTTAAAATATTAAAGTGAATAAAATGTTTATGTTCTAATTTTTTAAAACACTGGCTGGAAAATACTATGTTGTGTTACTTTATTCTCCTTATGCCTTAGAGTCAAGAGTAAGATTATTTACGACTAGGAATATCTGGTTAGAGTAAGTAGTTCTGAGTAATAATAAGGTAGGTTAAGGCTGTTCTGACTTCCATCAGATTTTAACTTTCACTATTTTATAAAATGTTTATAAAACAATAGGAAAAGTAAATTTCTATATCTGAATATGGCGTTTTTTCACATTGGCATTAGCCGTTAGTAACAAAAGTATTTTATAAGAAATAGGCCTAATGTGTAATATAGAATAGCATTTAAAATGCAAATCAAAGAAATTAATATTTATAAAGTTAGAATAGTCCACTCGTCTATAGGCCTAGATCTACTTTATTTGGATTTTAGATTAATAAATGCTACTAGCTAAACAAATTAGGATCTAGATCTAAAAAGAATTTCGGAAGAATGTTTACACCGGGGTCTGATATTACTGATAATGGAATCTTCTTTAAAAAAGGGGTGTTAGGTTACTAGATCTAGTAGTTAACTAAATACACACATGGCTGGCTTATCATATGTCAATGCTAGCCCTGTACCCAACCCTAACCCCAACACTTGTCCAACCATACGTCTAACCCTAATTTCCAGCCATAAAATTAGTCGAGATTATGATACTACTAAAATTAACTAAAACAACCCAAGGTAATCTATCGTTTTGGGTACGTAAAATCTCCCGCGGCTATTAATGTACGAAAACGTTACCTCATTGTCAAGGCTTTAATAGAGGTATATTGTGATATGTTTGTGTCAAATATTACAGATAAATGGATAATAAACCTAAATCAATGGCTAAATATATCAATATAGGCCAGAAATTAACTTTAAACAGCAGTGTCTGCGACCAAGATTTGCTATATAAACAGCACCCATGTGTAAAATAGAGTGGCTTCCCCCTGAATCTTATAAAAATAAACCTTAAACAAGATGGCTGCAATAGTAAATGAGCATGGTTGCATCTTTTGGAAACATCGCTAGTCTTCATTTATTACGGAAAAGTTTTAATTCAATTGTTTAAAAACAGATACATAAATGAAACAAGGAAACATTTTTGTATTTTAAAAAACATAAATCCTCCTCAAAATGTGAAATAATTATTAAAATTTAAGGAGTCACCTGTTTTTCACATTACAAGTCGCGGGCGATTTTACGTACCTAAAACGATAGATTACCCAACCCAACACCCCTTTTTTTAAAGAAGATTCCATTATCGGACACTGGTATCTATAATCATCCAAAAATTGGGATAAATAGAACTAGAAGTCGGTAAAACTCCATTTCAGCGTATTTTATTCTCCGTTGCTTGTTTACCTCCAGTTGAGCGTATTTTATTATAACAACCGAAACACACCAAAACATTAGGAAAACACGATTTATTTTTTGGATTGTATTTCTGTTTTCACAAATGAATAAAAATGAATATTTAAAAAACACGACTTGTTTATTTGTATTGTACTTAAAAAAAAAGGCATTTGTCTCATGGTGAAACTGATACACTGTTAATCATTCTGTTTTATATTTTTGTATTTATGCAATAAATGTACAAACTCTGTTTTTTAATTTGACAGTTTTGCTAAAACTGAAAAAAATATTTTACTATAGAGTTGTATGTTATTTAAATTCATAGTAAATCTACCATCCTTCCTTTTTTTGTATGAGTAAATTTCTGACTTTAAAAAAAAATTGATGTGGGGTCGTCCATAAATGACGTCACACTCTTAAGGGAGAGGGGGGTCAGCAATTTTGTGACGGTGTATGATGAGGGGGAGGGGGTGGGGGTTTCAGATGGTGTGACGTCCCTTTTTTGCATTATAAAAAAGCAATGTTAGAAAAACAAGATTTAGCCGTTATTTCGCGTTTTAGAAAACGGTTTTAATAAATTGTAATATGAATTGATCAAAATACTCTATGTTGACAGAGTTCTGACAAGATTTTGGAAAAATTATCGATGTTTTAAGAAAAATTCAACAGAAATTTTGAGGGGGGGGGGGGGGTTGTCGGCTGAGGTGTGACGTCATTTTAGGGTGGTCTGACTTTTTGTGACGACGTGTAACGGAGGGGAGAGGTAAAACTCGTAAAAAATAAGCGTGTCGTCACAAAAAGCAAGACCCCCCCCCCCACCTACGAGTGTGACGTCATTTATGGACGACCTCTAACATTATTTTGTTTGAAAATGACAACGTGAGTTGTCACACTTTCTCTAACACTCCAAGCAATCCCTCACCAAATTCCACCCCCCCCCCCCCCCCCCTCGGCCCACTTTCGGTAGCATCATTGTGCCTTTTAATACTTTTATTCAGTTTAGTTGAAATTGGAACACTTAATTGTACAAAGTGTGCATCTCTATTTTTGTAACCGACAAACAAATCACTTCAGTCAGTCTCTTTGTTGTTTTTTTATTCATTTATTAAAACAAAAATACAATACAAATAAATAAGTCATGTTTTTTAAACATTCATTTTATTCATTTGTGAAAACAGAAATACAATACAAAAAATAAATCGTGTTTTTCTAATGTTTTGGTGTGTTTCGGTTATTATAATAAAATACGCTCAACTGGAGGTAAACAAGCAACGGAGAATAAATTACGCTAAAATGGAGGTTTACCCTAGAAGTCTAGATCTTGGCCTTAATTTAAAGTGTCTTAAACGATATTTTGAAAAAAAATCAAAACTGGCTTTTTTTCAACCACAAAAATAAAAAATAAAAATAAAAAATGTTGGTCAGCAGTCACTCCCATTCCCTTTTTTAGATCTAGAAAAAGGTATTGCATAGATTACTTTATTAGCTAATGCCAACACAGTAAATACACAATGAAATATTTTTAACAAATTGTAGTTATTCTGTCTATCATACATTGTACAAGGTCTGTGTTACTAGATTAGGTTAGTCCATGGGGAGTTGATTCAGTGTACTATGACAAGTCTGTCGCCATTTTAAAACGCTGAAGAGTTTTCAAACAAAACTAAGGGACATAACCACATTAAATAATTCTACTTTCACTTTTGAATATGTTGAGATCTAGATCTAGAGTCTGCTGCTAAACTTTTTTCGGCCTTATCTTAGCCTAGATTTAGTTAGACTCTTACTTACTTATTACTTATTACTTAGATCTAGTACTTAGTCTAGACTCTAGATCTAGAATATCAAGATCAATTATTAATTTTCATTTATTGGTATTTAAGCCGTATTTTACTATTGTGTTCTGGGATTATTGGTCGATATTTATTTTCATTTTGAAATATATTACAATTAATTATTATTAAATATAATTATATTATATAATATATAATATATAGATCTAATATAAATAACCCCTAAAACTCATTTTCTAACATGCTTTTTTATTATGCAAAAAGTGTGACGTCCCACCATCTGAACCCCCCCCCCCCTCCCCCTCATCACACACCATCACAAAAGTACGGACCCCCCTCCCCCCTTCGAATGTGACATCTTTTATGGACGACCCCTATATATATATATATATATAGTATATAGATATATACATTTTTCTAAACTACCCCTTTACCCATAAACCCAGTATGACAATATATTAGATAACAAAGTAAGTAAACCAGACAGTGTGCTACATGACAATGAAGGGTAAAGAAACAACCTTACATCTATTAATCCCATAACTGCAGGAGGATTATTGATTGGGTCATCACAGTTGACTTTTTCACAATGCTATGCCACCTTTCTCAGTCCTCTGCTGCTATTAGTAATTGTGCAGTGCAAACAACAGTCCATTCCTTGATGTCATTTTCCATCGCAATTCTGATCTGCGATGGTAGGAGTGCCCCTACTTAACCCAGGATTTTAATCAGTCTAGTATGAATAAGGTTATGTTACATGGTGGTACCCATCCCTCTGCATGCCTGATCACAGCCACATGTAGTTATTGTAGTTCATCTAGAACTCATCCACCCCGGCCGTTGACCTCCTATATATAACCTCCTCGTTATATTGTGTTAACATCAACCCCTCACACATGGTTTGCTTTGCTAGTTAAATCAGTTAGCCATGGTATGGTGCTGGGAACCACATGTGAGACTGGGGATAGAGGATAGTGAACATTGAGGCCATTTACTTAAATGTGCAGCTTGCTGGACATCAAATATACTATCCTTTTCAAGAGCTATCTATATCTCAATGTAGCGTTAAAATTGTTTATTTGAAGATGGGTGTGTGGAACTTAATGACATTGGGTGATCTGAATGCGGATTAAAGTTTATGAAGCATAATAAACCAATTTCAGGTATAGCTTTTGAAATAACGTTTTAACATATACATTTTTAGACAACAGAGATGTGATGTCATGGCAAATCAGGTCAGAATTCTTGTGCACTTAAAAACAAAGTTTGATTCTAGCCTACAAAAAGCTAAATTTTCTGAAGTAAGTAAACAACCTTAATCCCACCTACTTGCCCTTTTGATTTGTTAAACTTAATGTAAGAATTGTGTTAGAGAGATAGAAAATTGCATTGGCCATACAACTCACAACATATCTCAAAGTAGAACCTTACATTTTAAGTGTAATCATGATCCATCAACAAAATGTTTGCTCTGTTACCTATTTATTATTTTAGTCACTCTTTTAATAAGACAGTTCCATTCCATTTAGTGGTTCACTCTTTTCCCATCAGTGTATCTTATCCCAGTTTGGATTTACAGAAAGTTTTGGTCATGTGCACATGCAGTTGACTGACAACAAACTTGTACTCAGTGATACAAAGATAGATGAGGATGTAATGATTCCAATTAAGGTAAGATTGCTCAGCAACTCATATTGTTTGAACGCAAATTATTTTTAACTGAAGCTGTGTAGCATTCTTTAAAATCAGAGAATAGACAGTGACATATTTTATGAATTTTAATCACAAGCATCCATCATTTTGCCCAATTCACCATTTAAAACCTGAAGACGCATCACAACTACCTAAAGAAATATTATCTCGTGGGGTTGATGTTGGAGCAGCCGTTGTTCTTGAGTCATGTGACAGAAAGGTTCTCCTCACACGTCGGGCTCAACACCTTCAGATATTTCCTGGCATTTGGGTACCACCAGGTAGAGCCACATTTCACAATTTTAATTTAATTTTGAGCCAAGGATTGTATTGCTCAGAACATTTCTTTTAAATGTGTTCTATTTCAATATATTTTGAGAAAAATTAAGTTAACTAGGTTCGGTTTGTGTAGGTTGTAACAGTCAATTTGTATATATACACTAACAAGTATTTTAAACAAAATGTTAACCGGTTGTTTTTTTTTTTATTTTAGTATTTAATGATTCTACTTTAATCCAAATAAATTTTTTAACAGGGGGCCATGTAGAAGAAAATGAAACAGTTAAGTACCATTTGTTTTTCATTCCCAATCATTCATAATATGGAACGATGTTAGAGAAATTGATATCAAAAAAGTAATTTTGTCCCCAAACCATTGGAATCAGCCGTTTGTATTTGATGAGTGTTTTCTGTAATTTATTGTCAAAATTACATTTTAGTGTATGCCTGTATATATATATATATATATATATATATATATATATATATATATATATATATATATATATATATATATATATATATATATATATATATATATATATATAGATGTTGTGTAGTATATTGTTTTTAATATATATTACTACATAAGTTCTTATTTTTATGTCTTCTCATATGACCACTATTCTTTATTGACAGTTAATTAATGCAGGTCTACGAGAACTGAAGGAAGAAAGTGGCCTTGACCTTAAACCAAGTGACTTTACAGATCAAAAAGTCAGGATTTTAGGTCTATGGGAGGTAGTTCTATGTTAAAGTTTGCAACAATAGCAGTCTGTTATCTTTATACTACTGCAAGATACAAAATCAGCAAGTGGTTTACTGGTTTAGTAGGTACTAATATATTTTGTTTAAATATTCAGTTGCATATATTGTATAACTATTCTATTATGATTAATTTTAGAAATTTTTAAAATCTAGTCAGTGTTTCCACCAATGTTAGCAGTGGGCTTGCCGAGACGCCATCATGTGGTTGTGTATTTCCATGTCCAGCTGAAAAGTGGATTAACAGCAGATGTCATGGAAAAACTGATCCATTTTGATCCCAATGAAGTTGATGCAAGTGCTTGGATTGACAGGGAAACAGTTACAGCCATTGCTAACTCTTATGATGAGAATCCAAACACTGACCCACCAAACATTCCTGCTACCTTCAGGTAACACAAAATCTTTTAAATACACCAAACATTCCTGCTACCTTCAGGTAACACAAAATCTTTTAAATATTTGTCAAACGCATGAGCACTTTTGAGTGCCTGAGCACATGACTGCTAACCTGGAAATCTCTTCTTTGATGTTCCTGAGTCCACCCTACTCAGATGGTTGCCTGATTGAAGTCGTACTGTCCCTTCTTGGTCAAAGAAACATATGAACACTTCTTTTCACTCCTCCATACTAACTAGATATATTATCTATTATTTTTGTGCAGGCCTATTTATAGATATAGTTTCATTAATATTGCAGAGCTATAATACTGGACAAGAATAAAAGACAATGTATTACAGAATTATCTACAGCTCCACTTTGTAGTGTAATATTATGTGGAAGCACAGACACAGAAAGAGTTAGTACAGGAACTAAATTTGCATTGCAGCAATTTATAAAAATAGCTGCTGAAGATAAATAAAGTTACTGTGATCGTATATATTAAATATTTTTAAAATAAAATACAAAAACAACAGGTTATTCAAATTCATAATTTATTTTGTCCTTAAGTGCATGGCTAATTACAACCATCCAACTTACTATGTACACACTATAATCTTTTAAGTTTAGTTATGACTGCAACCACAATACTTTACAAAACTGATTTCAGATTTAGTTTCTTCAAATGTATCAACCAGATAATAAAAATTTAAAACTGAACAGAAAATTATTTTCGGTACCAAGCTTGAACAGTATTAACTCTCTTTATCTTTTTACGCAACTGAAGAAATCCATATAATAACGCCTCTGCTGTTGGGGGACAACCTGTGATTGAAAAAAAAATATTCTTTGACTATGTGCTTTTATTAATTTATCCATAACCTAAGTTTGAGATTTACATTCTAGGTAAAACACAACATTAACAAAGCATATTTCTCATAATCAGTATTCTTTAAGGATTTTTCTAAACCTTTAAGCATTCATAACATTATTTACCTGGCACATAAATATCAACAGGGATAACCCTATCACATCCTCTAACTACAGAATATGAGTAGTGGTAATAGCCTCCACCATTAGCACAACTTCCCATAGAAACAACCCAGGATGGTGATGGCATCTGGTCATAAATCTGTTGGACACAAGTCTAGCTTTAATATTAATTGTTGACATTTTTATTACTAAAAGTTTTTTAAAGAGGACAGTGACACTGATCATATTGGTTCAATAAACATGTTAGTCAATTTTTAAAAAAAGAACTAAAAAACAAAGACCTAGACAAGACTCTCAAAAAATCAACATTAATTATATAAATGTTTATGTGTGATAATTTACTTGCCCTTCTGAGTGCTGGTGCCATTTTATTAGTGAGAGTTCCAGCAACAATAATCACATCAGCTTGACGAGGACTTGCCCTAAAAACAATACCATAGCTGTCCATGTCATAACGAGGAGCAGCAAAGTGCATCATCTCCACAGCACAGCAAGCAAGACCAAATGTAAGAGGCCATATGGAGCTCTAAAATTTTGGAGGAATAATTTACTAATACATATAACAACATAGTGAGCAATAATTAAAGTACAATAGAGACACAAACAATTGTTTTGCTTTTCAAATTTAAAAAAAAAAAATTATAATCATACTAGCAGGTTACCTTTCTTCCCCAGTTGAGTAAGTCATCCACCCTTGCTAATACAAATTCAGCTTTATTGCTTATAGGTACTTGAAATGGGGAGTATGGCTTTTTAGCTGGTGCAACCTCTGTACTTTTGTGTCTGTATGTAACCAGGGAAGTGCTGTGTATAGAAGTTAAATGTGAATCAAAAACACAGATAAACATTCATCAAAATGTTATACCGTTTTTCACTGGCCCTAAATAAACAATATTATTAACAACTGAAACTCAACCTTGTTGATTTCTTAGAGGAATCATCTTTTGTTTGACTGAATATGTTTCGAGCAGGAACACTTGTCAAAGTAAATTGACGACTAAACAAAGAATGAAAAGAATTTCCGAAACTTCCTGTCAGTCTTAAAACTGAAATAGTAAAGAATATAATTTACATTAACTGGTATGATGATGGGTAGGTATTTAATTATAAAAATAAATGTCAGACATCATTCACTTGTGACAGCTAAAAATGAACTATTTTGGGTTGAATAAATTTATTTAATAGGATTGTAGTAGGATTACCTAGCATTAATTATTAGGCCGATTCTAGGGGCAAAAGATGTGCATAGCTCTACAATTACCTGGTTTTTCTTGTCATCTACATATTTGCCTATGTTTTGTCTTAATGGGACATAAATTATTAACAAAATAAATACTTAAATAGTAAATTTAAATGGGCTATTAAAATAGATTTTTTTAAAATAAAAAAGACTCTTTGCTAGCTGTACTAGACTATATACTATAAACCCTCAACTCCTGTCAACCGGCCCAAATCGCAACTGCTAAATTACACGGAACAGATAGTTTTGTCCGAAGAATAAAGCTTAAACAGCAATTGATCTCATTGCGCAGCTATAAAAGAATTAATAGAGCCCAATTGCGCAGATATTTAGGTCATTGCATTTTGCCAGCCAGATAGGGCTTGGGGGGAAAAGCTTTTTCGAGCAGTCACTTTGTAATTATTAGCCTAACTACAATGATTTTTAACTTGCAATATTAAATTTAAAATTAGGCCCTAAGATAATAACTAAATTATATTTTCGCTTCAACTCTTCAGTCTTCAACAAACATTTTTTTGCAGTCTACAAAGGAATTGAATGTAATAATGTAATGTTGAAGGCCTAAAGTTTAAAGTAAACGACCAAGTTGTTTTTTTTTTGGACAGCTACTGCTCCTAACTAATGACTAACTATGATAATGAAGGTGGTATTTTTATGCTTTTTTTATGGTATGAATATTAGGCCGGTTCGTCACTTAGATGGCTGGATTGACCTCTGACCCTGAAACGTCACGCGTCGTTTTCTGACGGTTTCTACGTTTATTTTAGGGGTCCTATCCACGACAAATTAAAGAACTGTTTATCTCGCCAACTCTGATCATTATTTTAACACAAAATGCTAATAAAATGGATAATATGCCTTAGAATGCCAGAAAAAATCGCGAGAATTGTGTTTGTAAATAATGAGAGGATTTCTAGTGGAGCACTCTCCGTAAAAACTGAACCGCGGCCAAAAACGACCCAATAACGGGGAAAACGGCTCCGATAACACTAAATTAATATATAATTGAGATAATTACCATGTATATTTACAGTATTATCGATTCTACTTTCCAAAATCTAATTCCAAAATGAGGTACCCACCCTGACATTTCTATCCGCTATTTTTAGTATCATGACGTCATTGCTACGCTAGTTGCCAGACTGAAACAACTAGTTTTTGTTTTTTACGGAATGAACTGTTAAGTCTAGTATTTTAATTATTATTAAATATTATTCAATTGTAGCATGTGCGGAAAAAGTAAAATTATGGACATTATTATTGTACGAGAAAAATGGCCCGTTGAGGAAGGGTACAACGGGCGCTAGACTGATAGTGCTGTCTCTTTTCTCTAAACTAAAACCAACCCACCCCCCCACACACCACCCCCACCCCACCCCCACACACCACCCCCACCCCAACCCCCACCACACACCACCCCCACCCCTCACCCCCACACACCACCCCCTCCACACACCGCCCCCCCCCACCCCCCACCCCAAAAAAAAACATGTCTACCGTCCCATTCAACGAAATATAATTATATACTTTTTCCAGTGTCCGCCCCCTCCCAGAAAATTCTACCCCCCGCCCCCGAAAATTTCAAGTACCCCCACCCCTCTCCGGGGAGGAAAAAGTCTGAAAGAAACACTGAAACCAACCCACCCCCCCACACACCCCCCCACCCCCCCCCACACACCACCCCCCATCCCCCCCACCCCCCCACCCCCCACCCCACACACCACCCCCCCCACACCTCCACCACCCCCCACCCCCCAAAAAAACATGTCTACCGTCCCATTCAACGAAATATAATTATATACTTTTTCCAGTGTCCGCCCCCTCCCAGAAAATTCTACCCCCGCCCCCGAAAATTTCAAGTACCCCCACCCCTCTCCGGGGAGGAAAAAGTCTGAAAGAAACACTGAAACCAACCCAACCCCCACACACCACCCCCCCACCCCCCTCCCCACCCCTACACACCCCCCCCCCACCCCTCCACCCCCCCCCCCCAACCCCCCCACCTCCACCCCCCCCCAACCCCCCCCCAACCCCCCACCCCCACCCCAAAAAAAAAAACATGTCTACCGTCCCATTGCAAGAAAACCACTTTTTAGATTAGACACATTAATTAGGCTGTAATTTTATTATAGAGTATCGATGAGGAAATTTCTTTTGAGTTGGGGAGGGGGGGGGGGGGGCTCAGACGTTCTTACGCGGGGGGTGGGGCTTCGCCCCTACCCGAAGAATTGTATGCAAGAAACTCTTCACGCAAACCATTTAGATTAGACAACATTTCCTTTTTTTCAATGTTTACGCGATAATCAATGACGTCATTACATTACTGTGTGCACTCTCTGGTTTGAGATTATGTTCTACTCTACGCTAAATGTGTCGACGTCATATTTCGTTTTTCGAATTACTGTGCATGTTTTTAAATTGCTTGTGTTTTCTCTAGAGCGTTCTTGTCAGACAGAGCGTTCTTGTCAGATACACAGACAGCGAAACTATTAGTATTAATTAGTAATTTTATTAGTATATTGATTTTTTCTTCACTGTGGGCCGACCGTTGCTGCATTCGTGACCGGTGGTTAACCTCGTCAACGCCGCGTGGCCTATTCGTTTATATAATCAGTGATGCTCGTTCAGTGGCCTTTTTCAGCGCTAGGCCTAATAATTACGGGCGATTTTTAGACTTAATTGATTGGCCGTTAGCCTTTTTCATTGCTGCGTATTTTAAAAAATGCTCGTTCAGCGGCCTTTTTTTTTTTTTGGCGCTAAATAATCTGTTTACGGGCATTATAAGCGTTTATTTATTTATTTTTTTAAGCTAGACGTAGATCTAGTTAAAAAAAATATATTTTTTTTATACAGCTGGCTGATATGCGAACTTTAAAAAAAACGACCGAGCTTTAAAAAAAAAATGACCAGAAGGGAAATAGGTCTGTTTTTCAATTAGCTTGAAGAAGGGTGGGGGGGGGGGGGGGGGGGGGAAAGAGAGAGAGAGAAGTGAAGACACCGACCATCTCGTCTGCGCGTGTTCATTCTATGACGTGTACTATAGGCCTGCTGAAGTCACGGTGACCCCGCGACCGTGGTGGGATTTTTCATCCACAGGATAGTAAACATAAGCAAGCAATCACGCGAGTGACGATGTTTGGAGATTTTATTTAAAAAAAAAAATCACATACGTTATGTTTTCAAGATGAAAAAAAAATGTAATGTAAAAAAAAAAAAAAAGACACTAATAACCTGTATGAACCTCAGCTGCCACACTGTTGACTCAATAATATAATGTGATTGAGTGTAAAATGTATTTGTATTTATAAACTATCTTAACTCTTAACTATTACTATCATTTTATTTTATGCATATTTATTATTTAAAATTAGAATTTGAAATAAAAATATTTATTATGGTCATTTGATTTATGCAGGTGTTCATTACTTCATAAAATGGTATGAATAACATGTAGAGTAGAATTTAATAAATAATAAAATAACTAGATCTAGTTTTATTATCAACCAGTTGCTTTTTGTTATTTTCCGGTGAGTAAATAACCTAAGCTGACGCAATTACCTTGGCGGGAATTAAAAGCTCGTGCACACAAGTCCACGACGTCATGTTATGCCGGTCGAGGAGTAAAACCGATGTTCTGACTTTCATTTTCCATTCTCGGAAAAAAATTAAATTCTCTCTTTTCTCGTCAACCGATTAAGCTAGATATTTAAATGTGGTGTCAAATGTTCTCTTAAGGGGTAAGGAACTTAATGGTGTATTTGAAATAACAGAATATTTTATTTAAAAAAATCCATAATTCAACCTAATGAATATGGAAGCAAAATTTACAAGGAACACTGTTTAATTAAATCCAATATCCGTCAATTGTCAATATCTTACTTAATACTAATCTAATTTATCTATGTCAAAAATGTCAACAAAATTGGGTTTTTTTTTGGCTGGAAGTTGGAAGGATTTGATTATGTGGTAATCTATCGTTTTAGGTACGTAAAATCGGCCGCGACTAGTAATGTGAAAAACAGGTGACTCCTTACATTTTAATAATTATTTCACATTTTGAGGAGGATTTATGTTTTGAAAAATACAAAAATGTTTTTTTGTTTCATTTATGTACCTGTTTTTAAACAATTGAATTAAAACTTTTCAGTAATAAATGAACACCAGCGATATTTCCAACAGATGCAACCACGCTCATTTACTATAGCAGCCATCTTGTTAAAGTTTTATTTTTATAGACATATAGCGCAAGATTCAGGCGGAAGTCACTCTATTTTACAAATGGCTGCTGTTTATATAGTAAATCTTGCTTGCAGACACAGCTGTTTAAAGTTAATTTCTGGCCTATATTGATATATTTAGCCATTGATTTAGGTTTATTATTCATTTATCTATAATATTTGACACAAACATATCACAATATACTTCTATTACAGCCTTGACAATGAGGTAACGTTTTCGTACATTAATAGCCGCGGGCGATTTTACGTACCCAAAACGATAGATTACCGATTATGTAATCTAGTTTATTTAATAATTTAATAGAGATATAGTTCTATCTTTTTTGGATGTTTGACAGTTTTTTATCTATAATTTTAGAATCAAGCCCGTTACATTTAAGCTTTTGCATATATACTCATCTGCGTTGTTCAATTAAATTTAACAATGTCAATGTCATATTACTTGCCTCCCAGAGTCGCCATGTCTTTTTCGATTCAAAACAGGAAGTGTTGATCCAGAGTTTCAAAATATGGAATTAGGTCTAGACTAGATCTAGGTCATCATAACCCCTCACAACCAGTTGTCTCATTAGGCCTTTATATTTTTTAATAATAATCATTAAAAAAGTTTTAAAAAACCCACGTTTTCTGATTGAACTAAAAAGTAGAAAATAAATACTATACATCACAATAATGCAAGCGATCACTCTACTATAAGCGATGAAAAACGTGGGGCGCCGAAGTAAAAGTTATATTACTATTGATTAGATAATACTATTGACTTTTATTAGGGAGCTTGTAGAGAGTCAACAGTATTAGAAACTGTAAGAAAATCACGGCGCCCCACGTTTTTGATCGCTTATAGTAGAGTGATCGCTTGCATTATTGTGATGTATAGTATTTATTTTCTACTTTTTAGTTCAATCAGAAAACGTGGGTTTTTTAAAACTTTTTTAATGATTATTATTTTCTACTTTTTAGTCTTTGTCTGTTTGTTTGCATTAAAATCTTGCTATCGATTTTATCTTTTCACTTTTTTTTGGGTAAACGAAGACAACTCGTAAAAAGACAACTCGTAAAAAGACAACTCGTAAAAAGACAACTCGTAAAAAACACGTTGTTTGAATACGTTACTGACTAGAACACATAGATTTGAACCCGTGTCGAGTGGGATAGCAATCGTGTGCCCAACCACTCGACCATATCGTCTCCCCCAAACTGGCCTACCTCCTGTAAGTTTAAACTCGGTTCAAGCTAAATTACCTGCCCCTAAGCCTGTGGCGACATGTGATCGTTCGCTTCACTGCGCGCGAGGTACGCGTCGCTGGTTTTTTTTCTAATGGCTAGCAGAGGAGAATTATATATATAGATTATATAGCGGTCTAAAATGCTCAATAAAATGTTTCCATTGATCAATTTAGTAATAATAACAATTGAATATTCAATGGTCATCCAAAAGAAAGCTTCCCTGAAAATTTCAGCGCGCTAGCTATCTGGGAAGTGCCAGAAATTTCGATCGCAAGATTTGATTGGAAAGACAAACAGAGAAAGCAAGTTAAAGAAAACGTGGGAAAAAAGTAGTCTAATCAAACAAATAAAACTAACACAGCTAGCAGCCAAGTTATAAAATTACATTGTACAATTTCTTCATATCTACAAATCTTTAACAATGAAGGAAACCAAAAAAATAGATATAAAGCTAGTTTACAAAGTTCAGTAGTTTTAGATTTTGATTCTTAATGCACTATCATGCACCTCCCCCCCCCCCCCCCCCCCCCAACTAAAATCCAATCGCAATCCCGTTCGCCGTAGGGCCTGAATAAGGCAATACCATAGACCGTTACCAGATCTTTCTTTTTCTCTTAAATTTTTCTGGTAGATTTTTTTTTAATGGGCCTACATCAAGTTTGATATTTAATTGACTTAGGCCTACTAGTTTTGAAAATAATTTCTAGATTCTAGATCTAATTGTTTCGAAGCAATTAAATACACATTTTCTAGTCGCATAAAAAATAAAATATTTTAGGCCCTTAATAACTAGTAAGAGTTAGATCTAGATCTAGCCTATTTAAGTTTTAAGTCAGAGTAGGCCCATGGAAACATAACTAAACACTTCTTAGCAGCTTTCATTTTTTATGTCCCCTTATTAGACTCCTAGTTAATTAGGGTGCTCTCCCCGAAATCTAAAAACAAAATTGTTTTCAGCAACGCACAACATTTTATAAAATAATTAGATTCTAGTTTATTAATAATTATAGATCTAGATCTAGTTAGTTTTGGTCCATGACTACTGTACTGATCATCGGGCTGCAGAATGAATTTCTAATTGTAAAATGTAAACCATGAAGATAGTGATAGACGATAGCGGATAGATCTAGAACAAGAACAGTACTGAGTACAGGTCTAGCAGCTAGTCTAGATCTAGAATCTAGATCTAGAGTCTAGAGTAGTCTAGACTCTCTCTAGACTCAAATTCTAGATTTAAGAACCTGGTAAATTAAAATAAAATTCAAGTGACAAGTACTAGGCCTATTAAATTAAGATTTAAGCCTAAGTACTAAAAGTAGGCAGTAGGCCTAGATCTACAGTACATTACTCATTACTACACAAAGAAGTTTATTCACAAAATCAATCTAAAATTGGTAATCTATCGTTTTGGGTACGTAAAATCGCCCGCGGCTATTAATGTACGAAAACGTTACCTCATTGTCAAGGCTGTAATAGAAGTATATTGTGATATGTTTGTGTCAAATATTATAGATAAATGAATAATAAACCTAAATCAATGGCTAAATATATCAATATAGGCCAGAAATTAACTTTAAACAGCTGTGTCTGCAAGCAAGATTTGCTATATATTACTATATAAACAGCAGCCATTTGTAAAATAGAGTGACTTCCGCCTGAATCTCGCGCTATATGTCTATAAAAATAAAACTTTAACAAGATGGCTGCTATAGTAAATGAGCGTGGTTGCATCTGTTGGAAACATCGCTGGTGTTCATTTATTACTGAAAAGTTTTAATTCAAATGTTTAAAAACAGGTACATAAATGAAACAAGGAAACATTTTTGTATTTTTCAAAACATAAATCCTCCTCAAAATGTGAAATAATTATTAAAATGTAAGGAGTCACCTGTTTTTCACATTACTAGTCGCGGCCGATTTTACGTACCTAAAACGATAGATTACCCTAAAATTCTAAGAGTGAGACTAGATTTTAGATTGTTGTTTGAGTAATGTAGATTCTAGAGATTCTACTTGACTTAAACAAGTTCGGAGTAGGTTAGACAAGTTGAAGGTTTAGTTTAGAGTTTAGATTCTATCTTATCTAGATCTAAATATCTAGAATATATTATAGATTTTTTAAAAAGTAAAGATCCCTTTCAAACCCGGTGGTTTACGGGCAAGTGAAGTAGAGTTCACTTGTTTCTGTGACCTCGGCTTATGAATAATTATATAATATTATGGTCAGTACTATGTTCAGCCACCTTTACTTACCCTAACGTGAGTTAGGTACGAATCAGAGCTGGGTGGACTCAGGGACGGTTTACTAACTTGAAACTCGAACGTGAGACTCACAGGTTAGCAAACTAGCACTCTACCGCTAGGCCACTCCATCCCTTATATATTATACATAGGCCTATGTATATATATATATATATAATTTTATATATATATAGGCCTAGGCCTAATATTCGGTAATCTATCGTTTTAGGTACGTAAAATCGCCCGCAGCTAGTAATGTACGAAAAAGTTACCTCTTTGTCAATGCTTTAATAGAAGTATATTGTGATATATTTGTGTCATATATTATAGATAAATGAATAATAAACCCAAATCAATGGCTAAATATATCAATATAGGCAAGAAATTAACTTTAAACGGCAGTGTTTGCGAGCAGGATTTGCAATATAAAAAGTGGCCATCGGTAAGTTAGAGTGGCTTCCCCTTAATCTTGCGCTATAAGTTTACAATATTAAAAAAATAAACAAGATGGCTGCTATTGTAAATGAGCATGGTTGCATCTGTTTGAAACATGGCTAGTCTTTATTTATTACTGACAATTTTTTATTCAATTGTTTAAAAACAGGTACATAAATGAAATAATGAAACATTTTTGTATTTTTCAAAACAAAAATCCTCCTCAAAATGTGAAATAATTATTAAAATTTAAGGAGTCATCTGTTTTTCACATTACTAGTCGCTGGCGATTTTACGTTCCTAAAACGATAGATTACCTAATATTCATATATTATATTCTCTCTAGCCTGACTCCACCAAGCCGAACCTAAACAGATCAACATTTACTTATTTATAATAAAATGTATTAGAATCAATGCAATTATCTAGTGGCAGTGCTCATTCTTATAATCTTAGGCAGTCTTAGGTCTTACTCTGAAACTCATGGGAGTCTTAGGATTATCATTTTAATTTTATGCAGATTGTATTGTGTTTGTCAAGTATTTGTACTAAAGGCCTACACCAGGGATCTTCTATTAATCCCATTTTTTCATGTGTAGGTTTACAAGCCCTAGAGATCTATAGGCCTATTATGATTTATTTTAACTTTATTGTCACACGCCAAATGATGTCACATTTCAACATACCACCACCCCCTTTCCGCCAATTACTTTTTTTTTTTAAACCAGGATGTATATAGGCCTATATAAAAAACAGTGAAATATTAAATGATTTAAAAGATCAATTTGTAAAAAAAAAATATTTTTATTATGTGAAATAACTGCTAAAAATGTCGAAGTCTGATGTCACACTTTCTGAACACACATCACTTCAAGAAGGGTGAGATCATTTACCTACAAGTAGCCACACTTGGACCTAGTACTAAAAATATAATACTATTACTTAGGGTCATCTATAAGTTGTCACACTTGTGGGGGGGGGGGGGGGGGGGGGATTTCATGAAGTGTGACAACTAACAACACACTATTGCAATTTAAAAAGTACTGTAGAGGGAGTGGTAGGCTGAGGTGTGACTTAATTTTAGAGGGGGTCTGACTTTGTGTGCCGTTGAGAAGGGAGGTAAAAATCATTTAACCAAAGTGTGATGTCATTCATGAATGACCTCTAAATACTTTGTTTAAAAATAACAGTTGACTGAATGATAAAAGTGCTGTAATATTAAAATTACTATTTTAATAAGATTAAGACAGAACTCAGGACTGCAAAGTGAAATCTTCCTTTGGACAGCCATTTTTGTACACAGTTGAAAACTTTTATGTTCAGATCATGGCTTCACAAAATGTAATATCTAAATGTTCTGTAAACAATGATGTGATGGCTTTGACTAGTCGTTTGGACAGTGTAACAACAGAGGTAAGAAAAGAAAGGGTATTTTTTACCACTCTATATGATAATCTGTATGATAATCATATGATAATTCATTCAAATGATAATCATGCCTGATGCCATATTATTATTTATAATATATACATTTATAATAGTCTCTTCTGTTAAAAGTTTTATTAGATATCTATGCAGTATGCTATGGGTAACATAATTACTAAAACAATAGTTTGAATGTACTGGTAAGACAACATAACAACACAAGTTTTTTCTGTCCAGAGTTTCTTCCAGGCATCTCTTTGGGGGGGCAAAGCCCCCCCCGAAAAATTTTTACCGCCCCCCGAACGAAATGAAATTTATATAATTTATATAGAAAATATATACTTTTAACAGTGTCCGCCCCCCCCCCCCCCCCCGAAGAAAGTCTACCGCCCCCCCCCCCCCCTGAAAATTTCAAGTGCCCCCCGGAGAAAAAAGTCTGGAAGAAACACTGTTTCTGTCACTATAGTATTATTAGTTAGTATAGGGTTACATTAGCAATTGGACTTGCTGGGAGTTTTACCAGAATTAACCAATAAACGGACAATATTTTGAGTCATCCCTTTGAATCCCGGTCAGAACGTCCCCCCGGCGTGGCCTCAACAAAGCAAGTGGGCTTGATGCATTGAGTAAAATATAAACTCAAAACAATCATATAAACAATCTCATTTGAGTGCAAGGGAAATATTATGGTATTCGTATTGGTGATGTATTAGATCTATGTGCAAAGCTAGAGATATAAAGCAAACTTCAAATTCATTATTATTTGTAAAAACTAATTTTATATAACTAATTTGATTGAAATGGGGATATTATGGTATTCGAATTGGTGATGTAATTATGTGCAGAGCTAGCAATAACCTGGGTCAAATTGAACTACGGGAGATCAAACCTAAGTAAAATCAATAATAACTGACATTGACTGATCACTGTACAAGTTATCGTATAACAAACAGTGACATTAGTAAAATCTATAATAACTGACATTAACATATCACTGTTAAAATTATTATATAACAAACAGTGACATTAATAAAATCTATAATAACTGACATTGACTGATCACTGTACAAGTTATTGTGTAACAAACCTTGACATTAGTAAAAATCTTGTAATAACTGACATTGACTGATCACTGTAAAAATTATCATATAACAAACAGTGAAGTTAGTAAAATCTTGTAATAACTGACATTGACTGATCACTTTTTAAATTATTATATAACAAACAGTTACACAAGTGAAATTATGTAATAACTTTCATAGACAGATTACAATAACTCTCACAAACTGATCACAACAATATGTTAGCAACACTTACTATAAAGTAGCATGTTATTTCCACTGTTTTGTCCAATTGTGTAAAAAAAATATCATCCTATTTTATTACTAAACAAATCACTATTGGTTAATGTTACCTTATTTCTTACTGTAGCATACCCAGCTTTGGCCTTAAAGCTTATGGGTACAGAGGTTCTATCCATCAAGATTAAAACAGATTAATGCTTACATCTTTATTTTGTTCTATCTCAAACATACAAATTAAAAGCTTTTTGAGTTGTTCTGTATTGGAGGGAGAGAAGTTTTTTGAGTAAACTATGTTACTGCAGAGGTAATGCATGCGTTGAAATATTATTCCAGCTGAAATTTGAGATCCATTGGGAAAACACATGACCTTTGACCTATAATAAAAGATCATTAATCAAACAGCCTAAACATGTTACTTTGACAATGGGTATTAATTAGCTTTATTGTGCTTCAGTAATGGCCTGTAGGCCTGAAAAACTCCAACTTTCAAGTTAACACACTCTTTTAGTTGTTAAAATGTTTCAAGTAGGCTACAAAAGATGGTTTTTACCTGACAAAGTAAGAATTTATTGAAGAATTTATATATTACCAATTTTTAAATTTTTGTTTCATTTTTTTTAATTAATCTAGAAAAAAAAATATTCTTTAAGATAAATACATAGATTTAATAATGAAGCTTTTGAAGAGCTGGTTTGTCAAATTATTAATGCAACATTTATTTTAAGCTGTTTCACTAAATGTTGCCAGCTCTTTTCTTCATACCTCAGGCAGCTTTTAAAACTTGTAGTAAATCTTTTTGGGTTTGAACTAAAAAAAAACAATGAAGAAATGTGTTGCACAATTGACAGATGTTGGGCTATTGATGTATGTAATGTTTCTTTAGCACTGGTTTTCCTTCTTATCCAATACACTCCAATGTAAAGCTGTTGGAGGTTTGATATTTAACATAAAAAAATTTGTTATACGTTAGCTGATTTATTGCCAGCTAGCCATCTTATCTAGTTCACTTTTGGCTTGTATCAGATGTTTCTGATCTTCACAGTGTGGTGATAGTTTCCATCTTTTTATTTTAAGCTCTTAGTGATGTTTCAAATATTGATCTTTTAGGATCCAAGATATTTATTTTTACCACTTTAGGGATTTCTTATCAAGGATGTCTCTCCTAAAGGTGAAATAATGTTTGTTTGCAGCTTTTTTAAACAAGACAACTATAAAAAATTTAAATATTCCATTAAAATTATGAGACTAAAATCGATTTCATGATGATATGAATTAGTATGTGCCAGGATTTAACTGAACTTTTTTAAGTTCCAGTAACAGATGAAGTTTTTATGCTTAAGGTATTAAATTAAATTTATATTCCTGTCCTGACATTAATGTTTCAGTGTCAAATGATTTTTTTTTTTCAGTATCAGATTTGTCGTAGAAAATTGGAAAGTAAGTGTGAAGCTCTTCTAATTTTAAGCCGTGAACTAGATCAATGTCGCAGTGAGCGGGATCAGTTCAAGCTGATGGCAGAACAGCTTCGTGATCGCTACCAAATGGTCAAACGACAACTCACAGGGGATGTAAGTATTTTAAAACTTAAACAATTTTACTTGCTAAATTTTTTTAAAAAATTTAAATACTAACCTTTTTGTTAATTTGTGTCAAAAAGCTGTATTTTCATCTACAAAAAAAAAATAATTTCAGTGCTAATCCTATTTTTTTCAGACGCCAATGTCTGCCAATATAGAGCTAGACCCTAAGACTTACTCAGATATTCAAACACAGGTTTTTATACTGCTACTTTCATTTCTTTAATTTTATATTCTTTATCATTTGAAAAAAAAGTACCTTTGTGTTATTTTTAGTATTCTAAGTATTAAAACATCAACATATAGTTGATAAGAAAAAAATGTTTACTTAAATATTTTGTACATTACCACCCATCTGTTACCTGTAACTTTTCAGAGTTTGGCTCGTTTATTATTTGATACAAAAGAGGCCAACAAATCCTTCAAATTTGAAGTTGATGATCTCAAACAAAAATTACTGGATGCTGAGGGAGACATTAAGGTACATTTTTTAGAGTTCTGTTTGTGATATGGAGATGCAGTGCATTGTTAGTAAAACTTTCATACCTTTACTTGATAACTAGTTAATTTACTTAGATTGTTATTAATTTGTAATAACATTTGAAAAAAAAAAATTCTAGCTTCTACGAGAACAGATAGCTAGATCAAGGGTGGGCACTACTGATGAAGGATTAAATACTCGGCACTTTCCTGCTCATGAGAGGGAGGATTTAGTTAGTCAGCTGGAGGCTAGCAGAGAAGAGGTAAGTTGATAAGCTCAGGTTTGTTGATTAGGTCAGGTGTGTTGATCAGCTCAGGTGGGTTGATCAGCTCAGGTGGGTTGATCAGGTCAGGTGTGTTGATAAGCTCAGGTTTGTTGATTAGGTCAGGTGTGTTGATCAGCTCAGGTGGGTTGATCAGCTCAGGTGGGTTGATCAGCTCAGGTGGGTTGATCAGGTCAGGTGTGTTGATCAGCTCAGGTGTGTTGATCAGGTCAGGTGTGTTGATCAGCTCAGGTGGGTTGATCAGGTCAGGTGTGTTGATCAGCTCAGGTGGGTTGATCAGGTCAGGTGTGTTGATCAGCTCAGGTGGGTTGATCAGCTCAGGTGGGTTGATCAGGTCAGGTGGGTTGATCAGGTCAGGTGGGTTGATCAGCTCAGGTGTGTTGATCAGGTCAGGTGGGTTGATCAGCTCAGGTGTGTTGATCAGGTCAGGTGGGTTGATTAGGTCAGGTGTGTTGATCAGGTCAGGTGGGTTGATCAGCTCAGGTGGGTTGATCGGCTCAGGTGGGTTGATCAGCTCAGGTGGGTTGATCAGCTCAGGTGTGTTGATCAGGTCAGGTGGGTTGATCAGCTCAGGTGGGTTGATCAAGTCAGGTGTGTTGATCAGCTCAGGTGGGTTGATCAGGTCAGGTGTGTTGATCAGGTCAGGTGTGTTGATCAGCTTAGGTGTGTTGATCAGGTCAGGTGGGTTGATCAGCTCAGGTGGGTTGATCAGCTCAGGTGGGTTGATCAGGTCAGGTGTGTTGATCAGCTCAGGTGTGTTGATCAGGTCAGGTGTGTTGATCAGCTCAGGTGGGTTGATCAGGTCAGGTGTGTTGATCAGCTCAGGTGGGTTGATCAGGTCAGGTGTGTTGATCAGCTCAGGTGGGTTGATCAGCTCAGGTGGGTTGATCAGGTCAGGTGGGTTGATCAGGTCAGGTGGGTTGATCAGCTCAGGTGTGTTGATCAGGTCAGGTGGGTTGATCAGCTCAGGTGTGTTGATCAGGTCAGGTGGGTTGATTAGGTCAGGTGTGTTGATCAGGTCAGGTGGGTTGATCAGCTCAGGTGGGTTGATCGGCTCAGGTGGGTTGATCAGCTCAGGTGTGTTGATCAGGTCAGGTGGGTTGATCAGCTCAGGTGGGTTGATCAGGTCAGGTGTGTTGATCAGCTCAGGTGGGTTGATCAGGTCAGGTGTGTTGATCAGGTCAGGTGTGTTGATCAGCTTAGGTGGGTTGATCAGCTCAGGTGGGTTGATCAGCTCAGGTGGGTTGATCAGGTCAGGTGTGTTGATCAGGTCAGGTGGGTTGATCAGCTCAGGTGGGTTGATCAGCTCAGGTGTGTTGATCAGGTCAGGTGGGTTGATCAGCTCAGGTGGGTTGATCGGCTCAGGTGGGTTGATCAGCTCAGGTGGGTTGAAGCACAATTTGTGTTTAAATGTTTAAACCTGACAGTCCTTAGGCAAGCTAATGCATACTTAGCTTTAAAGGAAAAAGCAGTGACGGCTGGAGATAGTTCTAACCATATCATAATTTGAAATGCCACATCAAATACACAGAAAAATTCCCATCAAACTAACCAAAACATTATATGCTAAAATAGTGTAAAGGAAGTTTGTTTTCTGTATTTTCTTAACTCTACTAATTCTGATTGTAATAAATAGCTATAAAATGTAGAAACAGGTGTACAGCAGTACAGTATTAAAGCAGTGACAGGTGACAGGAAGCATTAGAAGACATCACAAGTTAAACGCTTAAACAAAATGTTTGTACATTTGTGTCAAATGGCGGTCTGTTGTTCTGACCCAAATAGATATGTGAGTAACAAGTTTCATCCATTCTCTCAGTATGTCCAACTTGAGCGCGACCTACAACAGGTGTTGGATGAAAAGGAAGAGCTGGTCACTGAACGGGACGCATACCGCACCAAGTTTGAAAGAATGAATACAGAACTAAACTACATACTAGGGGGAGATGAAAAAAGAATTGTCGATATCGATGGATTAATTATGGAAAATAAGTAAGCTGTAAAAGATGTGCAAAGTGTGCTTTTGTTGATAGCAAAAGTGTGCTTTTGTTGATGGTTAAAGTGTGCTTTTGTTGATGGTAAAAGTGTGCTTTTGTTGATAGCAACATAATGCTTTTGTTGATTGTGAAAGTGTAGTTTAGTTCATAGAAAAAGTGTGCTTATGTTGATATTGTTGGCTTAGCAATAGAAAATATTTTGGTAGCTAAATCTATGAAAAATAAATTTGAATTTATTGACATGGATAGATCAAATGTAGAAAATAAGTGTTTTTAGACTGCTTTTAACACATTGTATGTACAGGTACAAGTTGATTGCTCATAAAGTAAAACCTATTGGATCTTATGTTAAGAATATTTCATTAAAATCTTTGCTGGTTTTCTAAAACCTGTTTTTCAACTAATTTGCTTTTAAAATGGCCAGTTCCTGAAAAAATTTGAAATATGGAAATAACTAGTTATTATATCATTACCATAAAACCACTGATCAAGCATGTTTTTTCTAGGTATCTACAGGAAAGATTAAAACAAATGGAGGAAGAGAAGACAATGGCCATAGCAACAGTAACCAAATACAAGGCAAGTTTTAGCCATGTTTAAGTCCAATCTAGGCCAGATAAAACAAAGTTTTAGCCATGTTTAAGTCCAATCTAGGCCAGATAAAACAAAGTTTTAGCCATGTTAAGTCCAATCTAGGCCAGATAAAACAAAGTTTTAGCCATGTTTAAGTCCAATCTAGGCCAGATAAAACAAAGTTTTAGCCATGTTTAAGTCCAATCTAGGCCAGATAAAACAAAGTTTTAGCCATGTTTAAGTCCAATCTAGGCAAGATAAAACAAAGTTTCAAATCAAATAACATTTCATTGGTTTCTCTTTGTAGATTAAATGTTGCTGTAAACATTATGCAGATAACCCATTTCATTTATCATAATGTTTAGTTAACAAATGAATTGTAAAAATAAATGTGGAAGAAAATAACACTCTTGTTTCTGTGGGATGGCATAGCGGTAGAGCACTTGACTGCTAGCCAGAAAGACGCTAGTTCAAATCCGGGTACAGTTCAATAGATTATCCCTGAGTTCAGCCGTTCACATTAGGGAAAGTAAATATTGATGGGCATAGTGCTGATCACACTATCCCTTCATATGCTAAGTTCACAAAAACAGGTGAACTCTACTTCACTTGCCCCATGGTTCGGAAAGGTAACTTCATTTCACTTTGCATTTGTTTTTATCATTTAAAATTGACTTCTTGCTTCAGAGTATTCTAGAAAAAAAGAAAACCAAAGGTGTATTAAAGTTGGGACAAAATCGAAATGATGGACTTGTGATCACTCAAAAACAAGGTATTTTCAGCAGTTTGATGAAATGTGTAATGTTACTGTCTATATGTTTAAATGTGTAATGTTACTGTCCATATGTTTAAATGTGTAATGTTACTGTCCATATCTTTAAATGTGTAATGTTACTGTCCATATGTTTAAATGTGTAATGTTACTGTCCATATCTTTAAATGTGTAATGTTACTGTCCATATGTTTAAATGTGTAATGTTACTGTCCATATCTTTAAATGTGTAACGTTACTGTCCATATGTTTAAATGTGTAATGTTACTGTTCATAGCTTTACCTGAACAGATTTGTTCAGATCTGTGATCAGACCATGATTTTGTTCAAATTGAGTTACTCTTATCGAAAAGTAGATTTTATTTTTTAACTCATTAAATGTTTGACCAGTTTGTCAAAGTTTTATTCTTTAAATTGCTCCCCAAACTTCTTGCCTGGTTCATCAAAGTTTTATTCTTTAACATCTATTTTTTTAACTTGCTCCCAGTTCAACAGATAATGCAGTGCAGATCTTCCATAACCCCCCCCCCCTACTTGTTCTACCCATTATCTGACCATAACAACAATTATCTGACCATAACACCCATTATCTGACCATAACACCAATTATCTGACCAGTTCAACAGATAATGCAGTGCAGATCTTCCATAACTCCCTCTGCACAAGCCATGGCAGACCTACAAGGCTTGTGTGGGGCTTTACTTGATACCATCAATGACAAGAACCTTGCACTATCCCATCAGAGAAAAACTAACAAGTAACTAACACTTTATACTGTTCATGCTAGTCTTAAGTTATTTGATATTTACACTTTTCTTGTCACAGCTTATAACTGAAATAAAGTAAAATGTTTACAGAAAAATCTGTGATCTATTTCCAGATCCTGTAAATTTCAAACCTTTAACTTAATGTTAAATTTGCTGTTTGTATGTCACTGTTGGTTTCCTTTGCCTCATTTTCCCATCACTGTCTCCCAGGTTGTTGGGTAACAGGGTCAATGAACTGGAGAAAAAGCTGAAGACTTTAGAGGTCTCTGGGTTGTGGAGTGTTTCAGGTAACCTTTCACACAATCTACTTGCCCTCCTAGGAAAGCCATGGCTTTTTATCTTTACTTGGGTTTAAAATATGTTCCGTAAAGTAAAAGTTGAATCTTTTATTATTATGATCCCTAAAGTAAAAAAGCTATCCTCAAAAATGGATTTCCTTAAGTAAAAAAGTTAACATCAAAAGTATGTTGCCTAAAGTAAAAGGTTAACACTAAAAATGTTCCCTAAAGTCAAAGGTTAACATACAAAATTTGTTCCTTAAAGTGAAAGGTTAATATAAAAAATATGTTCCCTAAAGTCAAAGGTTAGCATAAAAAAATTTTCCCTAATGTCAAAGGTTATTATAAAAAACATGTTCCCTAAAGTCAAAGGTTAATATAAAAATAATTTCCCTAAAATCAAAGATTAACATAAAAAATTATGTTCCCTAAAGTCAAAGATTAACCAGAGTTTGAACCCACCAGGTCACTTCCCTAACCTGGAGAAACTACGAGCAGAGTGTGAGGAAATTAAGACCCTGGTCCCCCGCCAGTTCTCTCAGTCTACAGATGCCTCGGAGCCTCAGCAGGAGATCTCAGACTTCTCTGAGACTTCTTCTGCCATTACAAGGTGAGCTTTCAGGTTGTCATGGCAACAGCCATGCTGGTATTCCTCAAATAGATATAGTCAGTGTGGTTTTATCTTAACCTCATGATATTCACTCAACTTGGATTCATCTTGTTTTCTTTTATCCAATCAAGAGCTAGAAAAGCAAAAAAAATTAGTCACCAAAACCAAATGATAAGCCTTTCCAAGAGAAATTGTGTTGCAGATATTTATTACAAATATCTTAATTAATAAAACTTTTCCAAAGGTCTTTTCTTTAGTGTGTTAGTTCTGTAGTGTGTCAAGTTTGTGTCAGCTAAATGAACTCTGACCTCTGACCCCAGCACAACAAGTAGCCCAGTGCACCAAAAGCTGAACCAGTTGAGCAGAAATGACCTTGAGGAGTTGGACCTTCTGCCCTCCAAAGAAGTCTCAGTGAAATGTGATCAGTCAGCCACAAATGTTGGTGCAGCTGGCAACACAGACTCCGGCCTAGGACTCTCTGGTAAGGCCAGCTATCTTCTTTAACTAGTGTTTATGTACGACAATCAAAAAGTGGCCAAAAAAAATGTAAACAATAAAAATACTTAAAGAATTGTTCAACAATATCTTTCAAAAATACTAAGTGAAATATTTGACTGGGGCAATAATAAGAACAAATTGTGAAGCTTCTCTAGAATGTTAACTCCTACCTAGCAAATTATTTCTCTACTAAATTTTATGATGAGCTCTTATCAGTTAGTCATTCTCACATATTCCATCAGCCAATGTCACTAATAATTAGACTAACCCTTCTAAGTAAGTTACGGCTAGGATTAGTGTTGTGTTAGTTCAAGTATCATTACTGACGGTACTAACTAAATAACTTTAGCCAGGTTTTACTTTTGGAATAATATTTTGATTTATGCTAATCTACAGAACAAGATATTTATGATCTTACTGTAATTGTTTTGTAGTGAGTCTTTAATTCTTTTTTTATTTGCCATATAACTTTATTTTGTTTCCTTGCTTTCCAATAAGTACATCCTTACTAATGACAGCCCAAATATAATCTGGGACTCTCTGGTTTCTGCTGGGATATTCTTACCCTAATCCATCATTTATGTGCTCATTTTAATTTAATTAATTATGTGATTTAAAATGTTAAGTGGCAGGACTGAAGTCAGAATCTGTGATCCCTTCACCATTCCAAAGTTGCTATGTGTTCTAAAACTTGAAAACCAAACAAAATTCTATTTTAGCTTTCCCTGTAACTATTTTCATTAAATTTACATCTTACAAAAAAAAAACCTTAACTTATTTTTCAGAGAAAGATGGAACTTTGTTCCTAATGGTACTTTTTTTTCTGATTACAACTAATTTAAATCTGGATTTTGAGGTTTCTCTCACCAGGGATGTCCACATCCTTGTCCTGGCTTGTTTTGTTAGTCCTTAAACTGGTTCCACTTTTTTTTTTTGGTGCACTCATTTCTAACATCATGGTACAGGCCCTTTTTTTCTTCATCATTCAAGTAAAACATTTTGATCATGCTACAATGTGTTTTTTCTTCATCATTCAAGTAAAACATTTTGGTCATGCTACAATGTGTTTTCTTTATTTTGCTGCAAACAATTTGATTAAGCAATATTTACCCCTTTTATTGACATTTTGAATTATAAAGATCATTGTAATTAAATTTTAAATATTACATTATTATCATAATTTTCAAATATCTATAAATTGTTATTTTTTGCTGTAAGAATCTTTGAAGATAAAAATAAAACTAAAATGTAATTTTTTATATGATGTAAAACTTTGATGTTTCCTTAAACCTTAATGACAGTACTAAAATGGTTGACATCTGAACTTTTGAAACTATTTTCCAGATGTGAATTCAGATGCTGCTGGGGCTGCTAGGGTAGCTCTTGCTGAGGCCATGCTACGCTCCTTGCTGGGTTGTCATGACAGCCCTGAGCCTGGTTGCCATGGTGAGGACAGCCCTGAGCCTGGTTGCCATGGTGAGGACAGCCCAGACAGGAACCAGTCACCCAGCAGTGTCACACACCTCTATATTGATGGGGAGGAAAGAGAGGCAGCTATCCAGAGGTGTCTGAGGAGGGATACTGATGAAGAGGATGAGGATTTTAATGACTATGATTTTAATGGCATTGAGGACGATGAAGACGAAGAAGAAACGACCAGTTTGGAGTTCAAAAACCTTCTGGAAGACGTGACCACAAAACTGTTGCAGAGATCTCAGGCACTGCAGGGAAACCCAGGGCAAGCAGAGGACCAGCAGGTTGTTAGGCGCAGGGACCTCAACGTCTACATCACTGATGACTTCGATGTGGCGCCAGTTCACAACACACCTGGAGCAGGGGAACCTGTAGACCAGTCGGACACAGAGCAGGTTGTCAGTGATTTTCATAGGGACCTCAACGTCTACATCACTGATGACTTTGGTAGCGTGTCAAGTTCAGTGGACACCACACCTGAGACAGGTGAGATTCTTCCTGCCCAAACTGTGATTGAGCAGGTGACTAATGTTGTGGGCAGTGACCTCATCACTGATGACTTGAGACAAATGGATGACACATCCGAGGTAGATCTGGGCTTCCTTGACCATCCATCCCTACAACCCAGTGACCCTAGTGATACTGTGCAACCAGATGACAATTGTGCTCAACCTTTGTGTGAGCTGACAGTCTCAGAGCCTGCAGGATTTCAGCAGGTAGTCGAGGCCACAGGATTTCAGCAGGTAGTCGAGGCCACAGGATTTCTGCAGGTAGTCGAGGCCGCAGGATTTCAGCAGGTACCTGAACATGCAGATCTTGCTGTTAGTGAAGTTCCCAAAGATTCGGGCTCAGAATCTGATAGTTTACATACTCAGGATATTCTCACAAACATGGAACCTTTTCATGCAGATGTTGAAGATGTTTTGTTGGGCAGTTCAGTGCCAGACTCTGACGAGCCATGTTTTGTTTCTCCCCATGCCAGTGGTGCAGCAGATCAAGAAACACATGTCAGGGAAAGTTCAGTGGTCAGTGATAGGGAAACTTCAGCGGTCAGTGATAGGGAAGATATCAGTAGGTCAGTTTGGGTGGACAGGAGTCAGGACAGCTGTCCTGCTGTCTGGTTGAATCATCACGACACCAGTCCTGGGGGTTGGGATGGTGACACCAACCAGTCATGATGTTTGTAGGTTGCTGGTTGAATCATTAGACACCAGTCCTGGCTGTTGGGGTGGTGACACCAACCAGTCATGATGTTTGTAGGTTGCTGGTTGAATCATTAGACACCAGTCCTGAGGGTTGGGATGGTGACACCAACCAGTCATGATGTTTGTAGGTTGCTGGTTGAATCATTAGACACCAGTCCTGGGGGTTGGGATGGTGACACCAACCAGTCATGATGTTTGTAGGTTGCTGGTTGAATCATTAGACACCAGTCCTGGGGGTTGGGGTGGTGACACGAGCCAGTCATGATGTTTGTAGGTTGCTGGTTGAATCATTAGACACCAGTCCTGGGGGTTGGGGTGGTGACACCAACCAGTCATGATGTTTGTAGGTTGCTGGTTGAATCATTAGACACCAGTCCTGGGGGTTGGGATGGTGACACCAACCAGTCATGATGTTTGTAGGTTGCTGGTTGAATCATTAGACACCAGTCCTGGGGGTTGGGGTGGTGACACGAGCCAGTCATGATGTTTGTAGGTTGCTGGTTGAATCATTAGACACCAGTCCTGTGGTTTGGGATGGTGATGTTTGTAGGTTCTCAATTTAGATTTGTTTTACAAGAGACCAAAATTATTGATTACAAAATGTTCTTGACCTTTGTGGAATGAATATTCAAAATATTGTTTCTAGGAATAAAATTCTAGCATGGTGAGCAGAGCAGGACTTGTACCTGACACAACCAGACCATTCCAAAAGTAACTTCATGTTAATGTCCAAACTGTTTTATCATAAAATATGTTGCTAAATTAGGAAGTTTGTTCTATAGAGCATTGCAGTTGTCACAATTGATGTAACTCTTCAGACAGTGGTATTAAAAGTTTATTCTAGTCCTATCAATTGAGCTTTATAGATAAATTATAATAATTCAGTATTTATTTATATCGAGATTATTTTTAATTCAGTGGGCAATAACTTTGTATAAAATGTTACAATTATTATGTGTACCGGTATCCAATCAGAATTTTTGTTCTATCAACTGAAGGTTTAACCCATTATGTCTTAAGTGTTACAATGTGAAGTGGATTTGTGAATGTATTTATAGAAATGGCCAAATTTGTATGCTGTTTATTCCATTTTTTAGTTGATCCACTAAGGTTATTAAATCTTAAGATTTGATGGATATGTTTTGAAACTGTACAGACACAGTGATTACTTAAAGCTCTTCTGTAAAGTTAAACATTTACAAATATCAAGCATAAAGTAATATTACAACTAGAATATAAGCACAATAATATTGACCAATTATTTTTATTTAAATTCACCAGCATTTATATATAAATTAAGAACTGTGATTTCTGTTGTATTTATAATTTCTCCATGAAATTTTTAATATCAGTTGTGTTATGTATGTATATTACAATCCGTGAACTAATATCCGTTGTGTTATATTAGATGTATATTACAATCCATGAACTATGTGATACTCTACACCTAGGTGACCTCTATTTTTAGGTTCCATCATGGCAACAACCTTGTGCAATATGTTTGTCTGGTTTGTGTATGTCAACAAAATATTTGTTGATAAAGATTTAGATCTCTATGAAGTAGATGTATGAAGATTTGACCAAATTAAAATCTTTAGATATTTGAAGATTTGACCAAGTAAGATCTCTATATTAGACAGAGTTCAAATGTCTAGATGTTGTCTGTTCTATCTGTTTTTTGTGAAGATTGTCTTGTGAATGTTTGTCACATTTTAATTTTATCTGTATTTTATTTTACCATCTCATTCAAAGATTTTTTTTAGTTCTATATGAACATATAAAAACTAGTCTGTTTTTCTTTGAATTCCAATCAGAAACTATTCAGAAATTATGTAACATAAATATATTTTTAGATTTATGTTTTGTATCTAAATCTTATTTCAATATAGCTAGTCATTTTAAAGAATAAAAAATTTGGTCAAACCATAAGAAAAAACTTGAGGATTTATATTCATTGTGTAATTCTAGTCACAACATTTTTATTTTTTTACATGCATTTCAAACAGGTTTTTTTTTAAATTTGTTTTTGAACCAGTGATCTGTAATAAAAACTATAAATTGTGTTGTTGTTTTTTTAATTCTATTTCAGCCTGTTTGTCTATAAATACCACATGTCATCAATATTTGATTTGCCCATAACGTTTTCTGTGATCTCAGCAGAAAGGAAATTCTAGGAGACATTGCTACCAACTGTCTATCTTAGAGACAGCACCTTGTTTTCTGGCCATACTTTTGCCTGTCTTGATTGGATTATGAAATAACAAATGAGCATTGCTGCATCAGAAAAAAAAAGTTTGAGGGTCCTAGAAGAGATGGTCAGTCATTTACTGAGACATGTTAACCCTCACTTATGTGTGAGCTACCATTCTAATATTTGCATGGGTTATCTTTTTGCTACACAGGCTACTCCTAGACTACACATTTATAATGTTCAGTTATTTAACTTAAGTGTAAACAATGTTGGCACTACATTTGTTGAATCTTAGTTATTGGGGCATGGGTTTGCCCACGCTATCAGGGTGTGTTCATCACCCTCTACAAAGTTGTGTTAGAACACCCCCACCCCCTGTTGACTACCCAGCCGTCAAAGGCATTGCAGAGTGCTCTCGGAGGCCACTGGTTACACAAGGTTCACTCAGTTTGGTTAAGTCATTGTCTGTAGTATCCCTACTGCAGGGTGCTCTTTAAAACAAATGTAGGTGCCATAATGCTCATGGTGAAGCCCAGTGTGTTCCAGGTCATACATCTAAGCTGGAGGACACCCCTCCAGTGTAGTTTACAGTTGATCGAAACTGTACCCCTAACACCCGGTGCAAGACCCCCAATCAGCTGACCCTAGGTGCTACGGTAGCCACTGGGTAACCCAATCTCAGATATTTTTAAATCTTATGCCAGAAACCTTTGTGAGAGTGTACTCAACAACTTCCCAGTTACATGCCCGTTACATATATAGTATCGTGAAGCATAAATAACAAGCAAACATTTTTATATCTATACATACATGTATATATATATATATATATATAGTCAGCCTGTACAGTGATAAAATAAAGATGTGTAAGATGAAATCTGTTCAAATAAAAAGCAACATTGGCAATCTCAGACGAAATCTTTCTTAATATAGTTGACATATTTTATTTCTGTTGTACATCAAGCAAAAAAAAAACAAGCAATAGCTAACACTGTGTGTCTTCTGTACACATTAAGATGAGTAGCAAGTAGGTATAGGCTAAGGGAAATCTTGATGAAATTTTCTCACACACTTTAACCTATCACTTGAGATCTTATCCCATAATGCAATATCAGCAACACTTCCTGTAGTAGACCTATTCTGTCTGCCACCTTCAGGTCCTGGCATAGTTACATGGTGGACACCAGCTGGTTGTGCATCAGTTTGCTGGTGTTGGGTGTCAGGCAACAAATTGCCAATAAACACAGCATTTCTGTGCCTGTCCTCACTTTTTGTCCTGCGTTGCTTCTTTGGTCTCAGACATACATTCTCTGAGTTTGAATGTACTGATACAAGTTTTTCATTGGCCAGAAACAATGAGGAGATGGATCCCCTAGTTGAACTACAGCTGACCTCTGAAAGACCTTTAGCTTTCTTCCAGTGTCTGTCACCTTTGTGGGGATGTCGAAGAACTGGAATCTGTAGAGATATCAGCTGATTGTCTAGTGAGAGTTGGGTGTAGTCTAGAGGTAGGAGAAGGAGCCCCCCACAGTTTGTACCTAGCACTAAAACATCAGATGATACAATCAGACTTGTAGGGAACAGAAGTTCCTCCTGGTGGGAAGGATTTCTTGGAACCGCAGGTGGGTTGGCTAGCAAAGGCATGCTAGGGAAGTGTCTTAAAGGCAGAAGAGGACTAGAAGTGGCATCTTCACTTTGAAACACTTCATCATTGTTTTCATAAAGAGTTCCACCATCTGAAGTCTGACGTCTCTCAAAGGTGTGAGATGTTGTGCCACTATCTGAAGTCTGACGTCTCTCAAAGGTGTGGGATGTTGCGCCACTATCTGAGGTCTGACGTCTGTCAGTAGTGTGGGATGTTGCGCCACTATCTGAAGTTGTCTGCCTGATATTGTTGGGTCTTTCAACTTGCTCTTGTTCAAGTCTGGCACTATCCCTTGTGGAGTCCCAGCTCAATGAAAACACCAACACAATTTCACGAAGCTTGATATCAATTTTTATAACACACGAGGCGAATTCCAAGCAACACCACAAGTACGTATTGTCTGTTGTCATTGACATAACAGGCATGTTACAACCTAGAGCCATTGTTGTGTTTATACTCAAAGAGCCGTCGTTGGTTAACTGTGGCATAATGGTGCCTCTTTCATGCACTTCCTCGGGGGTGGCTAGCAGGAAGTAGATCTTCATGTCACAAGCCACAGCAATCAGATGTGATGTGGCTGAGCAAATGTCATATATTGGTGTGTTGTCAAATCTGAAATCTGTGCTGATTGTGTATGAACTGGTGTGTGGGTTTTTGAAGTAGTATGTTGACACCATGCCATTTTCAAAACCAATCATTGCAAGACATTCACTCTCCTGAGGTAAAGTCATTAAAAAGGTAAGATCAATTTTTTAAATAATAAAAATGGATGTATCTCTCTCTCTCTAATTTACATTTTTTTAAAAGTATTTATTTCTAGTTAGCCAATAAAGCTACTTCAAATCAAACTATAATGCTATCTCACCTACACATTATAAGACCATGAGCCTGGTAATCATTTTTATCATTGTAAATAACTATAAGGCCTTACCTTTTGATGATCAAAATAGTGGGTTTTAATTATTCTAGGTTGACCTGCCAAAATCTTTTCATCAGAAATTTCGAATTTACTTGTTCTTCCTCTTTTTAAATATTGCAATACTTTTTGGTCCTAAAATTTAATATTAGAAAATATACAGCTGTTAATATTTGTACGTAAAATACAAATTAAATAATAATCAATTAAAAACATAATATTGAAGTAGTGATTGTAGTTTTAATATTTTTTTTAAAACTGGTAACTCTGACCTGGCACGCAAGCCAAATGTTTGAACCAACTTTGGCCATTGAAATTACTGTATTGCCTGGCATCTTTTCTCTTTCAGCTACAAAACAGGCAGATTCCACATTATAAACGCTGAAATATCTGTCTTTGACTGGTCCGCTCTCTGAGATCCAGATGTTCCATGACCCATTGGTCTAAGATTTTCACAAAACATAAACATTTCCATTTAAAAATTACAGAATGACAAAATATGAAATTAACTCTTCTGTTTAGATTCCATAACTAGTAAATCTGAATACACAGTTTTAAAACTTTAAATTATGTGTTCAAGTTTTTTTTACAACCCTAATAGAATCAAACAAATAGAATTTTGGACATGTTTGGCACCTACTTGACATGTGTATACGCAGGTGATCTCTATCTCACTCTTCATCTCAACTGACACAGTGTCATGCAACAGCAAAAACTGGTCAGACTTCATGTGTTTGATTATGTCGTCTGCACATGGTCTGTCCTCCATCTTGAATCTCCAGCAGTACTTCATCAGATCCTCAACACAAGGGAAATGGCACTTTATCTTGTACCCCTGCAGCAAAATCACTTTTACATTTTATAGTCCACATTAAGTTAGTTTTAATTTTTTTTTTTAATTAAATTACCTTTTGGATAAAAGATTGGGTAAGGTCATCTTGAAGAATTTGTAGACATTACTAAACAACAAACAACACAATACATTTATCACGGCCAAAAGGAATGACACAAACAAGAAATTAACTTTTATCTTTGAGAAATGGTCCAGAATGGACTTTCAACAACACCATCCAGCCATAAGAAATTATAACAACACCATCCAGCCATAAGGAATGAGACAAAAACTAACTTTAATCTGTGATGGGCTATCATCATCCTGGACTTTGTCTTTCAACAACATCATACACTGATTCTCCACCATCATTGGGGAAATACCTGTCAGAATCTCCAGCGTTACAATCCCATAAGAGTAAATGTCCACCTGTCAGGTACAAAATGTGTAACAACTGACGGAAGTAGAAAATTTGTAGAAAATGTTTTATGGGTGACAAATAATTGTAAGTACAAAATATATTTCCTAAGTATAAACTTTATTTTGTCTGCATCTATTGGTACATATTCTCAGTATATTATTCCATAAGTAAATGTTTATTTGCCAGTTCCAAAACTGCTGTTATTGAAGAGATTTTGAGTGATTTTATCTGATATTTTTGTGAATGTGATCAGGTTTATTATTACCTATTGTATTACCACTGACTTTAAAATACACAAAACTGTAGCTAAGTTAAGTATGACTAAACCATATTTAAATGTCAAGGAGTTAATAAACGAAATGTCCACCTTAGAAGAGTAGGGCTGTTTGGACATGACTTCAGGCGCCATGTACTCAACAGTACCAAACAGGCCACTGATACCTCGGAGTGTTGAAAACTTGGAGATGCCATAATCCGAGAGCTTGACATTGATTGGTGCATCCACATCCAGTGACATGACCAGGATGTTGTCAGGCTTCAGGTCGCGGTAGATGATGTGGTTTTTGTGCAAGTAGGACAGCCCACAAACAACCTAATGTAATATTTAATGAATTTATTAAAGAAAACATAATTATTTTTATCAGTTATTATTATTCATTTTGTAAAAAACAATCTTTTTTTTTTATTTACATAAAGATTTGTTTAATTTTTAAAAAAATAGAAATCTATGCAAAGGTAAAATTTAAAAATGAAGTAAATTGAAACCTGCAACAGAATTTTGTACGTTAGATCCTTAGTAAAAACAGTCTTGGAGATAGTTTTGTTTGAAGAATCAGGCGTAAACCCTTCTCCTAGCTGAAGCCGCAGACTTCCTAGAGGAGCCAGCTCCATTACCATGAGTAGTTGTGGTTTTATGCAAACACCAATGAAAGCTACAATACATTTGTAATTGAGTTTACTCAGAACACTCACTTCCCTGCGCAGGTGCAAGAATGCACTACAGACCTGAAGTTTTAAAACAAGAACACAAAATGAGACATTTTATTTGTAATGTAAAATTATTTAAAAGTATGACCAAAAAAATCTATGCTTAAAAATGTTTCCATGTCATAACATTTTGGACTTGACATGCAATCAAATGTAAACTATCTTTAAAAAAAAATTTTAAAAAAATGTAAATGTGTGTTTGTTTCAAACAAATTATTTATTTTACACTATCACATAAGAAGTGTAAAACTCACATTATCTATTTTATAAATTATCAGGTGAGAAGTGTAAAACTCACATTATCTATTTTACAAATTATCAGGTGAGAAGTGTAAAACTCACATTATCTATTTTACAATATCAGGTAAGAAGTGTAAAACTCACATCATCTGTTTTGCAAATAATCAGATAAGAAGTATAAAACTCACATTATTTATTTTACAACTTATCAGGTGAGAAGGGTAAAACTCACATTACTTTGCTCAAGCTGTACCAGTTCATCTGTAGCCCACATTCTGCTTTCATTTAATTTACCAATATTTCTATAGACCTCATCAGCCACATAATGAGAGTCAGGGTTAATGGAAGGGATATGAAACACTTTCACTGCAACTTCTTTATCTCTATATTTAGCCTAATGAAGTTTTTAAAACAAAACAAGTATTAGCTATCAGAATCAATTGTGTTTCAAAAAATGAAATATCAAAATGAATAAAAGATTACACTGAGGACAGTTCCAGCTATTCCTTCTCCTAGCTTCTTATCCAGCAGCTTCAAATCATCAAACTGGATGTGATGTTCTGGGGGGAGTTCACAGAAATACAGCTCAGGTACCAGTGTATCAAGGGATGTCAGGCCCATCTGGCATGTTACATTTTCATGGCTAAGGACCAACTGCAAAAATATGAATATGAATTTAAATTTTGGATTTTAAAAAAAAACTTTAGATATAATAAATTTAAACCCTCAATAAATATAATCGAGTAAACATTCTGCTATAAATTGTGCAAAACATTGGACCTGTGCACAGTATGAAAACGAATAATGTGGATCTGGTGCCTTGAAAATTCCAGAGAGAGGTTGAGTTTTGCAGCAGCGTTGGCATAAAGCTAATGGAGACAATGAAGATTCTGTAGTATCACGAAATCCTGAAATATTTTAATGGTAGAATTTTTTTTCTAACATAATAACCAATGCTTATGTCAATAGACTAAAGAAAAGAAAATCAGTCTCCAGAAACAAGCTAAAAAGAAAATGTTACTTACTAGGATAAAAGAGTTCTATAATGTCTTCAAGTTCATATGTTACAATGCCAATAGTTGCAAGTTTTCTAAGGTTAATTATGTGACTGTTGCTAGCATTACATCCATTTGTTTGAACTGTTACTAGTATTCCAACTTTTCCATCAATTTCACTATAAAACAGAGAAAACAATATTTACCACGAAACAAAGCCTTATATTTTACTCATTCAAATAGTCTTTGATGTCTGTAAAAAATATTTTATTGTTAGCAGCCACCAACATTAGATGCCATACAAAAATTACCTTCTTTGAGAAGAGCACTTCACTTCTTCTACAACTACATAGCCTTCATCATGGCTGACTATGAGGCCTGTTCTCCAATACTGAATGTTTGGATGCATTATATGAAGCCCTCTAAAATTACTGTTGGAGAAATAAATACTACTGTTAACAAAAGAGACAAACTGTTTATTTCAAATATGTGATACTTATTGATACCTGTATATTCCGATAGATAGTATATTAATGAGTGATAAATACACATTAACCCTAATCCTAGCCCTACCCACTAACTCAGCATAAATACTAAGACTAAGGTGGGAATATCAGTACCTAATTCTGCTGTTGATAATAAATGACCTATTTCTATTTTCGCGCTCCACGTAATGTCTGTCATCAAGGTTCCACTCAGGGCTTGAGAACCTCTCAAAAGCTGGAATCAGCTGTGAAATGATGTGGCTCCACAAAGCAGATGGTATAGCAGGCAGAGGGTACAGGCGTGAAGCTCTGTATCCGTCATGGTGAGGAGAAAGTTGTAGCTGAGGTGGGTTTGGGGACAACATTGATGGAACTAATAATCTGGGGAGAAAAAAAAATTGCCATCAAATTTCATTACATTCATATTGTGTATTTTAATAACATTTCAAATATATAGCAATTGATCTACATTAAAGTATTGATGAAGTTTTAAAATCAATCTGTATGTCAAAACTGATATAAATAATATAAATTTTTAAAAATGCCCTCATACATTTTATTTCCTTCGTTGTCTGTAGTCCTTATGCCTATGTTAAATGCCTCCAAAAGTAAAAGGAAAGCAGTAAAATATTCTTCTGGTAACCTGTCCTCTATGACCTCCTTCACTTCACAGATGCTCACATGTGCCTTAGGATACCTTCTTTCTGAGAGGGTCTAGAACAAGTTGAAAGATTTTTAAATTATTCTAGAAATTTTAAACACCACAGAGGATGTGAACATAGGGTTAAATCAACACCACTTTACTCATCAGCCTTCAATCCACATGCTTTTTTATTGTTGTTTTTCTACTGCTAACCAGTTAAATTTATTCCAACTATTACACACCTTTAAAAAATGACTAAGAATGTCAAAAAGCCAAACTGGATTTGTGACAACACAAGCAGACAACTCCTCACTGTAGTAGTTGTAATGGAGAATTGCTCCAGATTGCAGTAAAAATTCATGCACTATGTTATTTTAATATAAAAATAGTTTAGGTCAGTCATTCTTAAAAATTTATAAAACAGTTAAATAATTCTCTTAATGTGATTGTTAAATAATTGCATATATTTTTTAAAGTTACAGGTTGACAATCCACAGGGCAACTTTTGTCTGATATTTAATAACTTTAAAATTATAGAATAAACTGAGGCTTACTTGTTAGATTTTGATCAACTCCATCTTCTAAATCTTTTTTTGTACAGTCTGTGTAATTACAGAATTGCTCCAATAAGCAGATATTTGTACATTTTTTCAGACTTTTTGTATTTTCTGCAACTTTTTTAAACACTGATGGTATTTTTCTTTTTATTAAAGGAAAGTCATAGTCCAAAGTATTATCATTCATTTTTTCACAAGTTGCCAGAATTTCTTTAAGAAAGAAATCAGAGCTAAAATCACTGTCCAGAAAAACTGAGATAAACCTTGCTTGTATGTTTTCTTTTTCAACTTCCTTTTTGAAATTTTTGTCTAATCTTGTAAAATCTTTCTCTTGTGCATAAATGCAAATAACAATAATTTGTGGTGAGTGAACACATGCCTGAAAAAAAAATTTAAATATTGTTTTTATTCGTTTTATACATGCTGAAATAAACATTGAAGTAATTTTATCACTGACAGCAGTCTTCAGTAATAAGTTTTATTCTATTTTTTAAACTAATTTTTGAAATAAAAAATGTCAAAAACTGAGAAAATGTTTTTATCCATTATAATTATATTCCCAGTAAAAATTAAATAGCCATTCATTATTAAGTTTAAAAATAGTTTTAAAAAAAAAAATGGTAGGTTTATATAATAATTGTACCTGAATAGATGAAATCCTTTCTGATATTATTTTACAATTCTTGTCATTTGAGCTGACATAATGCATGATGACATATAAAGAGTTTAGTGTAAGGAAACATGGTAGTATAGTTGAAGTTATTTTTGTATCTGGGAATTCCCAAACTTCAAATGATATGGAAGGATGTTGCAGCTAAAAGAAAAAAGTTACATGAAGAATTTAATTCCCTTTGAATACCAATACTATTTATCTAGCTTAAAATACTTTACTAGATTTTAGCATATTTATTTACTAAAATTTTATTTTTTTATTCAGTAAAAATTTGTATTAATTTTTAAATATAAAAATTAAGCCTAATGATTAATTATAGTATATTGAAACATTGATTTTATTAATATAAAACTGTTTTATTTTGAGTCAACCTTTCTCATAAGAAAGCACTTAAGAAATCAAACATTACCTTTTCAAACACTGGCCAGACAGTCCAGCAGTTTTTCTTGATTTTCCAGTGTGTGACACTTAAACTCTGGAAGAAAAGTTTTGTAACTCAATTAGACTTTTTTTAAAACTTAAATTTACACTTATATCTATTTAAACCAACTATAATGTAATTGTACTCAACATATGCAACAAAATTCTAGTTTGTTTTAGAATGTGATAAGCTAACCCATTCTAAAGTGCTGACCTCTTTTTCTTGTGCAATGGGCAAGACACATTCTCTTATCTTGTCTACAAACTGTAAGGTACAGTAAGTTTAAAGCTTTAATATTTATCAAAACAAACCTCATAAATTACTTTTTTAGAGCTATATGATTAACTTTTCATTTTCACTTGCCTTTCTCAGAAGTTAGCAACAAAACAAAAAAGTCATATATCTGTTTAATTATTATGTTTATTTTTGCTTTACACTCATTTTAACAAAATCCAAAATATTTTACTTCAAGCAATTTTTATTTTATTATAACTGTTATACCAACTAAATCTATGCTATTAAAATATAAATGTCTTACATTATTTCCTGCTCCCAGTTTTTCATTGATTTTCGCCAGACTTCTAAAGGTACAATGATCTTCATCATGCTTAAAAAAAGTTATTGAAAAATAAAGTAATACCATTTTTTAAAAATAAACCAGTTATGAATTTTTGTAAGAACACATTTAGATCTACTGCAAAAAAACTCAGATGTTATCAAATTGACATTATTTGTTAATAAATTGTGTACGGGCCTTGGAGGGTGTGGTAAGATCATTTTCCATCAAACTTATGCAGTTTGCTTATGTAACACTTTTTTTCTATTTTGTTCAGACATGCTACCCATTGAGAGTGTTAGACTTACTTTACATCCTAGTACAACCACCTTGATAGTTTTCCAGGCTACACACTTCTTCAGCTTTTTTTCAAGATATTGAATGACTTTAAAGTTGTGAGGGTCATCTGCAGTTTGTAGATAACAGTAGTAAACCACATTTGTTTGATTCATTTGTTTGAAATGGGATTACATTATAACAATGAACAGTATTAAATATAATGTTGACATATTACCTGGTGCATTTACTAAATTTTGCAATGTTTTGTCTTTTAGTTTAACACCATCTAATTTAAGGACTAGAATTTTTTTCAGCAATCCAAGCTCTTCAGGTAAGGATTTCAACTCTGTGTTGCTAAAAAAAGTGTTGAAAATCAAAATCAACACTGAAACTGAATGATACATGTAAATCTATAGGTAATCTCACGATATAGCATTGGTTATTGTTCCGGAATGGTGAAGCAGTAAAAAAACAGTAAAACCAAGGCGTAGTCTGTCACGCCGTTCTGGAAACTACCAGAAATACTGTAAACCATATTTTTTGGCGCCAAATTATTTTTAACACCTAATGTTTAAAAATATGCATAGATTAATTTTTGTTGCATTTTAAATACTGTTTTGCTAATTATTTGTATTTCTAATTATTTTTAGGGTATGTGCTAATTACTGCTGCTACTAAACAATGTTCTAATTCTTCTTACTACTTTAGTAAATCTAATCATCTTATTTTACTAGGCCTAGCTTTAGATGTTGATCTAGAATCTAGTAGTTGCAAATTTTCTGCCAGTTTTTTTCTGTTTCTAATTACATCTACTAATTGTTGCTAATTTTCTGTCAATTAAACTTTAAATTTAGTTAAAGCATTAATTTAATGCACTTGACTTTATTTTTATTTCAACAGTCAAATAAACTATGGTTTACAGAAGCAAATGTTAACAAAACTCAACAAACTTACCAGATAATTTTTGACGCTATATCATGAGCTTACCCATCTATAATACATTTAAAATATATTGCAAAACAAAATTGTTGATTGTGAGCCACTCACAAACTCAAATCAAGGGAAGACAAACGTGTCATTTCACAAACTCCCTCTGGTACTTGTTTAAGTTCATTATGTGAGAGATTCAATTCCAATAAACTTTTGGATAGAAGAGTCCCAGGAAATTCTACACATGGAACAGAAATAGCATTCCTGAAAAACAAATTATATAATATTTAGACCTACTATAGTATAGTGCATAGCCTTTTAAATTGTTTCATTAAAAGTTTTTTGTTTTTTTTAATAGTGTAATGAAATATTTTACATAAAATTGTTTAAAAATTTGATTCTTGTCACATATTGTAAAACAAACCCTGGAATGTGTCCAAGACGGTTGTGGTCAATGTGTAGAGTTACAAGCTCACACTGCCAGACTTCCTGAGCAGGCAGTGTGCTGATCAAATTGTGGGACACATTGAGATAGGTCAGCTGATCTGGTGGATGGGGAATCATTGGGTTAAATAGTGACAATCTTGTTAGAGTGAAATTTAAAACTCAGTGTTTCTTTCAGGTGTCTCTTCACAAAATAAAAAATATTACATTTTAAAAGAAAATACTTCAACCAGTGTCCCCCCCCCCCCCTAAAGTTTCTAGTGCCTTCCAGAGCAAAAAGTCGGCAAGAAATCCTGTTGAATACTAACTAATGGTAGTGAATTAAGTTTAGCTGACTTTAAAAACTGTAATTTAAAAACAATGGAAACAAATTTATAAAATTATTAGCTAATGGCAGTTTGATAAAATAGAGTAAAAGCTCTTTACTCAGTCTTAGGATGCTTTCTGCTAGATCATGCATGAAATTGTGGCTGAGGTTCAAGTGCTTTAGACTTTGGTTCCAGAACTGGTCAGCACTGGGTAGAAATGTGCTGAACTTGTTGTGGGATAAATCCAGGTCACTCTGTTCAGGATTGGAAATTGTACATCAGCACCAGTAGGTTAGGGTTCAAGTTTATTTTCTCAAACATGTAAGAAACTGCTATTTAAATGTGAGCTAAACATCACCTGTTTAGCTTCATTAGTTTACAGTTTTTCAAAATTAATTAAAATCTCAGATGTTAAAGCAAATATGTTTGACTTTTTTTGAAGTATGTGTATCTTGACACTTTTAGCACAAAAATTTAAATTTCCTGCACTAGAAGGTAGGGGATTTGAGGGTTGTCTAAAATATTTATGTGTTGTCTCAATGTTTTAACAATGTATGGGATGTGTTGTCTAAAATATTTAACCATGTATGGAATGTGAGCATTCTGTAATATATGTTTAACAATTTATGGGATGTGAGGGTTGTCTAAAATTTTAAACAATGTATTAAACAATCAAAATACTATGAGTTTATTAGTTATAGCATACTGTAGCTCACTGTAAATAGAGCTAGCTGTAGATGTAGATAGAATTTCAGTCACTAAGTTGAGGGAAGACTGTTAGGTCATGAAACAAATATTTTCTTTATTATTGTCATGAAACAAATATTTTGTGTGTTATTGTCATGAAACAAATATTTTGTGTATTATTGTCATGAAACAAATATTTTGTGTGTTATTGTCATGAAACAAATATTTTGTGTATTATTGTCATGAAACAAATATTTAGTGTATTATTGTCATGAAACAAATATTTTGTGTATTATTGTCATGAAACAAATATTTAGTGTGTTATTGTCATGAAAAAAGATTTGCTTGTGAGTGAACCCACCATTGGACATAGCCAGGGAGAAAATCTTTCAGTCAGCTGGTTGTGGCTCGCTTTAAGAGATCTCAAGGACTTACACATTTTAATCCCCATGGGAAGGGTAGTAATACTGTTGTGAGATACATTCAAATGAAACAACTCTTGACATCTCCATTCAGTATCTGTTATGTGATAATTTTTTAAATTCATTATCTAGTTTGCAGTCTTAATTAATATCTTTACATATGCTTCAAACTATCATAATTCAGTATCTTTTGAGTGATAATTTTTAAATACAATATCTAGTTTGCAGGCTGTAGTGTTAAGTTCTTTATTATAAATTAATATCTTTATTCAAATATGTTTCAAACTATCATAATTATAATGTTCATTCTCCCCCCTGAATGTCATTTTTAAAAATAATGGCTAGTCCTTTAAAAAGATAGGTCACCTAGCAGTGTGTAGTATAGTACAAAGAATTTTAAAGCATAAAAATTAAGTACCTTCATTTGTGAGAGTGACAAGAGAATTGTGGGATAGGTCTAGCTCTCTTAAACATGGCAAGAAAAACAAGTCTTTGGTCACAGTGTTTAGTTTACAGTGGGAAAAATTTAATGTTGTTAGGCTGAAAAGTAACAAAACATGATACATTAACAAAATATAAAAACATTTAATTTGGTTATAATTGATGTGTAGTAGAGGAAGAATAAGCCTGTCTATATTTAAAATGTATTTTTATCTTTTAATTTGTATTAATTTATTTTAGGTGAAAGATGAATATCTTGCTAGTCACCATAAGTATGTTCTAAATAGTTATTCAAACCATGTTTATTCTTTTAAAAAAATTAATTCAGCTTTTGTTTTATTTATTTTTAAAACAAAGATGAATGAACAAAAAAGATGTACCGATTTCTACAAATAACATCAGGGTTCAAGGCTCCACAGACAGCATTTAAAGGGTTAAATGAGACATTTAGATCTGTAAGGTGATCCAAGCACCACAAGAAATCATCAGGTAGCTCTGTAAGTCTATTTTTTGCCAAGTTAATCAACATCCTCCTACCCTGTCCCTCAACTGTGTCATGAGTCAGATGGAACCAACAGGCCAGGATACATTGAATCTTTTGCTCTGACATCAAGAACTAACCAATCAATAAAAGGGACATCATTTAATCACACAAAATTAAAAACAAGATGTCTATTTCAAAAATCTTTTTTTTTTTAATTTTATTATGAATCTATAAAAAATGTAGGACAATTTAAATTCGACCTACTAATTTTGTTCTCTGGAAGGCTTACAGAAATTAAAAGTATTAAATCATGAACAGATTGGATTTTACTTGACTATCTTCAATAGAAATAGGCTATGCTTTTTTAATGAAACAAAGTAATAGTTTAAATTTTTAATGTATAAATCAACATATTATAGAACTATTGTTTATCTTTTAAAAATATTTTAATCTAGATAGTTAAAAATTAGTTCTTATCATGAATCCATTATACCTCAACCTGCCCATTTTGAGCCACACTGTAGAAACGTGATTTTACGAGAGTGGTTGTGAACTCGGGGAAGTTTTCACAGATTTCCTTCGTTATACTTGCCCCTGATTCTATCAGATGTGATGCTACAACTAAATGTTTGCCTGCATAAATAAAACACAGTAGTTTGACAGTTTCTATGTGGTACTCTTGCACCTGATTCTATCAGATGGGAAGCTACTTCTAAATTCTAAGTGGTTACTTACATGGATTAATTAGGTCTAAATTTTAGTGGATAAATTAATTATGTTTGCTAAAAATCTAACACCTGCTAACAAAACGAATTAACATACTTGGGGTAAATTATTACAGGTTGTAATTGAGGTGAGCTAAGAAACAAAAGAGTTACCTAAACAAGCAGCAAAAAGTGGATACTTGTGTTCCTGACCTCTCAAGCTAGAGACCAGCTCTATCTCTCTGTTCAGGTCAACATTAGGCCAATACCATTTATGCAGGGCCTCAATATGCCCCCCACTGCAAGCAGCATATAGTAGACAGTAGCGCACACATTTCTCACGGACAAGGCCTAGAGAAAGATTTTGGTTAGAAAAACAGAAAATTTCAACAATATCATAAATATTAGTAATTATTAGAATATGAAAAACACTGAGAGAATAACTAATTTGTTTAATTTTTAGTAGCATTTTAATAATGAATTTAAAACTTAAGCTTAATAAACTTAATTTATTTGGGGTTTTTTTTTCAACATTTTATCAAGTATTAATGCTCTGTTTAAAAAAAAAAAAAGTTTTCATCATGAATAGTTGAAATTTGAAATACAACATTCAATTCTTCAGTTTGACTGACATGACAGTCTATAATCATTATACAAATATAATGTATGATTTATTATCAGGTATGTTGTCTATTATAATTTAAGCTATTTTTCTGAATGTACATAACATACAAATGAAAATGTATAACTATAACTATATTGCAATAGCCTAGATTGCCCTTATATTTTAGTTCCCTTGTTGATAGTATGCTTTTGTTTACAGTTGATTGACTTACCATGATAATGATCAAATAATAAATTAATAATTTCCAAATGCCCATGTTGGGTTGCGAGGTAAAATTCTGAATCCTCTGCCCAAACATTTTCATGAATCTTGCAGCCATATTGTAACAATAATTGGGCCACTTTAGTATGACCAGCAGCAACAGCCATTTGTAAACCAGTCCTCTAGATTCAAATTTGTAAAAAATTGGTCAGAGATATCATATGCATTCATTTACATGTAACCATTGATTGAAAAAATTAAACATGGCTTATGAATGAAAATGAAATTAGTAAAGTAAATAGATCTATTAATAGATCTATACATTTTAGTAAACATTTGCCAATACATTACATTAAACATTATCAATATCTAATTATCAGTCATTATCATTAGTCATTATATCTAAATACATTACTCAACTTAGCCAATATATAAAATTATTATTATTAGCTTTATACACTTGTCAAGATATTCTCACTTCATTTGATAGAATTCAATATAATTTTATTTACTTATGGTCAATATGTAATGTGTTATTATGTAGCCTGCTCAATACATTTTAAATTGAGGCATTGGTTTTAAATGCAACAATGAAAGAATTAGATCTAGATTGTCTGTCAGGTTCTTACCCCTTCCAATGTAGAGTTCACATCAATCATCTCTAAATCCAACATTTGCTGCAAAACCTCAGTGAAACCCTCCCTGCAGACGTGAAAAAATAACCACTCGTTTGCTGCCAATAAATCCTTGACCTTTCGGAGTTCCCTGTCATTGGTAAACGTGAGCAGTGATTGCAGGTAGGACGGTGACTCATTTTCGAGTCTTTTTCTAAGAGTCACAGGGTCAAGGTCGAGGTATATGTCCATCACGGTAACACGATCATCCAGATCTACGAGATAAAATTTACAAAGCAAATACATAAGGAAAAACTAATGAGATAAAAGATGAAATCTCAAAAATACGGGAGGTAACTTGCCATCCTGGCCATATTCTTAGTAAGCCAGCTAACACTTAAAATACATCCCTAAGACCTTAAGTCTTAAGTGGAGACGAAAAAGAAGCAGATCGTGGACAACCTTGAGACTTGACCTGAGCTAAGAATCGGCAAATCTGGCTTACACTGGAGAGTTGAGCTAAGACTCGGGCGAACCTAAGCTCATCAAAAACCAAGTCCACCTTACTGTTAAATAACACGGTCTAATGTCAGTAATGAAACTTTAAAATTGCAGTTTGACTTAAAAGTCCTGTTTGTCTTGTTGTTCAATGGAGCGGAAAATATCTGCCGCTAATTCTACACCGTGACACTGGTACTCCATGCCCCGAGCTAACGCAGGTTAGAATTTTGTTGACATACTTTAACGTGATACAAAACTTTAGAGAATCTTGTTGACATACTTTAACGTGAGACAAAACTAGAGAATCTCGTTGACTTACTTTAACGTGATACAAAACTTTAGAGAATCTTGTTGACATACTTTAACGTGAGAAAAAATTATAGAGAATTTTGAACATGAAGTTGAATAGTTTTTGTACTCCTTCGAAACGTAACTGCTAAACAATTTTTGAAAATACTGTATTTTTCGAGTCGATTATCTCCCCTATTAAAGCCGAAAGTATGAATGAAAACCTGATACAAGGATGGCTAATGTCATGAAATTATACAATACGTTTCATTGTGTATCTGCAAGGTACGTACATCCAGAGGCGTAGCGAGGGGGGGGGGGGGCGGACCGCACCGGGTGACACCATTTAGGGGGGGGGGGGGTGACACCAAGGCAAAAAATAGTAAATATATAGAGAAAAACTTGAGGGGGGGGGGGGTGCAAATCGAAAGTTTGTCCCCCGGGAAGGGTCGCTGGGGGGGGGGGGTGACACCATTAAGTGCCGCACCGGGTGAAACCCGACCTCGCTACGCCACTGCGTACATCCACTGTACAAAGGGCATTACGTAATAATTATATTAAAGCAGTTTGTTCTTCCTGTTGTGTTTCGTTGATAGGTTGTTCGAAATAAGAAGCCACGGTGGGTTGAATGAAATATCAGGGGTCGTTTGATTAATGATATTGTATGTGTCGTGGTGTTAATGAAATTGTAGGGGTCATGGGGTTAATGAAATATTAGGTGTCGTGGGGTTAATGAAATATTAGGGGTCGTGGGGTTGATAAAATATTAGTGGTGGTTGGGTTAATGAAATATTAGGGGTCGTGGGGTTGATGAAATATTAGGGGTCGTGGGGTTAATGAAATATTAGTGGTGGTTGTGTTAATGAAATATTAGTTGTGGTTGGGTCAATGAAATATTAGGGGTCGAGGGGTTGGTGAAATATTAGGGGTCGTGGGGTTAATGAACTACAGCACAATACAGAGCCACCCCCCCCCCCCCCGCATGAGAAAAAAGTCTGCAAGAAACACTATATGGCATAATTATATTAGCAGCATACATAACACAAACACACACATATTTTTTTTCCAATACTTTTTGTATATAAATCAGGTTTCAAACAATTATTAAGATTATCAGGTTTCATGTCCGACTACTATCATACGTGGGTCAGGCAATGGTGAGGCTATACCAGCTCGTGCTGCTGTAGAACAATGTGAGGTGGTGGTAGACCTAGTAGAATAGAATTCTCACACACAACTGGTCTCACGAGAATACTTGGGCCGCTGTGACCCAACACGACTACAACATCAATGGTGTTGACATTTTCTCAATGGAACTCAGGTCTCTTTACTGCCGGATATATCGCTAGAATCGAGTCCTACCATCAAATACTATGTCGTTGACATTTTAAGCTGTTGTCTTTTGTATGAGCAGTAAAGATAGTTGAACAAACTATCACTTATTACACTGTTTCTAGGTCACACACACACACGTGAGGCTGCACACACACACACACACGTAAGGCTACACACGTAAGGCTACACACGTAAGGCTACACTCACACACACGTAAGGCTACACACACACACGTAAGGCTACACTCACACACACGTAAGGCTACACACGTAAGGCTACACACGTAAGGCTACACACACACACACACACGTAAGGCTACACACGTAAGGCTACACACGTAAGGCTACACACGTAAGGCTACACTCACACACACGTAAGGCTACACACACACACGCAAGGCTACACACACACACACGTAAGGCTACACACACACACACACGTAAGGCTACACACACACACACACACGTAAGGCTACACACGTAAGGCTACACACGTAAGGCTACACTCACACACACGTAAGGCTACACACACACACGTAAGGCTACACTCACACACACGTAAGGCTACACACACACACACACGTAAGGCTACACACGTAAGGCTACACACACACACGCAAGGCTACACACACACACACACGTAAGGCTACACACGTAAGGCTACACACACACACACACACGCAAGGCTACACACACACACACGTAAGGCTACACACGTAAGGCTACACACACACACACACGCAAGGCTACACACACACACACACGTAAGGCTACACACGTAAGGCTACACACACACACACGCAAGGCTACACACACACACACACGTAAGGCTACACACACACACGTAAGGCTACACACACACACACGCAAGGCTACACACACACACGTAAGGCTACACACGTAAGGCTACACACACACACACGCAAGGCTACACACACACACACACAAGTAAGGCTACACACGTAAGGCTACACACACACACACACGCAAGGCTACACACACACACACACACGTAAGGCTACACACGTAAGGCTACACACACACACGCAAGGCTACACACACACACACACAAGTAAGGCTACACACACACGTAAGGCTACACACACACACGCAAGGCTACACACACACACACACACGTAAGGCTACACACGTAAGGCTACACACACACACGTAAGGCTACACACACACACGCAAGGCTACACACACACACACACGTAAGGCTACACACACACACACACAAGTAAGGCTACACACACACGTAAGGCTACACACTGTCTACATCTCCACCTGTGTTTACCCCGTGTCTTGTTAAATCTCACCTGTGTTTACAAACACTCCACGGTCAAGGTACCATTCATACCCCATTTATGGAATTATAAATTACAGAATTAGTTTCCAGGTCCATAAAAACTATCACTCACCTTGTCCCTGAACACAGTTGAAGCCAATATCTCACTGCTTACATACAACTACGTAAATCAATTTCACAGACTAGGATAAACTTGCATAGATTTACACCTTGCAGAAATGCCGACTGTTTTAATCCAGCATAGCATAAGATACAGGCTACAGTTCTAAAAATAAACCAAGCTGCCATTGACTGAAGGTTGGGACAGTTTGGGGATTTTTGTTGACACCGGTTGGTGGTTACTTTATGTTTCCTGTGACAGATAACGCATGAAAAATAATTCTGTAGTAGCGTAACAAATCCTTTATGGGCTCCGCACCAAAATCTGTTGGTATTTTATCAAGTGTTTTGATGCAAACTTTCTTTTTAATGGTTGACCAGGAAGATTTTTTAAAGCGGTCTCGGGAATATTTCCTTCACGCAACAGAAACAATTTAATAGACAATTTAATGAACTTCATTTAAAAAGCCAGCTTTATCTGAAGAGCCCATTACGTCACCGATAACACTTCCTGCACGACCGGGTGCGGTTTGACGAAGGGGGGGGGGGCATGACGACGTGAGATAGCGTAAGTTACGCATCATCACGGTGAAGTAAAGGACTTGTCAATCCAAATACCAAAACAGATTGTTCGCGATGGTTAGCTTACTCTTATAGCATGGACTGAATATTAGCCTATAAAATTAAGTTATGATCATACCCCAAAAACTAAAGGCCACGCCCATAAATTTATCCCCCCCTCCCTCCCCATCACAAAAATGGCAATAAACCTGGCCCATAAAACCATTCCCCTGACACCTGAACTAAAACCATTCCCCTAACACCTGAACTAAAACCATTCCCGAACGACTGAACTAAAACCATTCCCCTAACATCTAAACTAACACCATTCCCATAACAGCTGAACTAAAACCATTCCCCTAACAGCTGAACTAAAACCATTACCCTAACACCTGAACTCAAACCATTACCCTAACACCTGAACTCAAACCATTACCCTAACACCTGAACTAAAACCATTCCCCTAACACCTGAACTAAAACCATTCCCCTAACACCTGAACTAAAACAATTCCCCTAACAGCTAAACTAAAACCATTCCCTAAAACCATTCCCCTGACACCTGAACTAAAACCATTCCCCTAAAAAAAGCCTAACACCTGAACTAAAACAATTCCCCTAACACCTGAACTAAAACCATTCCCCTAACACCTGAACTAAAACCATTCCCCTGATACCTGAACTAAAACCATTCCCTAAATCCATTCCCCTAACAGCTGAACTAAAACCATTTCTCTAACAGCTGAACTAAAACCATTCCCCTGACACCTGAACTAAAACCATTCCCCTAACAGCTGAACTAAAACCATTCCCCTAACACCTGAACTAAAACCATTCCCCTAACACCTGAACTAAAACCATTCCCCTAACACCTGAACTAAAACCATTCCCCTGACACCTGAACTAAAACCATTCCCCTAACAGCTGAACTAAAACCATTCCCCTAACACCTGAACTAAAACCATTCCCCTAACAGCTGAACTAAAACCATTCCCCTGACACCTGAACTAAAACCATTCCCCTAACACCTGAACTAAAACCATTCCCCTAACAGCTGAACTAAAACCATTCCCCTAACACCTGAACTAAAACCATTCCCGTGACACCTGAACTAAAACCATTCCCTAAATCCATTCCCATAACAGCTGAACTAAAACCATTCCCCTAACAGCTGAACTAAAACCATTCCCCTGACACCTGAACTAAAACCATTTCTCTAACAGCTGAACTAAAACCATTCCCCTAACACCTGAACTAAAACCATTCCCCTAACACCTGAACTAAAACTATTCCCCTAACACCTGAACTAAAACTATTCCCTAAAACCATTCCCCTGACACCTGAACTAAAACCATTCCCCTAACACCTGAACTAAAACCATTCCCCTCATCTTCTACTGGAAACAAAGGTTCTGGTGTCGGGTTAAATGTTGTATCCAGAAGTCGCGGAGTTACAATACCGCGAACACCGAATGCTTCAAGGATAGGGGGGAGACAAACCGTTTAGGGTGCTCAAATATCCGACTACAAATACAATTAAAAATGAATTAGGAGAGAGACGGGGTAAGTCAATGTCCCCCCCCCCCCCATCCCCCAACAATTATTCAAGCGACGCCACCCCTCCTTAATAGAAAACAAAGCATTTTAAATGATGAAAAAATGTTTCAAGTCGCTAAGTGGTCTGGTTGCCGAGATATGGGCCAAAAACTGCATTTTTTCGAGGTTTTTAGCGCAATGTCCATATTGGCAATTGCGTTTAATAATGCGTCATTTCTGGATGGATGGATGGATGGATGGATGTGTGTCCGCAGCTTTAAGTCGTATCTCCTCCTCAACGAAGCAATATCGAGGACTAGTTCCAAAACCAAATATGTTAAGCAAGTTCCAAGGATGATTGTGGGCCAAAAAAATTCCCGGAATTCCTACCTGGATTTCCCAGAAAAGCCAAAAAAAACCTCGAAAAAATGAGTTTTTGGCCCATATCTGGGCAACCAGACCACTTAGCGACTTGAAACATGTACCAATCGATTCCTGCCATAATTTAGACCAATATTGCCGAAGAAAGTTTTCAAAAATATCCTTTCGTTCGGTCACAAAAAATTAATTAAGAACATTTAAACTGAGCATCGTGTAGGCCTAGGATGATATTTACTACTTTTTAGCGCAATTTCCATACTGGGATTGCGATTATTAACTCGTCATTTCTGGATGGATGGATGGATGGATGGATGGATGGATGGATGGATGGATGGATGAATGGATGGATGGATGGATGTGTGTCCGTAGCCTTTAAGTCGTATCTCCTCCTCAACGAAGCAATATCGAGGACTAGTTCCAAAGCAAATTTGTTAAGCAAGTTCCAAGGATGACTGTGGGCCAAAAAAAATCCCGGAATTCCTTCCTGGGTTTCCCGGAAAAGCCAAAAAAAACCCTCGAAAAATGCAGTTTTTGGCCCATATCTCGGCAACCAGACCACTTAGCGACTTGAAACATTTACCAATCGATTCCTGTCATAATTTAGAACAATATTGCCGAAGAAAGTTTTCAAAAATATCCTTTTGTTCGGTCACAAAAAATTAATTAAGAATTTTTAAACTGAGCATCGTGTAGGCCTAGGATGATATTTTTAATTTAAACTGAGCATCGTGTAGGTTTTTAGCGCAAAGCGCTGAGGTTCGAAAGGATTTTACCAGTTGGTAAAATTAAATAAAAATAAATTGTGTGGAAAATGCTCACACAAGCGATCAAGGAAAAGAGAGGTAAGCTCAGATACGCACCGCTGTGTACTTTTTTGTTGAAATCACTGTGTAAATAGACAAGAGAATCTCCGCACGGAGTGTGAGCCTTCACACGTAATGGATGAGATTGTCGGCTGCTATTTGGTTTCTACACAATCCACCCCCACCACCCCTCACCTGGTATCTAGCGGCCTTAACCTTGAGCAAATATCAACAGCGACTCGCGTGGACCAGGTATTTTGACAGGACATGCACATGACATTTTTTACGCTAGTGAACTTGTTCCTGTCATGCGCAGAGATTGAGCAACATATTTGCTGTCTCTCATGCCTGCTGCACTTACCAACTGCAGACGTTTCCCCGGGGTCGCGTGCTGCATGTTACCCTCGGTCTGACAGCGAGAATGTCGGCACGGTGGGGACGTCCCCCCACCCCCACACATTTGATTTACAGACGTGTAGGGGAGGGTAGATCAATAGATGTGGATGGTAGTGGATCAAAGGTTGTTGTTTCAATTGTTAACCAAATATCAGTTATCTGGGAAATGCAGTGACGTTTCTAAAAAGGGAGGGGGTTGGGTTGTTATTTCTGTTTTATATACTTATGCAGGTAGTAATAGGGATAGCTGTGTATGAAGGCGAGTAGTTGTGGAAATAGCTGAGTATGTAGTCGAGTAGTTGTGAGAATAGCTGTGTATGTAATCAAGTAGTTGTGGAAATAACTGTGTATGTAGTCAAGAGTAGCTGTGAAAATAGCTGAATATATAGAGTCCTTGCAAACACGTGACCTAAATCACGTGATACCTGCGTCCGCCGCCACAGTGGTGTACATCAGACGTAAACACAATCAGCTGTTCACCAGCGCTGGACGTGTTCACCAGCGCTGGACGCGTTCACTGTATGTAAAGACCCGCCCCCGCGGAAAAGGAAAAATACGTTAAAAAACTTAAACTCTTAGGAATTGAAGATCCTTATACTGTTAATGACAGTTTTGTGGATAATATAAATATGTGGCCGAAATTTCTAAATAAAAATACTGTTAGTAATTCTGTTTGCGTTTAGAGTTTAAGTAGACGAATCTGATGCATACAGTCATTTCTGTTTTTCTTTATTTCATTTCTGTAATCAATATTTCAACTTCCTAATTTTTTTTTAATAAGTAATCATCTACAGTTTAAGAGTTGACATATTTTTTCAAATACTAAATTGAAATGTTTTCTTTACATCTGTTCATCTTGTCAAATCTTGTTACTGATGTTATTCAATGATTTCATGTTCAAAGATGTATATTTGATATCTGACTGTCAGGGGCACTCATATAGACAAAATATTTTATAACACTTGGCAGGAACTTTGAACTTTGCTGGGTAGGAATGGACTTTGAAGGGTAGGAATGAACTTTGGTGGGTAGGAATGAACTTTGGTGGGTAGGAATTAACTTTGTATTTCCCTCTGATATGCTTTTCTTATTGTTCTAGAAAAAATAGAACATTACTTTGATAAAAATACAATGTAATGTTGCCACAATGTAATGTTGCCACCAGACATGGGCAGCATTGAGAAATCTTAACAAGTTTTTTAACAAATATCTTGGTCATTGATGGGGAAGATAAAGACTGTTTGCATATAACATATATATATATATATATATATATATATATATATATATATATATATATATATATATATATATATATATATATATATATATATATATATGAACTTTGCAGTCATTTTTTGTAACTATTCCCTTGATAAATAATTTGGTCATCTTTGTGTTTCTTAAATTAAACTACTTCCACCCAATCACTGAAGTACAATTTTAAAACAT